GATTGGTAGCCAAGAGGCGGATGAACGTTTGGTGCTGGTGGTAAGCGATGCAGACTTGCAGAGGTGGGACACGAGATCAGCTTTCGGGGTACAGTACCTTACCTGGACGTGCAGTTGTAGATGTTTTAGTATAGTCAATAGTCATGTATAGTAGTAGTACTGCTGCGTGACTCACCGTCACCGCAGCTTTCAACAGGTACAATATCGACGTGCGGTTGCTCGGTGAAGTCGCTGAAGTCCTCGTGAGGAGCATGATTTGGCAAATGTTTGGTACAGATCAAGATAGGGATATTAATGGGATATCAATGGGCTAAATGGAGGCTTAATGGGAACCTAAGGAACTTTTGATCCCGCCTCTTTTCTTCTCATCAATTGGAACATTGATTGCACATTGTTACAGCAAGCATTTTGAGCCATTTTGAAACTCAACATTTGCCACATACCACTAGTGCCCGGCCATGCCGGGGCGGAAGTTTCGAAAAGGGGCAGTGACTAAAATCACCGACCATAGGAATGTCTGTGAAATGCATAACGAAATGCATTGTTGGTGTGACATGCATCACTGAATGATTGATTGAACGAATGAATGATTGAGGGAATGAATGGGCGAATGAATGAGCGAGAGAGTGAATGAATGGCAGAATGACTGAATGTATATATGAATAATTGAATGACTGAAAGACTAAATTAATGAGTGAACGAACAAAGAATGAGTTAGTGAATGAGTGCATGAATGCATGCATGCATGAATGAATGAGTGAATGAGTGAGTGAGTGAGTGAGTGAATTAACAAAGAATGGGCTAGTGAATGAATGCATGAATGAATGAATGCATGAATGAATGAGCGAATTAGGGTTAGTGAATCAATGCATGAATGAAAGAGTTTATGAATAAAGAATGGGTTAGTGAATGCATAAACGCATGAATGACTGACTGACTGGCTCGCTGACTGACTGACTGAATGAATGAACGAACGAACAAAGGAATGAATGAATGCATGTAAGAATAAAGAACGGGTTAGTGAATAAATTGAATAAATGCATGAATGAATGAGCGTTTGAATAAAGAATGCGTTAATGAATAAATTAAATGCATGCATGAATGAATGAATGAATGAATGAACGAATGAACAAATGAATGAATGAGAATTGATAATTGCAGCTACTTCCTCGTGGAGCTACCCATTTCCGCCAAGTTTTCTCTAAGTGGCCTCTTCGCTGAGCTACCTCTTCCCTGACCCTTCCTCTCTCAGCTACTTCTTCTTTGAGTTTCCTTTTTGCGTAACCAAATTCTTCTCTTACAGCCATTACACTGCGTCTAGCAATCTCCAACTGAAACACAGACTCTGCCTTGGCGAGTCGCCGGGAGCTGCTCCGGGAGCCAGCATAACATCGAATTTCACGGTATTAATGAATAATTATTTTTCCTGAGTTGCAAAGGTACTATGTCCTATGAGTTCCGGTTCTGGCCGGTTCTTATTGTAAATCCGATTCATATTTTTACCGGTTCGGTTCGACCGGTTCTAAATTGTTCCGGTTCTGACCAGTTCGGTTCCACGGTTCCGAAGCGGTTCCGGAAGCATCATGATACCTTTAGAAACAATGATTCGCAAAGCAAATTCACACACTCACGAAATGTTACTGTGATTTATTTCCACATGCCAACTACTTTTGCAACCTTTTGTAGTTTACATGATGATGTGAATACTGGTGATGATCATTTCATCTGTAATTATATATAACTGGAAATTTGCAAACCAAACTTCCTTTGATTCCTTTGGCAATTAGATACACAATGATACACATATATTTTGGCTATATAAAGTATTGGAGACGCAGTTCGAGTGTCTTTAGGTCATGCTCTGGTGATGGTTGATGCTCTCCATACCTTCACCAAGGCAATGGAACCAGATTTTGCACAGAGATCCTTCTGTGAAAGGATATGTGATCCTGATCTCCAACAATGTGGACGAGGCGCTACAAATCTTCCATTGTGGTTGCCTTTCTGTCCCCCTTTTGTAATTTGACCTTGCAAAAATCAGGAATGAGTTGATATTTTCGTGCGACATTATGGGTGGCAGATCACATGATATCACATGCAGATGTTGATTTAGAAGAGTTTTGACACCTTTGATATCTTTTGATAGTATATTTGGATATATTTGGATTGATGCTTGGTGATTCACGCAACTGCCGACTAATACAGTTGAGGCTGAACGCATTAAAGCCACATTGGCACCTGGGCGAGCTCATATTTGCGCTGAAACAACGAGTCTCGCTATCACCTTCAAGCAGATCTTCAGAGATAGCATGTACCTTCACAAAAATATGGGTATGGATCAATACCTATTAATACCATTTTTAGTGGGATGAACATCCATTTACCAGCTATTTTGATGTTCACCAGGGGTACAAGGTTTTGACACACTGCCATATGACTCATTCTGGTAGACGTTTCACTTTCACCCCCAACCCCGCCCCAGCAGTCTTTAAAGTTCAACCCCTACCCCACGAACAGCCATCAACAACCCATAGCAACATCACAACATGAAGTTTTTTTGGGTCAACATGTCCCACAAATACCTGTTCCCAACTTCCCATCAGCATACGGGTATCCCGTGTGTGCATCCAAGGTTGCGAGATCATTGAAAAGTCTATTCCAGCAACAACGGTCGGTGATCATCAGGTTGAAGAGCCATGGTGGTGTGTCATAGCAGCCCGAACCAGGGTCGTCATCAGAGGATAGATTCGTTGTGAAGGCAATCCAAACTGTGGACACGGTGATCCGATGGAATCCGATGGAATCCGATGGAATCCGATGGAACATGGTGCTCTTCCAGCCGACTGCAAGGCGATGTGCCAGTGGCCCTTGGAAGTTGTAGATTCGATGAGAGAACCTCGACACGAAAGTCATCGAAAGTCCACCGTGGCGCCAAAGTGTTTGGCTGAGCAACTGAACAGCTAAATGTAACGGGGGACCTGAGGGCACCTGAAGTCACATGGATGACAGCAGAAAAACAGGAGAAGGGCACTCTGAACGCAAAGATGTGAAGAAGTGCAGGTTACAATATGTTCCAGTCGTTTCAGCTTCAAACGCGGCTGCAACAATTCTTGTTTGGGTCCCCTCTCAGTCAGATGCTTCACCGGAGCATGCTGCAGTTTGCAAAAAACCTTTGGACTCTTTGGACTTGCAGACTCTTTGACAGGACGCACTTGGGTGTGGAAAGAAACGCAGAATCATTGACATAGTGTCTCTCACCCACGCCAGGTCGCAAATCATGAAACCACAGGACTTGCCAGAGTTTTTTTCTCAAGCTGCACGGGCTCTTTTTTGGCAAACGCCTGTACATTTAGTGACATGTACACGTTCTGACACCAGCAGCTGTGGCCAGTATGTCATCCAAGCGAATTCTATTGCTGCCATCTCAACCTTTGACGTAACTCAGCTGCGCGGCTGTGCCATGGGCGACGTTTGCAGTGCTCCCTACGATGAACCGCAGGCAAGTCTGATAATCCAGCCATACAGGTAACAGGGCAGACATGGACAGATTTTCAAGATTTGCTGAATGAAGGGATATGTCTTCAAAAGTTCCAGTTGCCCTTGACGTTTCTGAAGTTTGGGCGGAATTCAGGACGACTTTAGGAAATGGTCCGTGGTTTTTGAGGACATGGAAATGAATGCAGTTGGATGCCATGCGATGCCATATGATGCCATAGCCTAGCCACATTTTCTTGCGCATCTTGCTGCTGAGGAGTTGCTAGCTGTGGATACCGCAGAGGCTGTGCTCCCATTGCTACAAAAGGAGATTCAATGAGCATGAAACATATGAAACATACCAACCATATCCAACCATGCAGATCAATGTGTGATGTGCAATCGGACAAGACCAAATTGGGGAACGAGAACCACTCGGAGTCCACTGCAGGAGACATTCTCAGTATCTCTCAGAGCATTGCGCGATGCCTTTGATCAGTGTAACTTGGCGAGGAAGAGGCGGAAGAGGCCAGGCAACAGGTGGATAGAACAAGCTGAGTTGATAGGTTGGTGGTTCTATTTTTAAACTATTTTTATTGCATAGCCATGCATTGCCTCAGTCTCATATCAAAGTAGCATTAAACTTATTTGGGAAACTCCTTTGGATCCGGATGCTGCCGGACTCTGAAAATGCCTTGCTTTTCGTTCAGCTGCCGCTTCGATCATTCTTAGGTGATGCAAACAAAGACAACTTCGCAACTTGGTCTGCCAGATTAGAGCCTCAGATGTTTCACACCTGTTTCCGTAGTTTGCGCCACTGGAGTGATCGCTTGACGTCACCTCTTCCAGGTGACAAAGATCGAGCTCATCAAAGCCTGCCGCAGCCACCCAAACATTGCGCAGCTTTTTGGCATTCCTGAACATCTCCGAGAGAATGCTCGGGAACAGTTTGAACAGGTGTTTCATGGCAGCACCGAGCGCAGAGATGCTAGTAATCTTCGGGCAATTTTGTGGATGCAAGCGAACACGCAATCGTAAGTGACACAAGAAATATAAATACACTTTGGTGAAGTATAATATGATATGCCGAAAGCTTGTCACGCCCACGGTGGCTAACATTTGCTATGCTATTTCGTGACTAATCTGAAAGCCATCTATATGATAGCCATTAGTAGCCTTTACAAGCAAATGACTTAAAGCCGTCTTTTTTTTTCCCCCTAAATTGAGGAATTTACTTGCGGGAGAACAACTCTGGAAAGTCGTCTCTTTTCTTCTTTCTGCAAGCTGAATGCAGGTATATCAAACGCAGCGTTTACATGTGGAACTGAGGATCTCACAGAGTTACCTAGATGTTTTTAAATGTTGCGTTTAGTTGGGGACGGATATTTTTGAAATCATTTATCAAAGGCAGTTTAGAAGTCTATACTTCGGTCTTACGGAATTTTGATAGCATTGACATCAACAGTCACTGCAAAGAACAGTCACTGTAAGCTTGCTGCAATTCGACTACAACCCCACCATCATCTACCTGTAATTCATTATTGTGTGATGCAGTGATCCAGCCAACAAACTTCCGTGTTTTGTTTCGCAGTTTATGGAACATGCCAGCAATAAAAAACCCTTGTGCCTGAGCATGATCCAGCAGAGTCCAGTGATAATGAACTGGCATCCTCAGAACCAGGGGTCAAAGTAATGACAAACTGTAACCGTGAAGCAAGAAGCTTTAGGATCTTTGATCCATTTTGATCCCTTAGTTCAGAAACCCGCTAAAACCATTTTAAACTATCCCCCTTCCAGCGGCACGTGAGGTTCCAAGCCATGGATAGAGACGGTGTCCTGGACGCAGTTGTGCCTGGCAAGGGCCCAATGGTGACATTGGAAGGTATGAAACTGGCATTTAACTCTTCCAACAACACATCTGCTGTTTGACTCCATGATGTGCTTATGGTATCGTATAGTCCTGTGTGCTATACGCAGGACTTGGAAATGGTTGCGGATGTTGTGAAAGGCCAGCTGGGGCAGCTAAGGCGATCGAAGGTTGACGTTCGATGAGCTGAAAGCCTACTTTGTGCGTGGCGGAGTTTTACTTCAGCCAGATGAGAACCCAGCTACAGAAACTTCCTTTCCACTGAGCAAAGTCATCAGTCCCAAAACATGCTGAACTACCCAAAGTTCGAGTAGCTGTCAATTGCTGTCAGATTGTTCTGGCAGGATCATGCTGGATCATGCCAAGTCAAAAACAGAGTAAGCTCAAACTAGCTTTGCCCTGCTACCTGGACATAGCTTGAGCATGCTAGAGCATGCTGGAGCATCCTGGACCCTATTGGCAAGTTCAAACATCTTCGGTGCGGTTTTGCCATAGAAAGTTGGGAGATACTGTAAGAGGACTAAGAATTCAAACTGGTTCGCTCGACCATATTTTGCCACTTTCTTGAAAGCTTGGCCTCACAAATTGATGATATAGGCGGAGCTTCCCACTTTGCAAGAGATGGAACGTGGAGTAAACGAACACACGAGAGCTGATGCACACGCTGCTTGGACCTGTTTGCTCTGTGTTTTTTTGGGTTCAGGCCTTCAGCCTCCATGGCATTGCTACCAATCTCATCAGCCGCTTGAAATTAAGCTTTTGATCCCCATCTTCACACTTTATACTTTATACTGATAATTGATAATCATTTATACTGATCATCATTGTCTTTTTTTTTAAATCAACATGGTACAGCATGAAACCCTGCATTGATTCACACACACGTACGCAAAGTTGCTGCACCGTCTCTAATGTAGGGAGCACCTAGTGACCGTTGCTGGATTTGTACCAAAACTTGGGATCCCAGCCTAAACTGAGCCAATGCGCTGCAGTGGTGCTGGTCCATGGCCTGGAACTTGCAGGCGAGACGATTTGAGAAGCCACATTGTTGTTTGGTCGCAATGGTGAGTTTCACCCCTATTTCACCACTTTTTTTTTTTTACATTCCACATTCCACATCATTCCACCATTTTACCACCACACTCAGTGGATGTCTCCTCCATCTGTAGGGCTGCCTGCAGGTGAACGTGGCCTGAGCCATGGCCACTGGGCCAAGTTCTTCTTTTTTGGATGCCATAGGTCCATGGCCAAGCTTTCCCTTCAGCGTGTCTGGCCACAGTTCTTGGATGATCTAAAATGATCTGAAGAATCATGACCAATGTCAATGCAATCAATACCCTCTGGTAATTTAACATGGCTATTGAACATGGCCATTTATAGTGGATTTTCCCATAAAAAATGGTGATTTTCCATAGCTATGTTAGTTTACCAGAGGGTACCACACATCAACATAAATTCCAACCTGTTTCATGGATCGAAAGGAACAAACGAAACACATGGATCAAGGGCATCCAATGCCACACAACGTTGTTATCAATCTATTGGCATGTCGAGATCAAGGTCAGAGCATTCTCGATTCGGCAAGCTCCATTGATGCGCACATTGATGCGAGTGCATTGATTGATCGGATTTCAGGACCGAATGCCGAATGCCGATTGAATCATTGGATGCCGACTGAAGTGGTTCTTGGTACATGCGCAGAGCCACGCTTTTGGCTGTGATCATGTGAAGTGTGAACACGTGGGACTAAGCATGTTGGCAGACATGGATTGAACACAACAGAGGAAACTGACTTTCGGGGCCATTTCGTCTCAAGCTGTTGGACTCTTCACTTCCCTTTTCCTGAAGTTGCCTCCGCAGCAGCAGAGCGGCCTAGCAATGAGTCTTCCGTGGCTCACCGAGGACGCTCAGGAGATGCTGCATCGGATGAGTTGCAGCACCGATCACATCTTGAGTATGGGTGCCCAATGTGCCCAAGCTGAGAATGTCAAGTTCCCGGAGCAGATCTGGAGAGGAGCAGTCGGAGAACTCTGTCAGATTTTGAGCGGAGTCAGGGTGGATGGCCAAAGACTTCGTCATGACATTTTCGATAGTCTTCTATTTTCTTCCAGTGCCATCCTGCAGGCAATCCTCTCAGACCTGGGGGTTGTCCCTTGGCTTCTGAAGGCATGGTCCGGAACACTGACAGGAGTGGTCAGCTTGGCAGTGAAGAACTACGACCCGCTGCTTCACATGCGGTTCAACCTTGCTGGACTAGATCCTGTGCTGGAGATGAAGTTGTTTGGGCTTGCTGGGTTCCAACTGCAACCTTCGGCAGAGCAATTTCTATCCATCTATGGATCACGAGTGATGATCTTGAAAGCATCATCTCATGGCCCAGGCAGTGTGAGCCTTGGGACGTCGCTCTATGAGAGGAGCCTGCAGACCGCAAGGGCTGCAATCTTGAAAGGAGCTCCGGGCAGCGCCAGACGCTTTGCCTCAAGCCACTTTGCCCTCAGCTGCTCTGAGGCTGGGAAGAGCGGCTTGCACCTGGAAGTTGATGAGTTGGTCTGGGTTCTTGGCTTTGCCAGCGAGTCTGACCTCTCTGATCTTCAAGATGACATCCAGCGCGCCCATCAGGTTGCAGAAGAAGCAGATGCAGCTGTGCAAAAAGAGATGAGATCCATTTCAACAACTCTTGTGGAAGTTGTGCATGTCTGAGACTAGTTAGGACCAGTTTGTCCTCATGGTGCATGACGGCCAACTGCCGTATTCAATAAGTCAGCGTCTTGCTCGTGAATATGGGTATATGATGATATGATATATTTACATGTATTCACGACCGTATTTTGTGGAACCTGCAAACTACAGGACCAACTTTGCAACAACACCCTTTTGGCATTTTCTCCGAGCAAGACGTGTCGTCCTGATATGATGTCGAGAATGCAAAGTCACTACAATTATATATATAGTTTAGATTAGTTTAATGTAATTGAATTCTATGTAACCCTGCCCAGAAGTTGGAGAGATTTCTTGAAACAATGGACATCAAACACAACAAGTTAAAGACATTTTCACTGGGATGATCTGATACAAATGTGAATCCCGACCCAGAGTGTCTTCTTTCTTCTTGAGGGCTCCAACCTCGGATACATGCATGTGGCAGCTCGAGGGCAGCCGCCTGTCTGTCGCTGCGGTCGTGCTGTCCTAGTGTTCCCGGCGCAGCCAATCCGGCGCAGCCAATTCTGCTGGAGTTCTTGGATGGTAGTGTGAATCATCAATTTAGCTACACGCAAGATAGGACTCAAGGAGCAGATCAGTCTCAAAAGCAATCATTTGCTTTAGTCCGCGTTGCAAGCTTTGGTGGCCAATAACCATCTGAGAACGCCTGGGGCATCATTGAGCATGCACACGACCGGAATCTCCAGAACTATAAATTGTAGAATGTGTTCTACCCAAGTGCTTGCTATACTGTAGTTTGCTATTGAAAGGGGTTGGGTCATATTAAGCCATTGCAGGAAGAATCGCTCTTGTGATCAGTTTTGTGTAGAAGCAGGATTCAGCTAAATGACTGGAGATTCTAGTGCGACCTGCAGATATGATATGCAGTTGGTTGCTGGGAGTCTCCTGCAGGCTCCATTCAATTTTTTGGAGGTGCACAACGCAGGTGTTTGGCGAATTTTGTGTCTAAAGGCCAACGGCCAACAGACCTGTTTTGTGTGCTTCATGTTCAGGCTGGTTAATAACGAATCGTTCAGAAATTGCCAGGCAAGGGCAAAGATAATGATCATGCACGTCCGACAGCCAGTATAGGCCCAAAGCAAAGAGGAGCAGATTCGAGACAGTAAGTAGGATCTTGTTCATTCTAATTCAGGTTCAAACCACTGGTCACCCAAAGATATCCACACGGCATGCGAAAATGTGCTAAACACTGGAAACCCAGTTGCTAGATGTTGCTAGGGGCCAAGGGATACAGACGCTGTGCGGAACAGCTGGCACATTGCACAAGACTCAATTGCGCTGCCTAAATAGAAAGGTACCTAAGCATACCTAAGCAGCTTTGCATGTGCATGAGCTTGGCCGCATTCCATGGTTTCAACATGCTTCGACCTTTGAGATCATTTCCCAGGTACTTTTATACTTAAGGACTCTGCAACTGATGGCCCACTACGGACTGAAAGCAAAGGAAAGCTACAAGAACAACCGAAAAGTGCCATATTGAAACCATGCAAGTTTGCAGGCCCGCACTTAGCACAGCTCGTGACGTGCAAGTTTTGACGAATTGTGCGGTTCACTTTCACAAGCACTGCTTGCCGTAGAACTCACTAGTCACTAGTCTAGTCAATCTTCACAACTTTAGACTGTAGGGACCAGAGAAGGGTTGAGGATGTGTCGTCTATTGACGTCCATGCTTGGATCCAAGATTGCTCAAAAAGGCGATGCACTGCACAATTCTAGGCCTACGAGCACAGTTGTTGGGGTTCAGAGCCTGTGCATGACTTTGATTTGTTGGCCTCAGAGCTTAGTCGCAATTTAGAGTACATGAGAAATCAAGACTAGACGCCCAACAAACAAATTTCATTCAAAGAGGATGGACATTCACGCAAAGACATGCTGATGTTCTCTGTTCGGATGCCAACTTTGTGAATGCAGGGACCTGTCCCATCGTGCAAATATAGTACTTAGTCAGTGCATAGTGCATGAAAGGATCTGGACACCTTTCTGCATACAATACCCTGAAGTATGAAACGGCGCGGAAAAAGAAGCTGCCCTTGCCCCTGGCCAGCAATGGACTTGTGGGTGTGCATCTCTGGTGTTGCACCATTCTTGCACCATCCCTAGGCTCTGATAGGCTTCGCGGCTGCACACTGATTGTGACGTTGCCTCTAGGAGACGCAGAAGCTTCCTCCAGTGCACATCGTGCCAGACAATTTGCCTTAGCAGAGCTGAAAGCATTGGCAAAACGAGCGCCTGGTGCAGTAGTGGCAACTGAAGGTCTGGACGTTGCAGAATTGCGGCACCTCTGCGTCGTCTTTTTTTTGGATGAGGGGTAACCCTTCACTGCTTTGTTGAATGATCAGCATGCGGCATATTATTTTGGAAGACCACCAATTCAGCTCTTGTCAGCTCTTGTCAGCTCTTGTCAGGTGCAGTGGTTGCCATCCTCCGAGTCGTGGAGAAGCTCTCTCCCAGGGGGGATGAGGAAATCGAGGATGACAACGTGGAGTCTTTGCAGGCGAGTCAAAGGGTCGCCAGCGCCTAGAAATTGGTCCAGTCTAAAGATGACTGTGATTTCCATATATTTCCATGACAACTCCAGTTGCCAGATCCTGCAACCTGATTTTCTATGATTTTCTGCTTATCCTGTTGAGGAAGCCCTCGAGTGCTTGGGGTGTTTGATGGATGATGGAACAAGCAAAGTCGGCAAGGGTGAAGTGAAGGAGGCGTTACATGGGAGACTTAAAGGATCGATTCGGACAGGGGTTGATAAAGGCAATATTCTGACTACTGCTGATCCCTTTAGATGCTTGTTGGAGACAATCCCTCCAATGAACTACCACCGCATGATTTTGCTTCGAGAGAAATGGAGAGGAGTGGAAAAAGGCAAATTGGAACGCAGCAAAATCAAAGACAACTCAGACCAGCCGACACTGACCTGGTCCCACGACGTCAAAATGTACCAAGAAACCCCAGGAACATGGATTTGAGATGACTTTATGCACTTTTAGATGTTTCAGAGGTTGGTTGGGGCAGCATTAACATCATCTATTTCCGCAGGTTTACTCATGAAACATTGTGAACCATTATATACATAATATATATATATATATGTATAATGAGAGTGCAACCAAAGGAGAACTGGAGATCCATCAGGCCTCTGTTTTGCCATCCAGCCTCCAACTGCTTAGAACTTGAGGATACATCGCGTGCCCAGCTGGTGGCAGAGCTCATCGTGTGCCTTGGCCACTGAATTGCTACATGACCTGATTTCTGCCATCCGAAGATGCAGCATGATGCAGCTCATTGACCTCATTGCAACTCCATCATTTGCTTTGGAAATACGGAATATTTTATGAAAATTCCACAGAAACAACTAGTTTTTCAAGCGCTGAATCGACCCTGGATTACTTCTTCTTTGGACACGCTGAGGAAACATTCAGAAAACGGCAAGCAGCTGCTGCGGTTGCTTTGTGTCAGTGACCAGCTCAGCATTGTCCAATGCTGTCCAGGATGTTTCCAAATGGGCCCCATTCATCTATGGTGTCCCATATTTTGAATGGAACAGCCAGCGTTGCATGGGGACATACACGAGTTTTTCCCCTGTACTTTGGCCTCCCATTGGAACTCCAGGTAAATGATGTGAATGCGCTCGTAAATGCCGTGATTAGACGACTGGCAAGGTGAAACTTCCACACAGTACGATGCCATGGTGCTGCTGCAGAAGATTTATCAACGTCTACCAGAGCCAGTGAACTCTGCAATTCTTGCTGATCCAAGGTAGTGGGATTCCCGGGACATCAGGGGACTAGTGTACCAGGCTCAAGAGGTCAAAAGGATTCAAAAGGACATGTTTCCCAAGTTCATGTGCTTAAAGGTGCGTGTGCCCGAATTCTGTTCAACTCAACAAGGGAGACAATTTTGACCGTCCTTCAGCTCTTGGGAAGGTCTCTTGGACATTTGATGCATGTTTTGCAGAGCTCGCCCATTGACTACGTGCGCAATGAATCCTTGGGATTGCTTCTGCTAATCACTGCCGGCAACGCCGACATCCAGATCCTTTGTTTGACCTGAAACATGTGGATTTCACATTGTCGTTTGTTGCAGTTGGGAAATTTGTTTGCCATTGTTTGCCAGCAATCGCTGACTCGGCTGCTATCAACCGAGAACCTGAGAGTTTCTGATAATTTTTCTTAAAGGAAAACTGTGTCTTATGTTTCTTCACTTCAAGCTTGACTTGACAAGTGCCAACCTAAGGACTATTGTCACAGTTCAAGGTTTCATTGAGACCATCTTTTCCATCTTGGAAGACGAAGACTTGACAGCAGGGGGCAAAGTGGCTCGAGACCTGCTCCAATGCTTGATTAACGTGGTGGGGAATGCAACCTGCCAAAAATATCTGCGGGAAACGGATGCTCGGCCATGTACAAAACATAATTGGAAGCAGCCAATTAAGCATTTCCGAGCTATATTTGGATGTATTTGGTGTGTAACGGCCAGCTTGCGATATTCTCTGGCACATCTGTAAAGTGCACACACCCACACATATGACAGCAAGTACCTTGCAAGGGTTTCGTGGCAAGCAGATTTTCTAGGGAGTTCAACTGCTTCACAATCTCCGCCCAGAACGGTGCAGCCTCCATCGTTTCAGCCATCTCCATGGCAGTGACCGGGAAATCAGAGGAAGAGGACGACGAGTATGAAAAGCCCAGAGCCCAGTCATGCCCAGTCGATCCAGAAGATGGTATCTGATGGTATCTGTAAATGTCTATAGCATTCTATATCTCTGCAGGAATGGATCAGGAGTTTTTTTCGGATCTTTTGGGTCACTCAAACCTGGTGATTTTGCAGCTGCAGTTTGAGGCGGGAGGGCGAACACCGCTGGTCCTGCCTTTCGATGCTGGTGGATGCATCCTTGGCCCTAGCACAAAGTGACCAGGCAGAGGCAAATCGCAACCTGGCTGGAAATGGTGAGCTGACTTGCAAATCTCACAGATCAACAAGAACTAGCTCACTGACTGAGACTAGCAAGTACAGTTCCAACAGGTCCAACTTGCTAAAAGAAGACAATCTCTGCACAAAAGCTATCAAACACTTCAAGATCCAGGAATTTTATGGAATTGTCTTACAACATGTGCAGGATGTCCTGCCGTGAAACCCGCACCAGACCATGGTTTTTGCTCATTGCAATGATATTGCAATGATCGCTATCATATCGCTATCATATCGCCCAAGGGCCCTCTTGGGATCCCCCTTGGGATCCCAAGGGCAGTTGAAATCAGAGGGACCATGGTGAATCGGAATCGGCACATCTTAGGCCTCGCCTTGGTGAAGGCTGGAGCCTTGGAACTACTGCAACATTTGGCGGATCCCATGGCAGAGGTGGGGATGACTGTGTCGCCTTCGGGGGTGCTCGTTGAGGTAGACACGGGACCATGATCTGAAGATATCTCAAGGATTCTCGAACTGATTTGAAGATACACTGGTCCCCAATCACGATTTGATTTTGGTTACTATAACTTGAATTTCAAGCGTGGTTTGGATCAATAAGTTTAAATCGTGGCGTCGTACCCGTCTCGATTTGATGATGATTGAACATTTTGCTGCTGTCAACATGGTCTTCGATAGTGGTACGCACTTTTGGCCCCAGCTGAATTCAGAAATCACATTTATATTCAGTCTGCACCATCCAATATCATTAATGGTGGTCTTGAACCATCCATAAACATAAACATATTAAACATCACACAACATAACATATATAAGGTTTGTCATCCCCAACTTTGGTCATGAAAACATCATTTTCGGTGCGCAAGTTCAATATGCCACGGTGGCCTTTTTCTGACTGGCAGGTGCCCCAACTTCGATTGGTGCAACTCTTTGAGGCGTTGGAACCCTGCCCACAGGCCATACGTCCAGTGGGAGATCATGCCTGGTTGATGGATGTTGTTGGAGATCATGAACCATATGAACCATACAGCATGGGGGTGCTGGCGATGGTGCAAACAAACATCAACAAACGGATCTGGACATTCGGATCTGGCGATGTGTCCGAAATGTGTTTCCAGCAGTGCCATACCATGGGCCGTTGGCAATTCAACATGTTCAATGATTGCACTGCTCTCAGGCAGCAGAGCGACTGCAGAGCTTTGCGCGGCGAAGAGCGCCGTTGCTTTTCGCACCTTGGACTGGCGAAAACACATTTTGTTGCACAAAAATCTCAGTGCAGATTCGGTATTTGCATACAGGAACTTTTGTGTCAAGTGTTTCCTTTACCGCAAAAAACAGACACCTTCTTGAACTTCTTGCACTTTCTGCTGCAGATGAAGGTCAAGTAGACCTAGACAATCCTAGACAATCCTAGACAATCCTAGACAATCCTAGACACGTAAATTGAGTTTGCAGCATCTCATTCTAAAAGCTTTCTGACTGCGGTCAGCACTCCTCTGAGGATTTGGTGGCAGTGTTGCTTGGTGCCCACCCCAGATGGCCCAGTTTTCATCCAGCTAAGGCACTAAGTCACTAAGTTTTCCGTAACTTTTGAGTCGCACCCACGAGTGCACGAGCTCTAGCTGTGTGCTGAGATTGGTCAGCTTGGCAACTCCCGAGGTCCAGTCACTCCACTCACCTTGCGGAATGCGTTGGGCAAGCTCCTCAAACGCCTTGGCAAACCGGGTGTGTTGCTTGCCCTGGACAGGGGAAACTTCGCCCGAGGTCGTGTCTTGTGCCGTTGCATTGCGAGACACTCATCATTGCAGCCTCGCACTTAGTAACACACGAAACAATCAAAGGATGTATGGCTCCTTATGGCTTGCATTGTGTCTGTTTGAGTACAGGATAGTACAGGTACCTCGCAAGTCCAGATAGTCATAATTCAATCGCACCACTGTTGGTTTCTGCACTGCATGCGATCTTTGCAGATCTCGAAGGTCTTTCTTTTGCTCTTCGCTTGGTCCAGAACTTCAGGAGGAGCCCAATGAGGATCGGATAGAGGACATACGATGACATGGCATGCCATTGCACTTTTGGCAGCGTCGGACACAGCAGTCTCCAATTGCCTGTGAAGGCAACCCCTGCAGGGCGCTTGGTGGTGGACCTTCTAGAGGCCAAGATGATCCAAGACGGATGTTTCGGAGATCAAAAGTGGGACAATGTTGGACAAGCTGATTGTGATTATGAATCTGCCTTATGATGATTATGCCTGATTGTTGCCCATATTTTTTCAGCCCCAACTTGAGCTCACTTGAATCTCTAGAGTGCAACTTCCAACAAATAGCCTCGACCATCCTCAACTGAGAAACAGCACTTCAGGTGGCTGCACGTGGAGGCCTGGCATAGCCGCATAGCCGTGACCAGCTGTAGCCAAATGGTCCATACATACTCCAGTTCTGTCCATTTATTGGCAATCCAGTTTCAAATCATGAGAAATACATAGAAATACTATGAGGTAGCTCATCTCATTGAATCTGCTCAGATTGACATGAGAGGATGGAGTGATGTAGTGCAGTGTGGTTGGTTGAAGATGTTGAAGGTACTTGGACATTTTCTGGACATTTTTTGGTTATGGAAAATCGCTTGCCAAAGGAGGCGCCTCCCCCGAAGCGCTATGGTTTGCGCCCAGCTCTGAGACTTCAGTGCACGTGCTAGCTGCTAGTTGGCCTTGGTAGCAGGGCTGTGTCAAGGTAAGATGCGCTTTACATATGATATGATGCCTTTACTGTGTGCACAATATAACAATATGTGAGTAGTTTGATCGATGGCATTAATAGAACAGTTTGTTAATGTTTGATATACAATGCCTGATGCTTTTTGCTTAGTTCATTCTACAAGGGTTCAGCCTGGTGCAGCCACATGAAGCCCACGTTCTCAAGGCTGCAGCTGCTGCTGGCTACGCTTATTGGCAATGCCAGCGTTTGCGACCCGGTCCTCATACGAAACATGACGCCTGTGCACACTATTATAGGTTTGATTAATATACAAAATCTGATTTACATTGATTTACTCCAATATGATTGCTGTTTGGTTGTGCCTCACAGATAGTGATCAGTGATAGCACACTTTCATCAATTTTCATCACCTGAATTGCATCCTTCCAAGGTTCAAAGCGCTTGTATGGCAATGCCCGTGTCCATTCCCAGCGATGCTGGACCCGCAGAGACTTTCCAGGAGTTGTTGTTTGGGGCCTCAGCCTTCCATGACACGAGCATCAGCATGTTTTTAGGGGTGAAGTTTTTGAGTTTATCAATGGGGAACAACGGGAATACCTATGGAATACCTATGGTAGTAACCTCCATCAGTGATCATAAGTTGGGATATAACATGATATAACCCCGTTTTTTACCCCTACGACTCTTGTTAAACAACCCACAAAAATTGGTGGAACTGCACCCCACTTGGTGGAAGCTTCCAGCAGTTCCCAGCCCGAGGTTTCGGGCGTTCTCGGCCATGGCCAGGACGGTTGCGGCCCACGATGAGGCGAAACCTATGGACGTCGTTAGGGAAATGTTACGGACATGTTACGGAAATGTTGCACCGCACTGCACTGTCTATTTACCCTCTGGTACTTTAACATAGCTATTGAACATGGCCATTTGTAGTGGATTTTTCCATTAAAAATGGTGATTTTCAATAGCTATGTTAGTTTACCAGAGGGTACCATCATTTACCCGAAAATCGTCTGATCCGTCGATCCGTGAAGATTCCAACTTGTACAAAAGGGTTGATGGCTGCCTCGTCCACTGAGGCAGAGCCCGATATGACTCGGCCCAACGAAGCTGTCGATCGGCCGAAGAGAACCTCTCCATTCCTTCCTGTGGTTTGAAACGTTTTAACATGTTTTAACACCAGATGCTCCGAAGTGAATTGCCATGCACAAAATGTTGATGGTGTTCCATGCCCAGCATTATTCCAAAAGGCAACATTGAATGCAAGTTTCCTGTTGACCCCATTTATTTCACTTCCAACCCTGCTTGTAGATCTGGGCTGGTTGTTATGTTTGGTTGAGCCAAGGCTAGCCTGGTGGGTTTTCTGAAGCTCGTGCTCTATTGGTTGGCCGGGCACTTTGGCCACAGGTATTCTTTAAACAGGACCAGAAATAACCAGAATGGCATAGAAATGGCAATCTCAGTGCGGCAGTCCAAACCTCGAGGCCAACTGTCCTTCAGTGCTTTCAAACTTCGCGATGTCACCTGTGATGATTCCAGTAGCCTGGGACCTCAGGGACCTCACATCTTGAAATCATGGACAAACCAGGGAAGGTTGTACTTGCTTTGTTACATACTAATTACATACCTCAAATGAGTATAATAAGTGGCCACATGAAGCATACCTTAGTTTGACATAGTTTGACCGGATGATTCAGGTTTGGCAGTCAGCATTCCTGCTGAGATGTCATGCAGTATCCAACAGAGATGGGATTTTTTCAGGGGCCAACATTGCTCGCAAGAGATGGAGCGATGACAATGGAGTCTTCCCTAATCTTCCCATTGAGGTCATGGATCTGACTGCCTTCAGCTGGAGTCCCAGAGCTGTTCAGCGGTCACAGCCTTCCAACATCTTCCAACGCATCTTTGCCCGCCGAGGCTGCGCGGCTGCCTTCTATACTGTGCAAGTGCAAGGCCTGGTGAAAGGTTTAACGTGTGCGTGTGGTTGTCTCTGAAAACATTATTAGGATATATATATATATAATCGTATATAATATTCATAGTTTAATATATACATATACTCATATAGTATAAGCTGCTTTCTTGGGACCTGCCAAACGATGAAGCCCCGCATCATCATCTCACAAGAATTGGTAGAATAGCACATCATATAGTATCTTCAATCTTCGTGGATACTTCCAGATCCCTCACATCTCTGAGAGCAGACATTCCACTAGCTTCGGACCTCAGGCCTTGCTTGCCTGGTCATGGGCGCGTGTATCATGTCCGAACGGGAGGTGGGCAGATTGCGAACGTGATGACCATGTCAATACAATGTCAGCTGTTCGGCATCATTCAAAATCCTACATCAGGCTGCTCTTCATGCTTGACCATGGACTGGCCACAAATGTCATATTGCATCTCGTTGCCAAAATCACAATTGGAAGCACTTCAACTCAAATCACTTTTTGAATACTAGGGTGAGCCTGGTGAGCGCCAAGCGAAGCTTTTTGGCCGTAAGATCCCCTTGTTACATCACTTCAGTTAGAGCATGCTAGAGCAGTGCATCCTGTGAGGCAGCAGAAGATTCTATGACCTTAATTTCCCAGCGTCAGGATCCCCAAAGGCTTTATCGTTGTTGGTGCTTCAGCGAGGTAAAAAAGAAACTGGTCGCTTGTGCTTTCTTTGCAATTGTGAAGACTTGTGACATGACAAAGGAGCCTGTTGAAATTCAGACCTGAACACAGTGGACCCAACAGCTATGTAAGATTTTGCCACCCAGCGCATCTTCAGCGAAACTTGAGGTATCGGCATTGAGACTTTCCAACAAAAGGCCGGACCACTTTTGTGGAGGTGACGAAAGGCATCGAGAGATGCTATGAATAGCTTTATTGTTTCTCTCAACTTTGGCCGTAGTTGTTCAACGCACTGCAAACAGCATCAGTGGATAGTTTTGTCAAGACATCAAAGTGTGCTGGTCCAAGTGCTGTCCAGGTTGAATGCCTGTGGCGATCTGAGGCCTTACAGTGGGAAGCTCAGAATTCTGGCCCTCTGGGTGCCATAACAATCATTTAAACTGCATCAATCTCTGTAGATCTCACTAAACAACCCGGGAAATACCTGAGTCGTAGGCTATTTGACATAGACTTACCATGACTTACCTACCTCTTACAACCTCGGACAACCTTTGACAAGCCAAGCAGGGTCTGCAGTTGTAAGGCGGCCCGCACGATCTTTGGGCGATTTTCGCAAGGGGCTTACTGCTGGGACGCCATGCACAAGAATGTCTTATCACACTGCAGCTGTTGCACCACCACATTCAAAATGGACATATATAGCTTAGTCCAAAATCGGGTATATAACCGACACGTGGCAATTCAAACAGGGAAACTTGGGAAACCTGATTTTTCGGGGTATTCCATTCTTGGACAAAGCAAACTAGTGTATTGCAAGAGAAGCCTGCTCGACATGGCTTTTGATCTGGAGGCTGGTTCAATGGCCACTATCGGCAATTTGTTAGAGGGCATCAGCGTGTGGGGGACCTTGGACTACAAAGCGAGCACTGCTTTGCACGACGTGCACGACGTGGATCTCTGAATTGAATGCCTTGAGGCAGTTCAGCGACGAATGGTGCAGCTCTATGTATCTCAAGGCAGCAACTTCAGATAGAGACTTGCTGCTACAGTATCTTGCTGCTACTGTTTTGCTTTTGACTTCTTATCAAACATGAACAGGCTTGGTCTTGATCTGAAACATTAATCAGAATGTGGAAGGGAGTGGGAGTCCAGTGAGAGCAACAGATCATGTACAAGGAGATGATTCATGAGGGCTGCAGTCAGCCAATTTTCACTCAAGTAAACGCGGTGCAACCGAACCGCAGCGGAAGTTTTTTTCAGGGTTATTTCCGTGTGTTACTCTTGAAAGCGAGATGCACTGCAAGCCGGAGATGACTGGCGCACGGATGTGCAGGGTTTGACAAACCCAGGTTTTGACGCCATTGTTTGACACATTTGATATCATTTGAATGGAATTGAAGCAGCCTGCTGAATTTGCGACGTGATGTTGGCAACATCCTTGCGTCGTGTTCTATCGTTTTCCTGTTGTGGCCGCATAAAGGATTGCAGTACAACAAGGCTGGCCAGAGCGTTTTACTTCAGTACAGATAGTACACTGGCAAGTAGTACAGATAGTACAGGTTCTTACAACAGGCAACAGCTTCATCGTATTTTAGATTTTGCTCGTAATGACAAGGAGATTTCCAGCCAGGATGCTGAACTTCTGTTTCAGGCGACTGGATCAGATTTGTTGGCCCTTGCTTTGACAGCTGATGAGATGAGATCTCGATCCGCTGGTCCAGAAGTAACCTATGTTGTGAACAGAAACATCAACTTCACAAATGTTTGTGTGAAGCGTTGTGGGTTCTGTGCCTTCAGCAGAACAGGCGTTGATCATGAAGGTTATTTCCTTCCTCTTGATGAGATTTTGCGGCGAGCAGATGAGGCAAGGAGCCTTGGAGCTACTGAGGTCTGTATACAGGCAGGATTGCCTCCAAACATGCCAGGCTCGCTCTACGAATCCATTGCAAGATCTATCAAAGAACGGCATCCTGACATGCATATTCATGCTTTTTCACCGGAAGAGGTGATGTGGGGAGCAAAATGTTCCGGTACCACCGTGCTTGATTTCTTGCTGAGATTGAAAGATGCTGGTGTGGATAGCCTGCCAGGAACAAGTGCTGAGATTCTTGATAATGATTTGCGAAAAGCAGTGGCCAAGGGGCGTTTGTCAGTTGAGGAGTGGACACACGTAGTGTCCACTGCTCACAGCCTTGGCTTTCCAACGACCGCCACAATGATGTTTGGATTTTGCGAGTCACCTCACCATTTGGCCAAGCATTTGGTGTTGCTCCGAGACATTCAAAAAAAGGCTCAGGAGTCACAGCAGATTGGATTCACTGAATTTGTGCCGCTTGGATTCGTTGCAGCAGAAGCTCCGATGTGGAAGAAGGCTGGATCACTTCCAGTGCGTTCGGGTCCAACGGGTGCAGAAGTCTTGAGAGCTCATGCAGTGGCTAGGTTGGTTTTGAATCCAAAGCTACCTGGAGGTATCCGAAATGTCCAGGTGAGTTGGGTGAAGGAAGGCTTCAAAACCGCTCAACTCATGCTGCTGGCGGGGGCCAACGACTTGGGTGGTACCCTGATGAACGAGAGCATTTCAACTGCTGCAGGAGCTCAGCATGGTCAGTTGGCGAAACCTGCGGATCTGCGGCGACTCGTTTGGGACTTGGAGCGGCCAGTGGCCCAGAGGACAACTTCCTACGGCATTCTTCATCGATTTGACAGTCCAGTTTCGGCCTCCTGGGATGCCATCTTGGAAGCTGAGAAGAAGGCGAGTGCAATGACCTCAATTGGCACGACGGAGGCACTGGATTCACTGGATACAGTATCTCCACGTCAATTTGGCTCATTTCATCAGTTGATTGCCTCATCTGAGTATCGTTTTTTGGAGGCGACAAAGCCTTTGCGCAAAGCAACTCGAGAGCCTTCGCCAGCTTCGGCGTCCCCTGGTCACCCTGGCCACCCTGGCCACCCTGGTTCTCGGAATTTCAGCTCATGGGCGGGCCCAAAGCCGGGAGGTGGTGAACAAGACGTCGTTAGAGCGCGAGAGCCAGCTAGATGTCAAACCATTACGTATTCTCCTTCATATACGCTGGTGCCCACGTATGAATGCTTCAACGTTTGCAGCTACTGCAATTTTCGTAAGAATCTGACCAAGCAGGGTGATTGGATGTCAGATGAACGTGCCAAGCAGAAACTGACCGCTCTTTGGGGTCAAGGAGTGGATGAAATCCTGGTCATGGCTGGAGAAGTTCACCCCCTGGCATCCAACCGCCAGGCTTGGATCCAACGAGCCGTGTCAATCTGCTCAGCAGCTTTGGACCATGGATTTCTCCCGCATACCAACGTGGGTCCATTGAGTCGCCAGGAAATGCAGCAACTCTTTGCTGTGAACGCATCCATGGGTCTGATGCTGGAGACCACAAAGGCTCTAAATGGACCGGGAGCTGTGCACCAGTTTGCTCCCAGTAAGAAGCCGTCTCTTCGAATCGCTCAACTTAGGCAAGCAGGAGAGCTTGGAGTGCCATTCACCACGGGTTTGTTGATCGGAATTGGTGAAACTCACTCCGACCGGCTGCACGCTTTGGAGACCATTGCTGGCTTGGCACAGGAGTTCAAACATATCCAGGAGGTGATTCTGCAGCCTCATTCACTGGGAAGCAACCAAAAGTTGAAGCCAGGAGTCCAAAACACTCAGTCCTCAGGTTCCGAGCGCATTCTGTTTGGAAGTGCTTCGATTGCAGAATTGCCCCAACTAGTGAAAGCTGCAAGGTCGATCTTACCACCTGAGGTTCAGATTCAAGTGCCTCCCAATTTGATTCTCGATAATTTTGATTTCTTTGACAGGGGCTGGCAGACTTTGTTGCAATGTCTGGACAACGGAGCTGGAGATCTAGGTGGAATCTCACCTAGAGATGAAGTGAATCCAGACTTCAGCTTTCCCATCATCCCACAATTGCGAGCAGCGCTTGCCAAGGAGGGCTATCGCCTTGAAGCGCGTCTTCCGGTTTATCCACAGCACCTCTCCTGGCTTTCCCCGAGAGTGCAAGACATTGTGTATCAACGCAGCAAGAAGCTTCCTGACAAAATATCAGAGTCCGAACGATCTTGTGACGTCAGACTTCACACGTCGGACCGCTGAGATGCCTCACTGCAGCTGCGATCAGAAGATATCAGAAGTTCGGGCTCGACAGGCCATTTCAACGGTGCACAATTGGAAGCAACTGTCGGCTGACGCAGATGGCATGGGATGATTGGGATGAGCGATTGTCAGGTGAGCCCGGCTTTGATAAAGGATGACATAGGATGACGATGATCCGGATGACTTGATAGCAATGATGCCATCGACTCTTGTCGCAGCACGCCTGATGCAAAAAAAGGTGACCCGGGCATCTCTTTTGGATTTTTGATTGTTGACTTCCAGGAGAGTTCCACGAATGCAGGAAATCAAGACTGTACTAGCCCAAGGCTGAAGATACACAACATATATCAACATATCACAACATAGAATAATAACAAATTTCATCAAAATTTACTTTGCCAAGATTATTTCTACATATTTCTATTTGAAGTTCAGGTGTCGGTGGCAGTGGACTCAGCGAAGATGTGGCGGAGCACTACAAGCAGCTGATCCGAGTGCAGGTGGGGCTGTGGTTGCTGATCGTTTGTGGCCACTCCTGCCCACCGTGTTACAATTCAAACATATTTAGCAAGATGTTGACGTGTTCTTTATGTTTTGTTTCTTTTTTGGTTCAGTCAATGCGCACTGCCAATATTCCTTGTTTCGCCATGTTGTCCAACCAGCTGAAACTTACAGGTTGAGGCTGTTAATGCTTGAATCTCGAACGCTGCCTGTGAACGGATTTTGTGCGGCTCAAAGCTGGAAGACGTACTGAGAGTACGATTCTAATCGATACTGGACATGGGACTTCATTATTAGACACGTTCCTATCATTTCCTATCGACATCTATCTACCTATTTGTCCATCTTCGCCCTTTCAACGTCTGATTCCTGTCACTTGCTTTCTTTGAACTTGGACCTAAGATGGAAATGCGAGGTCTCAGGCGAAAGCATTTGCTTATATAGGAGGCTCATGCAGGCTCTAGGATATTCCTGGACTAGGATATTCCTGGAAGAATTCTAGCACACCAAGACTGTGCATTGACATTCCTTTCATGTTGAGATGGTGGATACATTGCTGAAAACCTTCAATCTGGGCAGGGAATCTTGTCGAAACATTGGTGACTTGCTGAATGCTGTTCTGGGAGGAGCCCACTGCCTGAATTACAGTGGATTACTGACACATACTGACACAAACCCTACATAGCAACGGTACCGAGGATGCCTGCTCCATCTTTGATGCTGGCATCGGCAAATTCGATGTCGCAGTTGTTTGTCATGAGGCCTGGGAAAACTTCAGACACCATGACGGTACAAGGCTATATGAAGGCAAATGACAGGTTCCGGTTTTCCGGGGCATGTATTTTCCTGACACCACCCCAAGAGATTGAAACCCAACAGAATTGCTGTTGGAAATTTCCTGCATTTACATGGGGGACTGCGTATTGAATTTTCTGCTGTGCAAAGATTCAATGCACCATTGAAGCGCAGCCTAAATGCATATTGCCTAAAATCGGCGCCAGAAAACGCTCAAGATTTTGTGGCGTTTACAACAGGCGGAACACATCAAGCAATCAAGCACCATTTCGGAGTTTTTCCATGATACCAATCATCATCATCATACACCCAACGCATCGATAGCTCATAGGACTCATAGGTAATATCTACAGAATCTACAGTGACGTTCTGATACTTTTTTCCCAATAGGTACGTTCCGTGAATACGCAGCCTGGGGAGACGATTTGCATGACGCTTTGAGCTGAGCTATTGTGAGAAACAGACAGTGGTACTAAATGGATCTAAATGGTACTAGTAAAGGTGAGAGAAGCTCGAATGGTAGATGATTTATGATGATTTTGCTTCAAACATTGATCGAATTGAAGATGACCACACACAGCCTTCACACATCGAAACAAATCTCAGAGTGGAATCACTGAAATGATTTCTTTCAGACCTCAACATCCAAAAGCGAGCAGAAAAGTGCAAGGATTCATGGATGCAGACAATGTTAGGGACGCCTGTGGACTTTGTCCCAAGGCTGGCTGATGCTGAGCATCGGGTTGCTGGTGAAGACTTCATCAGCCTCAAGTCGGTTGGCATAGCAAAGCCTCTTGACTCGAAGCCTCGGCGAAGGATGAAGTTCATCCAACTCCAGACAAACCAACATAAAACATCAAAAAAACACGATTTATATGATTGACAATGACAATAATCTGCAACAATCAATGACATGCTATTTTAGCTTTGACCATGTTTTGGAATTCTAAATGTCACTTTCGATGAATTTGACGCGTCAGCAAAAGTCAGAAACGGTGCGCAAAGGCCAGAAAAGTTTGGGCATGAGTTGTTCTTCCATTTCTTCCTTACACAAACAGGAATCCCGTCCCCATAATATTAAGCACCCGTCAGAAAACATAGAAAACCATGCTTTAGAAGGCAGGGAAATTCGACATATAATTATATATAAATATATATAATCAATATATATATATATATATATCTATCTATATATCTATATCTATATTATAATTTTATATTACTTATACTCTTATATACATATAGAGTTATTTGGGACCATTTAGGGGGTGTTTGCGAATCATATGAGGTGGATGGGATTAGTAGGCAAAACTCAGTATGACAGGTATGAGTCACCGAATCAAGCAGAACCCAAATGATTTTTGAACGACCATGATTCAGGGAAGCTGCGAGACAAGAAATTGATACAAACTCCGTAAGCCCGGAAACCATCATCGCACCTTATGCACCTATAACTCATTTCCCCAGAGCATTTGATGCCAAGGTCATTGCAGCCCGAGAGTGTCTTAGTGATTAAGGCGAGCAATGGCGAGCAGCAAGGGCTACAACGGCTACAATCCATGAATCAAAAAGCAAGATACAATGATATTAAGCATGCTATTGTTATCTATCGTTACTCCTTGAATTCATGGATGGTCGTATTGGCCCTGCTTTTCAGATCTGGGCTATGCTGGATACACCGCCGCTCTCAAAGCATGCAGAGAGACGTCCTTTGGGAGAGGCGCTGGACAACTCGAGAGTGTAAGGCTAAACTTTGATAGACTGGATATATAAACGTAGACGAAATGTAATTCCATGAGCACTGACCAAAAAGCAAAACAGAAAGGTAGGGTGACATCAATGTGAGTGATGCAGGCAGTGCCCTTTACAGCTCAGCTTGAGTGTCCACGTATCATACATTGGCGCACGCAGTAGCGTTTAACAGCGGGAGGTTCGAATTCCATTCAAACACCTGGCGGAGAGCAGCAATTGCATGCTGTACTATACCTGGGCATGACTCTTACAAGACCGGCAATACCAAGAGTACTTCAGAGTTGATGCATGTCACACAGTTTGTCTATGTCTGTCTGTTTGTCTATGTTTGTCTATGTTTGTCTTTTTCTTGGCATTCTGAGAGGCTGTATCTTCAGACTGTCCGAGGTGAATCTGGAAAGCGCGGGTTTGAACGACTCTGTGGCACATCTAGGCTATGGTGGTGCCTTCTCAAACAGCTCAGAGGCATTCATGCAGGTGCGATGACCATGGGTGTGTCAAGTCATGTTGAATTCATGCATGTCGTGTCAAGTCGTATCCTGAATGGGTGTGATATGATATCATCAACACTGCATACCCACAAAACGCATCAGATCGCCAAACTTGCCATGTGAAGCTTCCATCAGATATTTCGTATTTCGTATTTGGATTGAAGTCTTGTGCTGGACCGCCAACACGCAGAACATCATGAGTGGACCTCGGCAGCTATACCAACCAAAGGCTGGCGCACGTGTTACGGTCAGTCTTGTCATCCATCTGCTGCAAACATGCAAAACGAGAAATGATGGTGAACCTTGTGGAATCGATGATCTGAAGCCTGTAGTGCCACTGTAGTGCCAATAAAACTAGTTGCATCATGTTGCATCATGTTCAATCACGCAAAAGACATCAAAAGACAGTCACATCTGCAGCGGTTGTGCCATTGGTCGAAAACAGCACCAGGCCTGTGTCTCCATGTGCCGCAGCGAGCTGGCAGAGTCGGATCGGATTCTGTGGACTGTGGATTTGCCCAGGAGATCTGAGGGACGGGATGAGCCAATGAGATTTCCTTGTTGCCTTGGGGATTTTGGATGATTTTGGATGATTTTGGGACATATACAGTATATTTTGGATCAACTTTTGGTGTGCATTGTTGATCCTGTTCCTTTTCAGAGTTGCTTCTGCTGTCTTTCGCCACCGTTCTTCAAGCTTTCTAGAAGTTAAACCACAGGTATTGCCATGTTTTGCTTATGTGCTGCGAATGAGGTTCTTCCTCTGAAAGTGCACCACGTGGAAATCGTCCATGTGAACATGTACCTCCCGCCGCAACCAGCCACAGCTACAACTGTTCCAAACTGTACATGGCAAAACAGCACACTAACTTGAAGCTCGCACAAGCTGAGGCGGTACCAAAAATGTTCAGCTGTAAAGGCATGGGTCCTGAATGGAATGCTACAGGGCGGCCATAATGGCAGCAAGTCTTTCAAGACCTCTCCATCAAAGGCAGCCTTAATGACACTGAGCACTGACTCATCGCCTTAAGTCAACGACGTATTTTGTAAGTTGAAGACAGGAAGAGATCGAACGTTTCTGCTTCTGGCAAGACAATTATTAACTCTCAACAACAAAGCTTGGCGACTGCGCGAACGACTATCAAGCACAGTGTTTCTATCAAACAATATACTGGATTCCAAGCTCAGATAGGTAATGATAGGGTGCTTGGCGGGCGAGACAGCAATGCTCCGAGCATGGCAAGAAGAGCAACAAGAATACCAACGACACCAACAAAGACGACTGAGAAAAGCGCCACTCGCGACGCCAAAGCGGGTACAGTAGCAGCACGCGACAGTGCCAAGAAAGCAGCAACAACAACCACTGCTGCAACCAGTGCATACCAGTGCGACCGGCAATCCCACAGCGCGTGGAAAATGTCCTGCTGCTCTGATGTTCCAGGAAGGAGCGCATCAATCGTTGGGGTCCACTCCTGCGATCACAACAGCAACATGCCATTATGCCCTTTGGCTGCAGTCATTGCAAAGAAAAAATCTTCCTACTGGTACCTTGAGCAACATTTCTGCAGTTTGTGGTAGAATCGTCTTGACATTGTGAACAAAGGTGTGCAGCACAACACTTGGAGGTCTGGTTTCTTGAAATGCTACAGCTGCTACAGTCTCAATGTGTCATGGTTTTAATTTTCTGAAAGACTCCATGTACACTAAAAAAGAAAGAACGTATCTGCTACGATGTTGCATTACCACACTAACATGAAATGCCAGTGTCGTTTGTGTTCTTGTTGAAAGCCGCTTGGTGGAGGGCAGACCTTCCAATGGCAGTGATGTTTTGCAGCGACTCTTGCACTTGAGAGTTCGGGACTCAAATGTATTTGATGCTGTGATCTTTGAGCCTTTGCTTCCTTGAGTCTTTGCCTGATTCAACTGGAAATCCCCGCAAGCTTCCACCTCAAGCTCAGATAGATAGTAGGCCATGATAGGCCTTAGCCCATGTGGTTCAGCCACTGGTGGGAAAGATCGGTAGATGACAGAACAAATACAGCAGATACAAAGAACTTAATGCAAGTTCCAGCCGAAACCACAACCGAAGCCGTAGAACGACACCCTCGTGTTTGCAGAGACGATTCTACTTGTCTTACTTGTTTCAAGTACGAAACTGTGTACAAGATGCAAACAGGCTGGGCAATTTTTGGATAAGCTGAAGATCTCCGAAGTTTTTAGTCTGTGACCAATTAGTGCAAGAAGCTATGATGGAGAGCTGCTTTGCCGATGCCAGACCTTTTTACTTCACACTCCTGGTGTTTGGATCTCCCGTTCGTCATTTCTATTTCAGCTCTCGTGTGTGGAGCCGCGCTGTCAAATCCGTCAACGTCATACAGTGACATCGGTGACCGTGACACCTACAACCAGGCGTTATGGTGGGGGGCAGCGCATCCAGGCGATCCTCCTGGTACCAATGGTTGCTTCTCAAGCAATCGCACCTTTGAGACCTGCTGTGTAAGTTGGACCGGGGAGCTTCCAACATGTTGGGAAAAACAAGGGGCCCAGATGGAAAGGATGGAAGGGAGCAACCTCACCTACGATGCTTGTTGTGTGGCAAAACACCATTGGGCCCCGCGATCATTCTCCTGTGATGGGAAGAGCATGTACTGGCAGCGATTGTATCAAACGTTGGCTCTCTTTCGAGTCTTTACAGAGTTGCATGAGACGCCATTGAACCAGGCTTCTCCGCAGGAATGCTTGGTTGGTGGTGTCCTTGCAAGCATACTGTCTTTGATTCATATTGGATACGACCGGCAGTATCGCACGCAGGAGCAAAAAGACATGGATTATGAACGGGCTGAAGGTTTGTTGCTGGTGCTCTTTAGTAGTCCAGTAACCTTAGAAGAGGTCTTGGTTTCCGGTTGGCCGTTGTTCCTGTCACTGGACCTCTTCCGTGCTGATGAGGGCTTTCTGCAGATGGCACGACAGCGTTTGCCCCTGCAAACACCTGGGGAACACACCCTGAAGTGGAGTGAAGTGGTGGTAAAGTCCATCCAAAATGGACAAGGAAGCAGGATAGCTATGGAACCCGTGATCCGGCTTGGGAATCTTGCAGTGGAAGAAGTGCTGTGGAAAGCGTTTGTTTCTATACACATATTATATTATTATATATACGTATATTTATATTTTATAATTATTATTATATGTTTATATATATATATACACGCTGTATATTGTATCTTTAGTTTGATGATGTTTGATGATGACTGCAAGTCCGGGAACCCTCGCATTTTTGCCGCCCTTTCGCAGCCCCAGGAACAGTATCACCAAGTCGGGAGATGTGGCCCTTGCTCAACTGGTGCCAATTCTAACAGCGCTAGTTGCTTGGCTCAACACTGTGAAAGCTGTGTCCTTTTGTTCTACCCCACCCAAGGATAATTGCAAACTGTTGTCTCCACGAGACCAACAAAGTCACCTTGTTAGTCATCTGCAGCTTGACCTACAGTAAACCAACTGCAGCAGTAAGTAGACGCTCCAACTCCATTTTGCGGAGATAATTACGAAGCTTCCAACATAGATGGACGCCAAGTGCAGACATCCCTTCGGCATAGTGGAGAGAATCAGATTCAGCTGAAAATTGTTTGAAAGCCAATGTTTGCACATGTTTGGACCGCAATCAAACACCTAGTACCAAATCCAAGAAACGATGAACGTGGAGCAGTTCTCCTTGGTTGTAAAACATGATGTTCAGGATTCTAATCGACCCGCTCTGCCCTTGATGCCCCAACCGGCAAACATTTTTCTCATTTTTTCTCTAACATTCTCCAACCAAGAAAGTTCAAACGCATAACCATATCAGTAGGTTTCCTCGCCATACGAAAAAAAAAATCACCACGCTCGACTTCTGATGTTTGGTTATTGAGGTGGAGTACCACAACCTCCGCAACTTTCAGTGTCCACGCTCTGATCAGGGGGAGGTGATTGCTCTAGCTATGGAAGCAAAGCGTTTGATCACCTTTGTGGATACTCAGCTGCGGCAATGGATGATCGCAGTCAAGCGTCCTCTCTTTGAGAATCATTGAGAAACCTGTTTTATCCTGTTTTCATTTTTGTCAAATTCTTTTCTTTGGCCTAAGGGCGTGCCTTAGCCCTAGATTCTAAGATCTCACCTTATGATTACCTTATGCCCAAACAGAAACACGGTGCTGGTTTCAGTTCCTACATCCAGTAGTTTTTTTCGGCTCAGTTCCTTCAGCGGAGGTCCGCTCTCGCTGCTTATTAGCCTGAAACTTCCGTTGGTAAACCTTCTGCAGGCAGTGTCGTGGCCTGCAGTTGTGCTAACAGATCCAGGCACGGCAATCCTCGCTGAACTGGGTTTTCAACTGGGAGAGCGGAAAGATACTGAACTTGTCATGTAATAAATTGTCCGGACTCCAGCCTTTGCACAGGAATAGTAGCTTCTAGAATTCTTGGGATCAACTATTGGCGGCATTGGGAAAGTCTATTTGTACTTTACTCTGGTAAATATTACTGTATATGTAAATATGACACCAAAGGGTGCTGCAGGTGTTCAGCCATCCGGCAGGAAAAGTTCTGCAGACCAGTGTTCACTTTCCTGGGGCGCTGCTTCTGAAGAGAGTGCCATTTTACAAGGTGCGAGAACTTCCATTGCTCGTGCAGCATGTTCATCCAGGACTTCAGTGAGTCTCTGAAGTTGTCCAACATTTTCAGGAGGTTTGTCCAATTTTGTTCCTGTTTGTTCCATGTCATACCTCATTGTCATCATCCCTCATCATCCCCTTTTGAAATTTTTAAATCTCGAACCTCTTCTGTTGAAGTTTCAGGATTCGATGCTGCCAGCAACATGGTCCGCGCCACCGCCCAGCCCATGTGTTACCAGGAGGGCTTTTTGCAACTGATTCTCTCCATGGCCTCCATGGCCTCCAGCGGCCCCAGCAGCCCCAGCAGCCGCCGGTTGCGACTGTGGGATGTGGGTGCCAGCTATGGCGACTGCCTCCTGTGGGCTGCTGCTGTCTTGGATCCCCTTAAGGATCTGGAGCTACGGGGCTTCGAGCCGTTACCCGCCCAGGCCCTGGCGTTTCGGCAGTCGGCGCAGGTCGCAAGGGCTCAGGTGACAGTGGAGAATATGGCCCTGCGGGATGAGAGAGGAACTTTGGACATTGGCTTTCCAAGCCATTCCATGGCACTGGCCACCTTTCAAAGTTGTCGGAAACAATATGAAGTCCCTTCAAATAATGAGTACCAGTGCATCTCAAGAACTACGACCTCTGAGACCCTGGATGAGTACTTGAGGAGACTGGCACCCGTAGAACTGGTTGATCTTCTCAAGGTGCACGTGCAAGGCGACGAACTTTCTGTCTTACACGGTGCAAATGCCTCCTTCACATCTGGCCGTATTTGTGGATTGTTCCCTTGCAGCAAAATCCCTCCATCGTCGGCAATGTTTAAACAACTGTTGTACAGCTGAGAAATAGACACAAGATGACACAAGATGACACACGGCATTGAATCGAACATCCTTGAACTGTAGTAACTATAGTAACTGATGGTACCCGATCATCGAGGTGATGAGTCAGCTGAGGCATTTGAACCTGGAGCACTTTTATCTCACTCCTGGTGCTGCACGGATGATCTCAAATCTCTTGCGAAGATCAGGCTTCATCGGCGTTCTGGCAGCTATTCTCAAGTCCAGCAAACCTTTTACGCCTTTTTAACTTCCAAACACTTGGAATCTGGGGTGTTTCAAAACCATCAAAACCTGGTTCTGTGAGGCATCTTCCCCAATCTCATTCTGATTGTCACTTTCGCGCTTTGTCAAGCAAGGTGAATCTGTGGGATGTGCGGCCTGTGAATTTTCTGAACTTGAAATCAGCCATGGTCCGAAGGCAGCCGTTTTGGCGCCGGGGCCAGCGTCCAGCCCCAGAAGTGCCATGCTATTTTCTAGAGACCACTTTTCCATACTTTTCCAACTTTGGGACATATAGTTTAAGAACATCTCAAGGTGAGTCTATAATAGTCTATATGAATTCATTTTTCTCAGCCATGATAAGCACATTATTTTTTGTAAGGTCGATCATGTCACCTCTTGGACCAAAGTCTGCATGGAATTCTGTGTCCCAGGATATGACCCATGAACTCTTGGCGTGGAGTACAACAGAGGGTTGTCGCGACAGTCTGGTGGTCAATGCGGCACAAAAGCTTTGGACGGAGCCTGGACGCTTCTGATTTGGCGATGCGAATGTGAGCGCTGGATAGCGCTGGCAGTACAAGTGGGCATTCACTTGGAATAGGTTTGAAATTTGGCAGTTTCAATTGGTTGGTGTGAGATAAAAAGATGCTTGCTGCGGTCTTTAAAACGCACAATCTTGACTGCTAAGATCAGTTCAACAGTTCAACATTTCATAACTTCGGATCTCTTTGATTTTGTTTGATCTTCTGCTCCTGTCTTCTGGTTCTTTGGTGTCCGTTCAAGGCCCAGGCAGACGAGCAAGCTCAAGAGATCGATTCGCTGCAGGACCCGACTTCCCAAAATCAAGGCGATGAAGCAGATGTGTTTTACTCAACAGAGCTCAACAGGCACATGTAAATTGAAACTTCACACACTTGACTGTCAGGAGCAGCTGCAGTCTGGTTCCAAGATTCTCCGAAAAGAAACAGAAGATGCTGCATCAGGTGTCAAGATCTATCAAAGATATCAAAGTCCATTCTCCGTTTGTGTGGAAACAAATCTTTACAGGATTGAAGTTTGTTGTATTTGTTTATTGCATTGTATCTCAATTATTTGTGTCAGGCCAACATCTGTCATCACCTTATAACTTATAACTTATAAAACACAGCTATATGCATTGCCCAGTCAATGCAAATTGTGTGCTCTGCGCAGGACGTAATAGCTCAAGAACAAACCTTGACAATGTCGTATTCATATTGTAGGATCATTCTCAACCAACAGACATTTCAACTGACCGAATGAATTGACAATTTACACTGCGATCAATGTTGTGATCGATTTATTATCATTACCCCAAAATAAGTGAATATAATATAGTAGCAGAAAAAAATCTTAACCACATGTTGTATTGATTGGCTGAACATTATTGTAAGATGTAACCATGGTTGTACTACTCATCAATTATTCTGTCACCCTGAGGTTTCCTGGACTGGGGGTACCCCCAAATCATCCAAAATAAGAACCATTTTAGTATTGAACCCATGGTTTTGGAGAGCCCCCAGTTTAAGGAACCCCATATTATAACAATCATCATTGTTAAGTTGTATTATAAATATATATACTGTACCCTTATTACCCAATCTAAAAATTATGATATAGGTCAACATAAATCAATCAACATAGCAATTTCCTATAAAAAAGATCCCTCTATAAAATTTCAGATTTATGATTCATTGCCCAGTACTTACCCAATATTTATCCAAGGTCCGCTTCGCGCGCCACCACTGCGCCCACCTCAAGGGAGGCCTTGGATGCGGAACCCTGGGCGACGCTCACAGGTGCCACTGGAGAAATACCGTTTTTTTTTTGGGATTCAAATGGATACCCTCTGGTAAACTAACATAGCTATGGAAAATTGCCATTTATAGTGGATTTACCCATTGAAAATGGTGGTTTTCCATAGCTATGTTAGTTTACCAGACAGTATTGACCGTTGAATAACTTGAGAATCTTGAAATGATAGCAGCAAGGTTCTTGTTTTTTTTTTTGATTATTCAACTGAAGCAAGGAAACATATGAATGAGGACATGGGTATGAAATTTGTGGATTTTCACCTCCAACATGAATATAATGGATCTTATTTCAATGTATTGGGTGAACATGCCAACAAATGGATGGTTAGATGCTTTTTGACGCTGAACATAAACAAATTTGTCTAGTGAATTCGCACACCAGTTTTGACCCATACCAGATCGTCAAGGTTGCTTTTGCAAAACAGACGTTGCTGCAGTTAGCAGGAACAAGACAAACACCAAACACCAGCATTGTTGAAAGAGCTTGAAAGTTCTTGAATTTATTTTGATAGGGTCTTGTAGGCTGGACTCGATAGGATGTTTCCATTTGATTCACGTTGCCTTCACGTTGCCTTCACGTTGCCTTCACGTTGCCTTCACGTTGCCTTCCAGCTTGCAGCAGCTGTGCAGGAGATGGTTGGAGACAGAAGCCGTCGATGTACCTTGGCGACACCCGCGTGAACCTCTGATCCTCTGAGGGATTCTGAGGGCATCATGGGGATTCAACCAGCTCCATCACCACCCAAAGGTGACCACAGTAAATCAGAGTGGTGAAGATTCGCCGGTAGCATCTGGTGAATATCTGGTGAATATGAAATGACATTTTAATGGGAAAGTCAAAGAAAATCGATGAACATCATGGAAAATCATCCATTGCCATGTTTGACTACCGGAGGGCAGTTGTTGTTGCGATCAAGGACTCTTCTGGAAGAGCGTTCCACTCGGCAGCTGGAAGAGGACGGGAGACCGTTCACGTGGTGGATCGATGTGGATCGTAGTGTCAAGGTTGTGAAAATCGGGAGTATAGGGACATTTACAAAATGTACAGCAGGTTTGGACAACGTGCTATCCAACTTGTTTCAAGACCAAGATTACAAATCTGGAGATGACATGTGCAAATGGGCTGATGTGAATTGCAGCAAGCGTAGGTAGCCTCTACACGCCTCATGCTGGAGATTTGTCCTGATATTTGGCTTTGCTGTTAATCTCATGAGGTTCGACATGCTGCGCTGCAGAGTGAAGCCCAGATATCCAGGTGCAGCAGAGTGTTCCCCAGAAAAATGAGGTTGTACTTCATGTATACAAGAATCACTGCTACGATCTGCTACGCATATCACCGCTAGCCATCCTGAATTTGTGGCTTTGGCAAAGACAACGACGTCTATATTCCTGTCCTGTGCTACAGGCGCGGAAAGGAGGCAGAGGCTCAGAAGGCGGGCCACAAGTGCAAGGGAGATGCAGTCAGCTGAGATCAGCTGAGCAGTTGTAGCAATAGTAACATTATGTATGAAACATGTGACAGTGAAACTTAACAGTACTTGGTTTATTTATGTTTATTTCAGTTGAGTATCTGGGCATTGCGCGTTGAATGGTGTTCGAGACGGACGCCCTCTCCAGTGAAAGGAGTTGGAAGAGCAGAGAAATCTTGAAGCGGAGCTGCAGAGCGAATTGCGCGCTGCTGAGGCCACTTTACAAGCGTCATGGGGGAGGACCCAACATCAAAACTATGGTCAAACAGACACAGTAAATCGGCATGTGCGCATGGGTTGCTCTGAAAATAGGCTCCCCCTAAATCCATGATAATCCATTGGTTAATCAGTTAATCATCATCATTACTGAAATGATCTAAAACTGCAATTTTCATCAATTTTCAGTATATGTGTGCTGTATATTCCATTTTCAGCCAGCCTTATTGTGGAGCGTAGGTTGAACTGGCCAAGATTGCCGAGGAGGCGAACAACAAGATTGAGGCGGCAGGAGATGGTCGATTGTGCCACATCAACAAACTGGCTTTAGGATGCTTAAACAAGTGACAGTTGGAAAACACAATCAATTATGATCAATTATGATATTTGATGATATAGTTACATAGTTCATTTGAATACCTTTGACTTGATACCAGTGTAATCCATTATGATAGCATAATGATTTCCATTATAATACCATTATGATCCACAATCATCCGTTATGATACCACTATGACATATTATGATTATGATCAAATGATCCATAATGATGCAAGATAATCCACAGTCATCAGTTTTGTTGAGAGGCAGCCAACCTGCGTATCCGATCTCTGCGGCGGGAGCGAGAGGAGGTCGGCTTGCTCTGTGGAAAGGAAAGCAGCTGTAGAAGCCAAAATTTCCACGATGCTCTAAAGCGGACCACAATACCACAGTTTGATTGGCCTTTGAAAATGGAAGATCACGGAAGATCTGAACTTTGATCCACGACAGCAGTTTGTACCCACGAGATTTGTTTCTTGAATTTTCTCTGTCTCGACGTTGCTCCACCTCAAAGGCGAACAATGCGCTGGAAGAGCGACGTCAAGGAAACCAAAAGCTGCAGGCCATGCTGGAGGACACGACATTGTCAGCTGACTGCCTCTACTCTGCAGATCTCTGCAGTATTCGTTTGTTGCAAAAGTGTGGATTGGCAATACTGCCACATCATGGCTGTCTGAGTTTTAACTTGGTGAAATGAAAAGGACATGTATGAGATTTGAACATTTTGAACTTCGACCCAGGAGATAGAGCAGGAGAAGAGTCAGCTGATGGAGCAGAAGGAGGCTGCGGCTATAGCTACAGCTTCCAGCTGCCAGCTGCCATGGCTCAATGGAAGAGACCGCTCCAGGCGTTGATTCGCATCGTGGAAGACTTGCATAGCTCCTGCACCCAAGCAGGGCTTCCGGCCACAGACCGTGCGTCAATTGTCTGGGCACCCAGCAACGCATAGCAACACTAGAAATGCAGTACAGATGGCGATTTAAAATGATTTAAACATACGTATTGCATCATGGGATGCCATGGGTACACTTCAAAATTGCTGGTGGGATCTAGTGAGTTCAAGCAGTAGAAGATAATCAGAGGTGCAAGGATTACTCAAGGCCTTACAGCCAGAGCAGCGGCGCAGAGTTTGTCCCAGGATAGCATTACCGGCTTCAAAATGCCGAGCTGAGAGATGCTGAGAGGGCTTTGCTCCTGTGATTTTCCGTTCGACTTCACATGCTGAGCTGGCACTTGGAAACCATGATTGACTTTTTTAATTTGCAGTGATCAGCAGTTATGACCTTTTCGTCCACAGAATATTCCACTTTTCCAATCATTCCATGTATACATATATATAAATATATATACATATACATTTACTGTATATACAATAACCCTATGTTCCATATATTTCTATATATTTCTATCCTTTCCACGTTCATGAACAGGCTGTCCAGCTCTTCGTGGGATGAGATTCAGTTAATGTTTCCCTGCCCTGCGGATGGTCCACCTGTCATCTGGGCGGGGCATGGAGCTGGTTTAGATGGACATTTCCCGAGGCAGAGGTTGCGCTGTCATGAGCTACATGTCTTGGTTTCGACTGGTTCCGGAAGGTCATGAGCTGCGGAATCAACATGTCCATCTGAGCTCTTGGTTTGATTCAGTACTTGGAGGAGTTGGCAGCGGCGTAAAGCTTCGCCACTGTTCACCCTGCTGTCGAGAAAAAAAGGCATCAGAGATATCAAAGATACCAAAGAAGATGTGTTGGTCAATCTATATACTTCTATTCTTTCCCTGGCGCACTTGACCAAGTTGAACTAGCCGGATCGGGTCGCTGCACAGGATGAAGAACTTCGAGAAGTCCGCCTAGAGCCCCAAGCTTTTGGAAATTGCGACATTGCCAAAGGATCAAAGGATATTGGATGATGTGAGCCTCAGAACAGCAAGGCATTCAAACCCAGGGCTTTGCATGGTGAAACCACGCCACATCGTCTGATCCAAATTTTATCCTTCCTTTTCGAGCAAGTTCATTCTCAGCTAGATTCTGTCTTGGCCTTGTGAAAAAGAGTGTTTGTACTGCAAAGGTCACGAAAATGAGCAGCTACGTTCAGAGGCTGGTGCAGACTCTCAATGTCACTTGAGCCGTTCTGAAAACCTCCCTTTACAATTTTTGTAAGGGCCTTGTCATATCGAGTGTGGCGCAAGCAAAACCCTCACTTGCGTAAGGCCACGTAAGAACTTCGTGTAAGGGCTTCCTCAATTTGCTCCGCGTAAGGAAAAAAACCACGCGCTTAAGCATGGTGCAAGCTCTGGTGCACCCAAAATGATACGACATGATACGACATAGCGAGTGACTGAAGGTTTTTAGAATGGCTCACTTGCTGCAACTTTGTTTTGACATTCATTTGTTCGGTGGTTTGCAACCAAATCAGCGAGGATGGACACGGCGGCTCAAATCACAAGTCATAACAATTATATGGGTATGGATCAATACCTATTACCATTTTTAGGGGGATGAACATCCATTTACCAGCTATTTTGATGTTCACCAGGGGTACAAGGTTTTGACACACTGCCATATATGATACATTGTTACATTGTCTCCAGCATGCATGACACCGAGCCAAGACTTTCTTGATGGAGACGCATAAAGTGTGTAAAGTGTCATCCAGCTCATGGTTGGCCACATTGCAGAGTTTCACCAGAAAACATATTCTGATGTACACACACATATATAATACATTGGATGTATAATATACGTCGGATGTACAATATACATTGGATGTATAAAATTAAATTAGTACAATCATATACTGCATTTTATTGTTTATTTGAATGATTTGAATGTATCTATTTATTTGTCCAACATTTCCGGCACTTCCGGCTTGCAATTTGACAGTTTGCCAACTGCCCGGAAGGTGGAAGCTTTCATGACCCGTTCCTTGAAGGCGAGTTCAGCAGCTCTTGCAGACAAGGCGGGACGATGTGGGACGTGTGTTGGGTGAAACAGCTTGGTGTCAGCCAAACGTGGGGTACCAACTGATCTACAAATTTGGTAATGTTGTGTAATGTTCAGGAAATTCAGGATTAAACAAACCATTTTGATCCATTTTGGGGATTGAATGGGATTGATTTGACCCATAGACCTGAGAAGTGTATCCAGCAACCGCAGCAACGGGAGAGACGCCATAAGCAGCTCACGGCGCCATCTTGCGCGCTGATCCCATCTCTTGTTTGCAACATGTGGGGCGCAAACAGTGTGTTAATTCATTGATGTTGATGCGAAGGTGCGAGAAACCATGAGAAAAAATAAAGCTCAGCCATGAACTACGCCACATGATGGCTACATGCCTATGACACACCATATTCAGATTCTGGAGCTGTTCAGTTCAAGGAGGGCTTGTGTCAGAGCAGTTTCTCTCTGAATCATGGGTGGTGCTGCTGCTGGTGCCATGGATGCAAACGCGTTTAATGCTGCAGTGCGATCTGCACACGACGGTGTTTTTCTCCCAGAGGTTTCCACTTTGACCTACCAAGGCAATCCCATCGAGCGTTTGTCCAAAGGTTTCAATTTGATTCACTGAAAATTGGGTGTACTTCAGTGTGGTTCCGCAGGAAAGCCTGAGATTTGTTTGATCGTTTATGATTCTTGTGGGCTCCGAAATCAATCGAAATCAGGTGTCTTCAATGAGCACAGCTATCACACTGGGGGACCAGAGGATACACACCAGGTGGCTGTTGCTGCTTATGCTGCTCGTGGTCTAGGGAGTCTCGGAGATCCCGACGAAGTTTGGGTTGCTTGTTTTCTCAAATCTTGCAGAGATGGACAACCTCGGGATCACATAGCTATGGACCTCATCGTTGTCCTGGATGTCTCGGGATCAATGACTCTTGGAGAATTTGGTAATATTTGGTCTATGATATACTATATGCTATACATGCTATACCGGATTGAACAACAGAAGATCTCTATATACATATTTCATCTTATTTCTATCCTTTCTATCACTGCAGCATGCAAAATGATATGGGGCCACCGGGTTGTCATGTTGCAATATAGGTTTAGTCCACTATTGTCCCAGTTTTTGTTTGGCAGCCATTCAAAACCGACGCAGCCACAGGGACTGGTCTGTGGATAGCGAGCGACTTCGAACGACTGAAAATTCCCGACTGGCCTTGGCAAAGGAAGCATTGACCTCCCTGATTCCAAAACTGCGACCAGATGATCGCTTTGGTTTGGCGACCTTTACAAATGAGGGACGAGTGATACAACCCCTGGTCCCCGTAGCAGAGCTGCGACATGAAGAGTTTCTTTGTGAAAGACTGGCATTTTGCATTTAATACTCTTTTCCATCAATTTTCCATCATTCTCCATCTCAGATCCCTAAATTCAAATCCTCATCATGGGCTCCTGTTTCCATGATGTGATATTGTTTCATCATGCTCTGCCGCATTCTGTCTTGCCAGGCTACTGCAACAGATTCATGAGCTGCGAGCTGGTGGTGGCACCACGATTTCAGCAGGCTTGCAAGCTGCGGTGCAAATTTCCGGCGAGGAAATGCCCGTGGGTCGACATCGACGCCTTCTGTTTCTCACTGACATGGATGATATGCGTCCTGGGCAATTGGATCACATGGTGGCGACACAGTCAGAAAGGGGCCTCTTTGTCTCTTTTGTGGGTATTGGAATGGGCTTTAAAGCTGAATTGGCAGAACAAGTATCAAAACATAAAGGATCAAACTATTTCTGCATCACGCAAGAGCACGAACTGCGCAAGACAATCGTAGATAACTTTGACTGGAATTTCTTTCCCGCAGCCTTCAATGTCGAGATGACGGAGCAAAGTGATACCTTGCAGCTGTCTTCTGTTTATGGCACTCCGTATGACTTGCGAGACGAACTTGTGGAAGCTGAATGGATGCCTGACGTCCATCGTTTCTATCCAGAGGAATTCAAATCAACAGTTACAACCTTTCTTCTTTGTATTCAGAGAACAGTCAGTGGATTGCCTATGCCTGCCCTACAGTCCATCTTCAGCTTCCTTTCCGCGGGAGTGCGCAGCGTCATCCGTGTGGATACCGTCTTTCCAAGCGGCGTCCAAAGCGACGGTGCGGTGGATGGTGGGCTCATTCTGTTGAGGCTCCGTGGCCGCGGCGGTGGCCAAGTGCGGTTGACACTTCGCTACGAGGCGAGGCATGATGTGACTGGATGCTGTAGATTTGAAATTAGTGGCAAAATTGGCAAACCAGATTGGATGGTCAAGAACTTAAGACATCTTAAGACATATCGTCCAATGTTGATGATATGCATCACATACCGTGGCCATATGGCCCCATCATGCTCTCAGACCTGAATGATCTGAGACTTTGCTGCAGGCTGCTGGCCAGTTTTTCACCAGCTGTCAAGATGTACTGATACCCAAAGATGCAGAATCTGCGCCGGCTGCATTGGCAATACAGAAAGGAGTTTCCCTTCAGCGTTATGTGGAGGCTTGCAGAGCGTGCCTTCACAGCACACGCTGAGTTTCGCTTAATTGCTGATTAAATCATGTTAGATCTCTAGTTTCCACCTCACAGCATCAAGACACAGCAGTCACGATCGTACACTGATGTACACTGCGCACATTTAATTTGACATCATTTGACTCATGGCAATATCATGCCATTGCTTCACATTGCTTTTTTTCATATTAGTTTCCTGTCCCATCTGTCCCAAGGTACCTGATGTTACGAGATCCTGTTCTCAGCCATTCTCCAGGATTTGAGGATTATGCGAATGAAGTGAGACGTGCTTTCAGTCAGCTCCAGGACTTGCAGGAGGAATTCAGCCAAAATGCAGCGAATGTTGACACTCTGTGCCCCGGACTTCGTGATCAATTGACGGCTTTCACAGAAATGGCCGAGAAACATGCTAAGAGCGTACTGGAGGGCAAGTAAGCCTGAAGCACTTGCTGACTGAACGACGATTCTTGAACTGGTGCAGAGTGTTTTCAAGTACCTTGCTACTTACGTCCCTCCTTTGGATGTTGCTTCGCGAGACCTTTGAGAGAAGCGAATGATTATGTTTTGGTTGCCCTATTGTACAGTCTGCGGCGCTTGACAATACTGCCAAACGGCATAACACAAAAAAAACATCACAGGGGGACTGACCTGCCAAAGAACTGCAAAACAATCCTAGGCGAGTGAAATGATATTATGGGTTCAGAACAGTGTCTTTGCGTCGCACAGGCGGATGCTTTGGAGATGGAGAACAAGGTGGGCTGAAATTCTTGGATACAACATGATACAACAACACCTTACCATTTCCGTTTCTGCCGACATCTGCCGACTCCCTTCCGTCTAGGCAGACCAATACCATCCAATACCCATCACATCCATGTCGGTAGGAATATGATCAGGAGTTCCAAACAGCTCCAGACGTTTTTTCCTTCTTCTCCAAGGCTTTGCACCTCGAGGTAGAGCAGCTACAGAGTAAGGTGGGCTGTTCACTCTGATATTGATTATTGATCATTGGGGTATGGATCAATACCTATTAATACCATTTTTAGTGGGTTATTCACATCCATTTACCAGCTATTTTGGGGTTCACTAGGTACCAGGGTTTTGACCAATAGCCATTTAATATCATTTATGATCATTTGGAAGCGCGATTGTGACAGAAATTGTGACAGTCCCTCAGCTCGCTTCGATGCATCCCCAACTGAGCAGAATCAGTGGTCCATCTGCCAGCGCGATGAAGAAGTTGGTCGTTTGGAGAATGAGCGGAATAAGCTGGGGTCCCAGCTGGGCCAGTCATGTCTTGCTGGTGGATGCAACTATAACAATCTATAAAATGTACATAATCTGTATAATATATAATAATATATATATAATTATATATAATATCCTACTGCAACTGACTCTAAGTGTAGTATGTAGATGTAACAGATGTAGCACGGTAGCACCTTATTATCTCCGTGACACTACAAAGAAAGGCTGCCGTAGATCTGAGGCTCCGGGCAGCAGTTTCTGAACTGGAGCTTCAGCTTCAGCCAGGGACCCACTTCCATCATTGATGTTGGAGCATTTTGGAGCGAAGAAGAAGTGCTTCTGGAAGCCATGTTGTACAGTATATGGGTGTGTCTGAAAATAGTGTACCCCTAAACCCAATGGTTAATGATCATTATCCCTATTAAATGGCTACAATTGGGAATATACCCTATTTTCAGACAAAACCATATGTCTGGGTATGTTTATATGATGTTCAGCGATACTCTTCAGGGTGACATATCCCATTGCTATCATTATCTATCATTGCTCATCTGCTAGTCATGGCGAGGTCTATGGCGATCAGCTATGGGCAGGTTGGCCTGAGTGGGGTTGTTGTTTTCTTGCTAAGCTGTCCTGATGGTAGGAAAGGTACCTCAATATCTCCTAATCTCAACATCACTGTTGTTTTCTGTTCCACATCGTTCCCAGATCTCAACCATGTCAGGTTGAACAGAACAACGCCGAGCTCAGGGCTGCACTGGACAGGGTGCGGATCAACAGATCCAAGTGCATCAAGTGAGGTTGATGGGAGATACATCAACTTGGGTTGTGCCGTGTTGTGCCTTAAGTGTCCTTAAGTTCCTTGCCAGATCCATCCAGAATCTATATTGATCTATATTGCATCTTGTTGGCCATGAGCACGCCAAAAGGCAAGCGGAATTTTAAAGGGGGTTATTGGTCACTCGAGCAAGATCATTAGCTGGGATTCAGCCTCTTCTTCAGGACTACTCCAGCATGTTTTTCGCCTTGTCGCCCACGCGCACTTTGGGCTCAAAGTTTTCCCCTACCATCGGGCCCTTGCGGAGTTGCTATGAGCTTAGTTGCCAGGACATGTCGGGACCGAGAATCAGGTTGAATCAGTTCTTCAAACCAATCTGGGGGACCAACATAGACCAAGCCAACCGACTTCGAGTATGAGTCTGAGGCTCATTCCTGCACATCTTCCAGCATGGCGCAGACAATGAACACAGAGGCTCAGCTCAGGGACACCATCGGACACCAATTGAAGAGGAAATTGCGGGCTTCATGTCGAATGAAAGAAACATTAATATCATCTAATTATTAATTGTCGAGGTTGAATCCTGCTTCTTCGTTTGCGTTTTGTGGAAATCCTTCCAGATGCCTGGAGTTTAAAACCTTCCATGTAACCCTTGATCTTTATTGATTAGAAGTTCACTTCCACGCTCAATACTTTAGGGTTTGATTCAAAGCAGCATTTGTTCATGAAACGCAGACATCAGCTGACGCTGGAAAGGCATAAGTTTGAGGATGTTTGAGCTAAGGTCGCGAACAGCAACAAGGACCGGGCGAGGTACGAACAGCAGCCACTTGATAGCACTAGGACCAGAGACGACCGCAGCGGTTAGCAGCTTGACAGTTTGGTCCAGTGAGTAGTGCCCAGGTTCTACAAGACCCGCCAGTGCGCCTTCTTCGCAAAAGGAAAATGCACTCGTGGTGCGCAGTGCAAGTATGCTCATGGCCAAAATGAGCTCCTTGGTACGAAACAGACTCTTGAAGTCCGCCACAGCTGTTGCAGTCAGCTGCATAAGTCATGTTTCTTTTTAGGAGATCCTGGGGCCTATCACAATGACCTCTGAGGCTGCAGGAGAGGCCAGACCTTACCTTCACCTCGCTTTGCCGTGCCTGGGATGAAGGTAAGGTGTCGGGAATGAAATGGAATGGTCCTTGTGAATGCACCAGTGCCTGACATTTTCATTTGAATAATCAACCTGTTTGTGTTTGCATGAACCTAGACTCTGACTCAACCTTAATATGTTTGCTTTAAGATTTCGTCCTTAGAGTCACAATCAGTCACACTTCTGGCTCGTGGTTGCAAGTGGATCAAGCAGCAAGTTGGCAGTTCCTAGCCTGCAGCGACCTCTGGATGACTTTTTCGGTGATGACTTAGGTGAATATGCAACCACTGGCAGCTGCACCAACCCCAAATGTTCATTTGCTCACAATCCTGGGCAGCTTCGAGCAACGGGAAAATTCTTCAAGGCCTCAAGCGTTTCGGGGGAACTGGGGGAAAAAACACATTAAAAAGCTGGATCTGGGAAGACCCAGCTGGAATTTTTCAAGACCCTGCTAATTTCCATGATTTCTATATATTTCTATATTCAAAGTCATTTCAATTTAAGTGAAGATAGTGAAGTTAGATGAAGTTAGATGAAGTTAGATGAAGTTAGATGAAGTTAGATGAAGAGTTAGATGAAGTTAGATGAAGATAAGTTAGATTTGTGACCTAAACTAAACAGCCCACTTTGATTTTGGATGTTGCGTGGCGCATTGCATTGGCTCCCTGCGGCACCTGCAGACATCGCTGTGCAAGTTCCACTTGCAGGGCCGATGCCGCCTGGGAAAGGACCTTCTGATGGCACATGTGTGGAAGATACCTGCAGAAAACTGCAAAAGAAGCTGCAAAAGAGCCAAAGCATGGTATAGTTTGTATAGTGCATACAAGAAAGCATCGACTGCGGTTCAGGTTGTGTTTGTTTGTCCCAGTTGATGGTAGAGCATACCAGCATTTGTCTCCAACATTTCCAGATTCTTAGTGCAGGAGTGCCGCCATGCGCATGGTGAGGATGAATTGGCACCGGCCCCCAAATCTGCTGGCGCACAGCAGGTGCGATCATTTGACATATTTGACCTTGCCTTTCCATGCCTTTTCAACTTACGCTGCGGTGACAATCCTTTGTGACAAGTTCTCGCCGGATCTTGCCACACCTGGAAGGAGCCGGTAAGCCCAGTTTTCGCAGAGCCAACAGGCGGGCTGTAGGGAGACTGTACTGTAGGGGAAATATGGGGACATGGTATGAAATGGCAGGACAGAGGGCTCCTAAAGGGATGGAAGGCTAGTTTTGGCGACTCTGGCTCTCTAACAATTTCCAAATTTCAACGCGTTGCAGTGATGATACTGGTATTGTAGTATGCACCGAATCTTGAATCGCAGCAAATGGACTCACGTACAGACACAGACACACACACTGTTGATTTTTTGGAAGTGAACTGCAATGACGATGTGGTTGTACACGCCTGGTAGAATTCCTGAGTCCATCATCCTTGATAAACAGGTGAAACCAGGTCCAAATCATTAATCAGCAAGGTGGTTCTTGGGTTAGCCACATCCCATCGCGGAAAAGGAAAGACATGATTAGGCAGGTACGTCGATCCAGCGTCCCGGATCGATATCACAGAATGTCATAGCCGTCTTCGTTGGCTGCAGAACTATGACATTCCCTGCAGCCCCCTGCTGTTAAGTAGTCTTTGGCGCATGAATTCGGAAAACATAACGTGCATAGTCTTTGGCGCATGAATTCGGAAAACATAACGTGCATAGTCATCAAATGTCCAGTTGTAGTTTTCTGCATGTGAATAGCAGTGTACACACACACAAAGGCCTTCACATGGAAGGCAAATTCTGAAAGACTGCCTAATGAAGTAAGCAGATCACGTCAATATAAGCAACGTTGAACTCAGTCGAAAATGAAATTCATGCTTGGGATTAGGTGTATACGCACCTGCATCTTCATGGACAGGTCTTTCCAAAGAAGGCACTCTGAGGTAGCGGCGTGTAGAGCAAGTAGACCACGTAGATCAAAGAAATCGCGATAAATAAAGTCGAAATGGAAAGGACATGGTTAGATTAAAAGGTGTTAATTGTTATTGGCGAAATGATTGAAAATGATACAATCCAAAGTTTGTATTAGCGAAATAATTGAATATGATGCAATCCAAAGTTATCGTGCCCTTGTCCCTCACGAACATCAATTGTTTGTTGCAGATTGCGCAACACTTTGCGTGTGGAGAGCGGTATACACATATATCCATATGTCTTCATAAGGAAGGTGACACTTCTGGGTTGCCGACGCGTGGAACAAATAGAGCAAGGACAGTATAACTTTGGAGTGTTAAAAAGTGAAGATAACTGCACTTCAATTGAAACATGGATACCACGAAATGAAATGGACACAAATCGATTGTATTCTTGTTCTTCCACAAATCCGTTTAAAATGAACGTTTATTAGTTGTCTATGGACGAAGGGCAGAATTCGCCAAAAACTGAGATTCCGACGCGTAGAACACGTAGGTCAGGTGGTTGAGATAGAACGCAGTGATGAAAACAGTAAATGGATTGATTAAATCACAGTTATATAACACTTAAGCCAGTGTGTTGCAGTACCGTGAGCCATATAGAGTAGAACAACGGACGTAAACTAAGCTGGAGAACTGAATATAATCCATTACGGAAAACAAATATCACACTGCGAGCCAGGCGTTTTGGGTGGGATGTTGCAGAAAACGTTTGAACAGTTGCAAAGTTGCAATTGGAATGAAAAGCACAAAACCAAAATGCAGCTACGACGGCTTCTTTTCAGTCAAACGGTGTCAATTGTTGTCTGGTCCATTTGTGTCCAAAACTGTTGATCTTGAAGACGTTGTTGTGCCAAATTGGATTCCACTGTCATGATGCGATCCATGAGATACACTATGGGTCCTGCATGATCAACACTCTGAGCTTCCAATCTATATTCTCCTACAATGCCTTTGACAGTCAACGATAATCCGGATGGTGAAGTAGGCGTACGTCTTTCCGCATGTTCAGCTGGCAACGTGATGGGAACCGGTGATACTCCTGATTTTGCTGAGGACTCCGCGATAGGTTATATCTTGGGGGTTGCTTGGTGAGGTCCATGTTCAACTGTACGTGAAGGATGTGAGGGGGGAGGTGAAGGAAGGGGACCGGGCGGAGTCTGTAGAACTGGTGCATGTCCGGGAAATGGTGAAAATGCAGGTGTCGCCCGTGGTACAAATGGAGCTGCTGCACACGGTGAAGACAGTGATACCATCGGTTGTGACGGAAGATACGCAACGGTAGCACTCAACGGCGGTCCATTGGCAGCTTTGCTTCTTGCATGGAGTTCCATATCGCGAAAAAGTCTGCTGAACACGAAAGAAGAAATGAGTTGTTCAAGAATTGTCAGTACATTTAGCGCATGGTGTGTTATGACGAATGACGTGTAGAAATGAAAAGCAACAAATTGACTTAACATGTCAAAGAGCTTGCTATGAGCCAAGGGAATGCATTACCCAGATTGAAAACGCATCAAAATCATGTATCAACTTGCGCATGATCGAAAACATGAATCAAGATCGTACACACATCTGCAGCGATAAGGTCCCTACCGTGTTTGACATTCTGCTTGGTTTGAGCATCACAAACTATGTGTGTCCGCACACTTTTGTGATAGGTCTTCCTATATTCTAGATCTCTTCAAATTGATCTCTTGTCCTCACAATTGTAAATTGATTTGAAAGAGAAGGTGAAAACTCATAAAATGACAGTAAGAAGTAGGGTTCCCGGCCAATAAAATCCTTCGGCACATGGCCACCTTCGCCCTATGGGCACCATTCGCCCGTTGGGCACCCCCTTCACATGGAAGGCAAATTCTGAAAGACTGCGTGTAGAGCAAGTAGACCACGTAGATCGAAGAAATCGCGATAAATAAAGTCGAAATGGAAAGGACATGGTTAGATTAAAAGGTGTTAATTGTTATTGGCGAAATGATTGAATATGATGCAATCCAAAGTTTGTATTAGCGAAATAATTGAATATGTTGCAATCCAAAGTTATCGTGCCCTTGTCCCTCACGAACATCAATTGTTTGTTGCAGATTGCGCAACACTTTGCGTGTGGAGAGCGGTATACACATATATCCATATGTCTTCATAAGGAAGGTGACACTTCTGGGTTGCCGACGCGTGGAACAAATAGAGCAAGGACAGTATAACTTTGGAGTGTTAAAAAGTGAAGATAACTGCACTTCAATTGAAACATGGATACCACGAAATGAAATGGACACAAATCGATTGTATTCTTGTTCTTCCACAAATCCGTTTAAAATGAACGTTGATTAGTTGTCTATGGACGAAGGGCAGAATTCGCCAAAAACTGAGATTCCGACGCGTAGAACACGTAGGTCAGGTGGTTGAGATAGAACGCAGTGATGAAAACAGTAAATGGATTGATTAAATCACAGTTATATAACACTTAAGCCAGTGTGTTGCAGTACCGTGAACCATATAGAGTAGAACAACGGACGTAAACTAAGCTGGAGAACTGAATATAATCAATTACGGAAAACAAATATCACACTGCGAGCCAGGCGTTTTGGGTGGGATGTTGCAGAAAACGTTTGAACAGTTGCAAAGTTGCAATTGGAATGAAAAGCACAAAACCAAAATGCAGCTACGACGGCTTCTTTTCAGTCAAACGGTGTCAATTGTTGTCTGGTCCATTTGTGTCCAAAACTGTTGATCTTGAAGACGTTGTTGTGCCAAATTGGATTCCACTGTCATGATGCGATCCATGAGATACACTATGGGTCCTGCATGATCAATACTCTGAGCTTCCAATCTATATTCTCCTACAATGCCTTTGACAGTCAACGATAATCCGGATGGTGAAGTAGGCGTACGTCTTTCCGCATGTTCAGCTGGCAACGTGATGGGAACCGGTGATACTCCTGATTTTGCTGAGGACTCCGCGATAGGTTATATCTTGGGGGTTGCTTGGTGAGGTCCATGTTCAACTGTACGTGAAGGATGTGAGGGGGGAGGTGAAGGAAGGGGACCGGGCGGAGTCTGTAGAACTGGTGCATGTCCGGGAAATGGTGAAAATGCAGGTGTCGCCCGTGGTACAAATGGAGCTGCTGCACACGGTGAAGACAGTGATACCATCGGTTGTGACGGAAGATACGCAACGGTAGCACTCAACGGCGGTCCATTGGCAGCTTTGCTTCTTGCATGGAGTTCCATATCGCGAAAAAGTCTGCTGAACACGAAAGAAGAAATGAGTTGTTCAAGAATTGTCAGTACATTTAGCGCATGGTGTGTTATGACGAATGACATGTAGAAATGAAAAGCAACAAATTGACTTAACATGTCAAAGAGCTTGCTATGAGCCAAGGGAATGCATTACCCAGATTGAAAACGCATCAAAATCATGTATCAACTTGCGCATGATCGAAAACATGAATCAAGATCGTACACACATCTGCAGCGATAAGGTCCCTACCGTGTTTGACATTCTGCTTGGTTTGAGCATCACAAACTATGTGTGTCCGCACACTTTTGTGATACTCATAAAATGACAGTAAGAAGTAGGGTTCCCGGCCAATAAAATCCTTCGGCACATGGCCACCTTCGCCCTATGGGCACCATTCGCCCGTTGGGCACTCCTTCGGCTTATGCCACCCTTCAATTGTCCTTGACCCCCCTTCGGCTATTGCCATCACTTCTAGCAGCCCCTATGGCTACTCGCTCAACTTCTGCCTCCGTAGAGGGCGGATTCGGCACACTATGCCAAGATTGTTCTTCCCCATTAGGGATGATAAGGTCATGGTCTGTATAGGACACATGACTAATGCACACTGTTGATTTTTTGGAAGTGAACTGCAATGACGATGTGGTTGTACACGCCTGGTAGAATTCCTGAGTCCATCATCCTTGATAAACAGGTGAAACCAGGGCCAAATCATTAATCAGCAAGGTGGTTCTTGGGTTAGCCACATCCCATCGCGGAAAAGGAAAGACATGATTAGGCAGGTACGTCGATCCAGCGTCCCGGATCGATATCACAGAATGTCATAGCCGTCTTCGTTGGCTGCAGAACTATGACATTCCCTGCAGCCCCCTGCTGTTAAGTAGTCTTTGGCGCATGAATTCGGAAAACATAACGTGCATAGTCTTTGGCGCATGAATTCGGAAAACATAACGTGCATAGTCATCAAATGTCCAGTTGTAGTTTTCTGCATGTGAATAGCAGTGTACACACACACACACACTGACTGTGCATGAGAAAAGGTAATGGAGCGATGTAAAGTTGTAGGAGTCGACGCCTTGAGGTCTTACAAGCTAGGAAATCATCATCCTGAGTGTCAACAGATGGAACCGAAACTGAAAATTGACCTGAAGCTGAAAATCCTCTGGCCTACAGTAGAACTTCAGAATCGAAACCGGTTGTTCAACTAGTTACATGCAAAACACAGTACAGACGTAAACAGGAAATGGAGTCACCAGTTTCACAAAATCTACTCAGGAGGTTCTTGGGTTGAGCCTCTTCCTATGTCGGAACAATGATCTTTTTGCAGGTACGTGGACTTGATCAGACTCCATATCACCACGAATTGACAGTGTCTTCATTGGGCAGGGTTTGTCAGCCGTGCGCTGCCCCCCTCTTTCCTGGCTGCTTCTTCGGCTCTTCCTTCTTCCCTGTGGAGTCTCGGCCTTCAGCTCCTCCTTCTTGGCTTCCAGCTTTATCTTCTTGTCCATGGCATTTTCCGTCTTCTTCATCTTTTCCTTCGTCTTTGAAGGCTGCGGCCGCCGGGGCATTTCATGCAGAAGCGACGAGATGTGTTGTGATACTGCGATGCTCCTATTCTCTGGGATATGTTTTTTTCAGGAAATGTTTGGCCTTGTGATCAACACTGGATAGATTCAAGTCTTGCATGTTGAACTATAGTTGAAACTGCATGTGTCTAGCAGTTTACACACGCACCCACCTAGCCACCCACCGACCCACCCACCCACCGACCCACCCACGCACGCACGCACCCACGCACCCACGCACGCACACACACGCACCCACGCACGCACTCTCACTCTCACTCTCACTCTCACTCTCACTCTCTCTCTCTCTCTCACTCTCACTCTCACTCTCACTCTCACTCTCACTCTCACTCTCACTCTCACTCTCACTCTCACTCTCACTCACTCTCACTCTCACTCTCACTCTCACTCTCACTCTCACTCTTACTCTCATTCTCATTCTCACTCTCACTCTCACCCTCACCCTCACACTGACCTTGACCTGACCCTGACCCTGACCCTGACCCTGACCTTCACCCTCACCCTCACCCTCACTCTCATTCTCATTCTCACTCTCACTCTAACTCTCACCCTCACTCTCACTTTCACTCTCACACCCACTCTCACTCTCCCTCTCCCTCTCACTCTCACTCTCTCTCTCTCTCTTTGTGTCTCTCTCTTTCTCTCTTTGTGTCTCTCTCTCTCTCTCTGTCTCTCTCTTTGTCTCTCTTTGTCTCTCGTGTCTCTCTCTCTCTCTCTCTCTCTCTCTCTCTCTCTCTCCCTCCCTCTCTCCCTCTCCAGAACTCACGCCCTCTCTCCTCTCCCCCCTCCCTCCCTCCGCTCGCTCCCTCCTCCCCCTCCCTCCCTCTCCCTCCCTCTCTCCCTGTCAGTAATTCTGTTTTGTAGCTGATTCATATTCATCCATATTGTACATTTGCAGTATGGCTGCCTTTTTAGCATTCTGGAATCTGCAAGAATCTGCCGGGCATGATCGTTTCTCGCACGATGTCACTGCTAGGTGCAGGACTCAATCGCAACTTTGCGGCTTCTTTACTTCTCAACGCTGCAGCAGCAGGCAGTGGATTACCGTTGAATGGCGCCAGCACGAACTCACAGAATATGAGATTTAATCCACAAGCTCCTATGAAACTGCTAATATGTCCAATTCCGGCTTACCAGACATGAGTTGACTGACAGTTCGCCGCAGGTATCAATTTGTAGGTTCATTTTTACTTTCATGTTTAATTGATCTCATCACAATTCTCAATTTATTTTGGTTGGCTAGGTTTTTACAGTGAGTATAGTCCTATTGGCGTACGTAGTTAGCAGGCTAAACACTTTGCACGACAGTCCCGGGGACTGAAAACAGTTCTGGCCAGGAAACACGTTCAGACCTCTGTACAGCGGCTTGGCCGAAGTGTGGCGGCCAGGCCTGGATGAAAACACTGTAGCCGCTACAATAGCCAATATAGATATTATAGATGTTTATAGTACATTATATAGTATTGATAGTGATTATATATTGAATTGATAGTTGATTATACTTGTTATCCTAGAGTGCGGTTCCTTCATTCAAACCTTGGGACCTTTGATTGTTGACACAGGCTGCACCCAATAGTTGTTTACCGTGTTACTATTTTTCTTATTTGGGGATTTTAGCTAGCCTGCAGCTTTTCCTGCCTTTGAGGTCTTGACCAAATAGTTATTGAACGTTTCTGATAATGATTGCGGGCTGAGACATGAGTCGATTTGAATTTTGTACTGAGGCCCACCTGCTGACTTTTTGCCTTGGGCTACGGACATGAGGCAAGGGACCCGAGGGACCCAAGACACCGAAGGGTCTCATGTCAAAACATGACAAGTGAAAGGTCTAAGCGCGGCGCTGTGTCGACAGTTACTTGTGTTTCCTGCTTAGCAAATCAAGGGCTCAGTCTTAGCTGGAAACTTGGCATATAAAGGTACAACTCTATGCAGCGAGAACAAAGCACCAGAAGACGCGCCTAGAATATTGGTGTTATCTCGCTTCCTCTTGCACAATTCAAAGATTCAGCGCCGGCTGTTGACATGTTTCTTTTTCTTGGGTTTCGCCTTGAATTCGGCGTGTATGACTATATTATACATATAGATATACATAGTATAGAATGTATGTATAATGTATCCTTGACTATAAAATGCAATATTATATAATTATACTACACAATAATTTTACCTTCTCAGAGGTGGCTCAGACTTTAAAGACATCATCGCGCCAGGGCTTTCACCGGCTTTGAGCCAGCCACCATCCCAAGCTTCGACGCCTTTGAGGACGGCCGTGTTTTTGGGTCGATTGATTCATCCACTGGAGATCAATGGAGATCATCCAGAAATTGGATGAAATTGGCAGGAATCTCCATCAAGTGGACATCTCTCTGAATCTTGGCTTGCAGTTTGCAGGGTCTCAGGATGAACGTATTGTAGAGCTTCGCACACCGGCGATGCCCTTTGGGTTGGAGGCGTTCGTGGCTGTAAGCTGAAGAGTTTGTGTTGGCAGCACAGGTTTGAACAGGGTTGGTATTATAGGGAATGCTACTGAAGGACGGATCGGGCACGAAGCCGGCGGCCAGATTGCCTGACTGCTTGTATTCCTCACTTCTTGCTTCTTGCTCCTTGCTGCTTGTAACAACTTCTTGCCCCTTGCTGCTGGTAATTTCTCCTCTGACGCGCTCCCCCTGCTGCAAGCGGGGTCGGCGGATTAGGCTTTGGCTGGTGATTGAAGCAATGTGTCAACGTCAACCAAACGACAAAAACTGGATTTCACATGATTTCATCATCATTTTTTCCACTGATGCTATGTGTTTCTTGACTGACTGGGTTTTCATGAAGTGTGCATTGTGCTCTGTGTCAAGAGCAAAGCGCACATCGCTTTTCACCAAGGCCCCCATGTTCGATGTTCCTCCCGGCCTGGGATTGAAAGGCACGCAGTATTGGTCGCATCATGTCATGTTGCATCGGTACCAAAAGGCAATCATCGTGCCCAGTTCTGCCATTGGCGAATTTGAGCTGCAATTGGGGCCCAGGAATCCGAGAGTCGGCCAAGTTCTCCTCCCTCAAATCGACCAAATCCTTCTCTTCCTTTACCACTCGGACTGGACTTTCTAGTGCCAGCAGCTCTTCGAGCATTGAGGAGATTGGGGCTTGAAATTGATGGAAATGGAGGGAACATGATGGAGCAACTGGAGTTCTGAAACTTGTACTGTGGACAACGCATGGCTTCGGCTGGATCTTTTGTCGAAGTTCATGATGACTACTGTAATAATTTTAGTATATTTTAGTATATTTTGGTACATTATATTTGTATTGTATGTATTGATGCCGGTGACTGAAAGTGAAGTTTCTTTCCAGTCACTCAGCACTCAGCCGCAGGATGAACCTTTACATGTGGACTTGCGGGATTGGAAGCGCTCGACTCAATGCGGACTCGGAATATCCCTGGACAACTCGGTACTTATGTTGCCAGTACAACAAGATACAAGTGCACCACATAGAAGCTGCGATGGTATCTGATTGTTTCAACATCTCACTTGATTTCTGTGAATGCAAAACAGTGCAAAAACCCTTCGTTGGTCTGTGGTCATGTACGGTTTTGCTGCTCGGGCTTATTCATCACGGGCATCTGAAATTTGCAGAGATATCATCATTGGCAGATGCATGCTTCTACCAGTCGCTGACTTTGACCAAGGCTGACCATCTAAGATGCTTGCGACTTCGCTCAATGGCATGGCTATCTCCGCACAGATAGCTCTCACACTTGGCTCACTTGGCTCTAGGAGGATTCACTGCTGGTGGTTGCAATTGTGCGCAACTGCTCTCTTGAACTGGCAAGGTTTGTTCCAATATGAATCCAATTCGTTTTGGCCCTCTATCTTATAGGCATATTGTCTTTCTTTCAGTTCATCTTCTTTCTGTTGTCGTTGGATTTTGGAGGGCCAGATATTCAGGTGAGCCTCAACGGCCAGCAGGCGCTGGCATTTTTCTGTCTCTTCTCGGTTGGTTTGATCAAGGGATTTTGATTGTTAAGAAATCATTAATGAGGTTTGTTGGGGTCTGTTGAGGTTAACAAACTGATGAATTTGATGCTCAATTTGATTGTGAACAAACACTTTTTGCCCAATGATCGGTTTGTTGGGGTCTGTCAATCTATATACTTTTTGCGAGGCTGTGAGCTGGGAGATCATCTGAGATCAAGCTGCTTTTGCATGAGAAATGCTTGCTCGACTTTGTTGAGTATTTGACCGCATCGTTCTGGAGCTGCTCTTGTTTCATTGCATCTCAACCTGTACTGGTATGTACACAGCGGTTGACTAAGCAATTCAGATGAGTCAGTACGAATTGCTGGAGTTTTTCCAAGTTGAGGTTTTCTAACCAACTTGGAGAAAGCCCAACAATTCAATGCTGCTCGTTTTTAATGGACAGAACGGTGGGCGGCACACTTTGTGTGCACGTGAAATCTGCGCTTTTGTAGGTGCTCATCACCCTGCTGGCACAATTGACATGTAGACTAATCAGGACCAACATGAACCAACTATGATTAACCTGACTGATCCATTGTGATTCTGTGAGTTCATTTCGCGCCGGCATCCGTGTTTGAAGGCCCGTGATTGCGCGATACAGACGTGGATTTTCTCAAGCTCCTTTGGAGCGGTGCGTTGTAGTTTCGGGGCAATAAGTCTCACTGAGTTATGCTCCCTCCATTTTCAGCCGCGAGACTGGAGGCTGTGACCCCTGTCTCTTTCCCGCTTGCTGTGACGAGCGGCACCCAAAATGGCTATTTCTATTTGCAAATTGGACTTTATATTCCTGGATATCGCAAGAGGTGATAATACAGGGTGCAACTTCTTGTATAATTAACTAAAAAAAATAGGTATAGATTGGCGATCATTTGCTATCCAGGTTTGAAAGCATACTGGATCCGCCCAAATTGACAAAATTGTCCCCGCAAAGTCGATTTTAGATTTTGGTCTTAGATAGGCTATTCACCATACAGTAATCAGAATAGATCATAATTTATCTATAGGAAGTAGATAACGATGGTGAATAGTATGAAAATAGATATACGTACAATTACATATATACATACATGAATAGAGTGGCTTTCCAGAGCAGGGATTGCTCTGAGACTCTGCATCATTCTGTATCCCACCCATCCGATCCTTCTTGCGATCCAAACTATTTGATCATCTGATCAATACTTTCTGAAACTGGTCCAGGATAGCTTGCGCAAATTGGCACAGGCTTCCTGACCAGACTCTGCGTCCACAAATGTCCACAAGTGCCTCAAGAGGTGAAGCTGATAACTATTATTATGTCATAACGGATGATACATGTGATCCACATTGTAGATTATAAACAGGAATCATTATATAAATAAGTATATTTGATTATATATTTGGAATGATAGGGTACGATGTGTGTATATTGAACTATATTAATATTTTCTGAATTATATATGTTAATACAATATATATATATATACATACACATACACCGATACGCCTAGCCTTTCCATATGTATGAGTATGTGTATATACAATACATATTATATATATATAAATATATATATATATATATAAATATAAACGTAACCTTGATTTCAGGTCGCCGCATAGCCTGACGGAAATACGAACGTGTTGACACCAGTCCCATTTGTCAAATGCGCACGGTCCTGAATGGATGATGACCGAAGAGGCTTGGACGGTGGTAGCTTGCTGTGGCCTAACAGCAACGCTCGATGCAGGGATGCAGATCCAAAAGACATACACGCGAAAGTCGACTGGCAAAATGCTGAAGGTGCTATTTTGGATATTTTGGATATTTTTTCTGATGAGTTCTGATGGCTGCGTTGCAGACACTTCAGCAATGTTGGAATTGTTCACCGGGGGCGGCAAGTCTTCCAACGGCTCCATTTGGAAGTTCATTCTCCAGGCGCAAGACGGCAGTTCCGCTCAATGAATATAGAGGCCCTGGGCTCTGGGACGTGGTGGATCGTTTGGTGACATTCTAGCCCCAAATTGAACAAATCTTCAAAGGATCAGTCTGGTTGAAAAGGGACAGAGATAGCTTTTGTATGCTTTTGTCATGTCCGGGCACAAATTGCACTGTATTGTCTAATTGGTGCAGTGACCCTGACAGCCCATTCAGGATGTTGCCATTTTAAACTTGCGTGAAACTCCTTGTGTTTTTGAATCTTTCGTGTGTGATCTACAACCGTTTCTACAACTTAAAGCACAGTCAAAAGTCATGCCTGCTTAAAAGTTGGAGGCTGTTTTAGTTCCGCCAAAATTTGTGGTAGTAAGGCTTTGTCCAGAGAGTCTGTACAGGTAGTGATTTGAAGGAACATGGAATCTCATCCAGATCCTCATCCCTCAGATGGTCCTATTGAATCCCAAACATCTCGCAACATTTGCAGCCTTGCTGGCTGATAGGGCTCCGTTTGAGCGCCAAAGGCCAAAAATATGCCAAAAATTAAAGACCTCCGGATGATTCCCATAGACCTGGATTCACATGTGATGACGTTCTTAGTTTGGAGCTCAAGAGCTGGGAGTGTGTCTGAGCCTCTGACAATTTTGAAAGGGATGAGAAATGGGGTGGGATCAATATGATCAGTGTTTATCATGTTTTGACTCCAAAATATACTATAACTTATTAACTAATAACTACTTATACATATTTTACACTGTCATAAGATGCCGATCGCTCCTTGACTGGGTCTCTACTTGGCGCCATGGTGTGGTCATGGTGGCCTTTCGGATTATCTGGTGATGAAGCGAACTGCCACTCGGCAGAGACCTGGGCTGAAGGCTGCTGAAGATGCTGAGATGATGCGGGTATTTTTGGATTGATCGGATTGTTTGAGTTCCCATGTGGCAGTGTGTCAAAACCTTGTACCCCTGGTGAACATCAAAATAGCTGGTACATGGATGTTCATCCCCCTAAAATGATATTAATAGGTATTGATCCATACCCATGTCCTTTCAGGTGATGTGGTGGAATTCCAAGACGATGATGCTCCAGCAGCGCCAAATTTTGAGCTACTCACTGCTGAGTGGGAGGAGCCTTGGATGCTTCATATGTCATGATGGTCATGACAAGTCATGCATGCAAAATCCAAGCCTTTTCTTGGGAACCAAGTTGGTGACATCTCCAACTACTGTACTTGCCACATCTTGTACCATGGATTGCAGGTGAAGAATTGCATGAGGTTGGATGCTGGCTACTCGTTTCAATCTCTTGTTCAGGAACTTCAAATCGCAGTGGTCCGTGGCTTCCTCGGTACCAAAGAGGTGGGGCTGCGCTGATTTCTAGCATATTCCGTGTGGCTGCGCTGATTTCTAGCATATTCCCCAGCACCTGCGAGCCGCGATGATTTGGCGCCAGGTGGATGAGGTCATGCAGATGAAGCAGCATTTCACGCTGAAGGCGCTCTTTTGTCGGTGCACTACACTGTACTATGCTCTACGGTGAATGTTGCAGACTATTGTTGGTATTGTTGAGTGGTCTCAATTGCCACTTCCTTGGATTTTTGAAGTTGGCTGTATGTGCGTGTTTATGTGCGATCTTGAGTTCCCGTCCCGGAGTGGCAGTTTGGTGCTTGCAAGCTCTGCGCCGTGCTAGGAAATCAATGACCGCGATGATGAGTTGGTTTATAGCCACGAGGTTTGGAGAATGGAACATGAACTCAAGGAGCCTGAGATGATCGCAACATTCGATTCGCTGAACAACCGATTAGTTTCATTTTCCATATTTTCCATAAGGTCACGCACGGCTAAGGTTGGCCGATGAGTTGTTGATGCCTGCCGTCTTTCTCCAGATGTTTTAAGGTCTCCCTACTGATCCTACTCAACATTGAACATTATTTTCTATCATTTCATTGCATGTCCTTGTAAGGTTTGCAGCAACTGCTTGACATCTGCGCAGGAGGCTTTGCCCCACATATATCACCGCCTAATGAACCATTGCAGGCCAGATCATGCTTTTCAGCACATTTTCCCCAGTAAAATGCGGAAACAATTGTATGCAACTTCCGTTGTTTGATATGGGTTTGTCCGATCACAAAATGGCCCTGGCCATTTAAATTAAACTCATATTATATATAATGCTACACGCACTGCGGAAATATGATTCACAAGTGAATTTAGGGGCTTGTCAGGGCTGGGCCTTTTCCCACAAACTTGAGATCAAAATGCCTAAAAAAGTCAGCTGGATTGACAGACTCCCCCTTTCTTGCGAGTCCAACAAACTACGCGGTACACTTCTCGATTTGTGCACCTTCACCAGGCTCAAGGCATCTTTACATGGGGCTTCGTCTTCTCGTTTTTGTACATTTTGACATCACTGTTGATGTCAGCCCCTCATCCTTGTGCTGGTGCTGGAACGCGTTCCATGGATTTCTAATCGATCTTGTTGATCGGTCTACCACAGCGCTATCAGCACCACGCACGGCGGCGCTCACCTGTGCAGTGTCATCAAACTGGTGAACTCCTCTCTGTTCTGTACGGCCATAGCGCCTGTCACTGAGCTCCTCTGGAATCCTTGGCTCCAGTTGTACTCGTTGGAGGTGGACTTGCCGTGCTTGGCAACCCAGGCAAATCAGCTTTGGATCTGCTGATGCATCCCCCGGTTTCCCATGAGGTCGGGATGGGGTCCAATCCCCTCCCAAGCCTCCCAAGCCTCCTCCGCCACCATGCCGATGATCCCCACAAAAGCGTCCATCAAGACCAGCATCACCATCATGTGCAACAGAAGGAGGAAAAGGAGGAACAACTGTTGGTTCATGTTGAGGTGGAGGACATGGCTCACCCGTACTCGGCGGAGTCCCATCTGGCACCCGTGTTCCGTTTGGAGTATACCGGGTTTCCTGCTTACCAGGACCAGCTTTACAGTTTGAACTCCTTGGAGTGTGATAGCCCTGCTTTCCATCATCCACCTTTGAAGAAACTTTTTCCAACATTCAATCCATTTCCCCCAACTGCTGACCATGAAGAGAAGGACACATGGCTATGTTCACCACTAGACTGCTGCTTCCATTGGCGCAGTTCTTCTAACTTAGCCATCAGCTTGGCATTCTGGTCACGTAGATGGTCAACTCTTCCAAAGAACGCTGCAATTCCTCAACAGGTTGTTGTGTTTGAGACCTGGGCCTATCATCCACTTGCCGACCATGCCCAAAACCATTGACATCACCAGTCCGTTTCTCACCACATCCATCCGGCATACGACCCTCTGTTCGTCCACCGCCACGCTGACTTTGCATTCCAAGTTCCGAATTCGCCGCAGCTAATGTCCTCTGCGTCGTCCTTCTACTTGGTGGTGTGACAAAAGATCCCCCAGAGCTACGTGCAGCTACTGCCAACCCCGAAGAAACCCCTCGTCCTTTGCCAATCACGCCTTCACTCTGGATTGGCTGTCCGTCATCAGGCGACACTGCAGCTACCGGCAGAAATTCAGGCCTAGTATAATAACCCAGTTTCATCTCATCCTTGATCTTTCGGGAGTAGTGCCCTTACCTTCCAGATCCACCCCTTCTGGGGGAGCAGACTGAGATCGTTCCATGCCACCACAGATGAAAAAAGGTAGGATGAACCCCTATGACGTTGGGCTCAAAACCCTTGTCAGGGGTGTGCCTTTTCCCACAAACTTGAGATCATTATGAAGCCAGCTGGGTTGGCAGAAGGCGAATGCTATCACATTTTTGGACAAACCCATATTGCAAGAGAATCCGAAACTGACACCCTTTGCCCAGCACACTGTCTCGTTTGAATGTCCTGCCAGGGCATTTGATGCGGAGCTGTGGCATGAGATTGAGAGCGGCGATCGTTTTTTCCCTGAGATCGAGTCTTTTTCTCAGCTAATGTGACAGGACATGCCAGGTATGTCAAATTGTTATGCATATTTGATCATAACACACATGGTCCTGATGTAGGAGCTTTTTCTTCAGAGAGATCCAGAAAGGATAAGGATGCATTCCTATATGTGTCACTCACTTGGAGACCCCTAAGAGTCATATCTCGTCCGTGTAGGAAGATTTAACCACCTCACCCAAGCAAGGTATATCGTCTATGACGTAGCTCGTCTTGGCGAAGCTGGAAAAATCGAACCGCACACAGACAACCAGTCCCAGGCAATCCTGACACCCTTGGGATATTTAAAGTTTGTCATTTCTGATCGTTTGTGCATCAGTCAATCGACATTAGCCGACCTGTTTGATCAGGAGAATATTTTCGAGGGTTTGCTGTCTTGAAGCATTGAGATAATTGTTGATTTTTTAATTTACTAGATTATTGTTAACACATGTTAACACTATTATAGAATTATTCCATTTGTTCATTTTATCCCAACATTTCTGCGCTGGTTTCATGTTCTTCCAAGGCAATCCCAGGGGTTATTTTGTCTCAAGATGTTTCCTGCGAAGATCTATGCAGGTGACTGTTGTGGTCCTGCTGTCTCACGAGAACGAGTTCCAGGGTGGCCTCAATCATTTCGAACCCGGCTTTGACGGTGGAGTTGCTTGACTATGTTTAGTGCATTTCAATACGGTCTCAATTGTCTACTGTTTGTGCTTGAAGACCAATCCCAACAGACACTTAGCTGTTTCGCAGGAGAACCGAACGGCAAGGCTGAAAAGAGGCCGAGCAGTGATTTGTATTTTTTAAAATTCAACTCACCAGACGCAGCAATGACCTGACCACAATCAGTGCTAGGCGATGCTGTTTTCTTCTATGGTGATCAATGCATGCACTGGATATCGCCAGTGGTTTCGGGACGAAGAGCAATTCTTCAAATGGCCACTTGGCATATTCAGCAATTTGTCGTGTTGTGTTGAATGGACTTCAAAGTATATAATTATAAATAATATATATACATATATTATATAATATAAATAATATATATATATGTATATACAATATAAACAATATATAAAATATAAGAAAATATACAATATATATGATACATATAATATATAATATATATATATATATATTATATAATATATATAATATATAAATATATATAATATATATGATATATATAATATATATAATATATAATATATATTTAATATGTATAATATATATATATTATAATATTTATATATATATACAATATACTACATATAATATATATAATATAGCATTTATAATATATAATATATAATATATAATATATAATGGTTTTAATATATATATCTATAACTTAAATAATATATATAATATAAATAATATATATATAATATTTCATATCTTTAATATAATATATTTAGTTTATATATTCATTATATTATATTTAGAATATAATATAAAAAATAAATATAATATCTTTATTATATTTATAATGTAATAAATATATATAATATATTTAATATTTTTAAATATATAATATTAATAATATTTATATAATATATATATATACGATATATAATGTATATAATATATTATAATATATATATATTATAATATATACACATATATATATATGTATGTCATATGTATGTTGGTTGATGGAAAGGTTTCTTAGCTGATCACCATAGAGTATATTGTTGTAGCTGTATGTATTTGCTTGTATTGGTGCATATTTGTTCTTCTTCACCACCCTGGACTGGAGTCATGTGGAGTCAATGGCCACACGAGCGCAGGAGTTGAGCCGCGGGTGGCATCGATGCGCACTGTATGGATTCCTGGAAGGCATAAGTTGCTGAAATCAGCGAAAGCTGCCATGAAGTTGACAACGCAAAGCCCAAAGTGCGCTTTGCGTTGACCCAACAAGCGCAGCTGGAAATCGTCAACAAATGAATGCAGTGCCGGGGTCGTCCGGGGTCCACAAAACAGTATTGCTGAGAAGCTTGGCATCCGGCCTGGCTGGGTTCCTTATCCTTTTCATCAACATGATGCTGTCTCTGTTCCACAACCGTTTGGCAGTCTATCAATGTCTATTATGCTAGCCCGTTTTCGCTTCATGGGGAAGCTTCATGATTGCTCATGATTGTGTTTTGTGAGATGGACCATGGTAACGACTGCGCGGTACACACAGCATATTTGGCTTGCGGACTAGCAGCGCATGGCGCGGCACTCCAGAGAATTCTACATAACGGGCGATCAACTTCAAGACATGTGCGCCTTGCTCTCTATGTCCATTGTTAATCTTTGTTTTTTTTCTCCCTGAGCAGCTCGTTTGGCAAGGATCAAGGAACAACGTTGCAGGAACAGTGGTGTGTGGCAATGCACAAGCACTTGGCAACCTTTTCCAGGTTTGATTGTGCCATGGCAACCCTTGCTGAGCAAAAACCATGGTTGCTGGATGCGGATTCAGGCAGGAAATGGCAGGGAAGAGAAATGTGGAAGATTGTCGTATATGATTTCGCGGTATATCATCGAACGAAGGAAGTTTAGAAGTCAAACTTCCGACAATATGGACAGATGAAAAGCAGAGTAGGGCAGAGGCAGAGAGAAGAGAAAGATTAGAAGAGAGAAGAGTAGAAGAGAAAGAGTCAGAAGAAAGAAGATGCAGATGCGCGAAAAGGTGGGAAAGTCGCAAAACACTGTTTTTCCAATGATTTGTGGCTCCGGAGGGTCGAAAAGTAGGCTCGCTAAAGCGGCGGGTGCGGAGCCAGCTGGCCAGATGAGAGATGAAAAAGTGCACGCCGTTGTGGCGCGAAGCATATTTGCAAGTCAAAATGTACAAAACACCTGGTGCTCGGACCACTTTTGGAGGTTGAGATGTCGAAAAAGTGCACGCCGTTGTGGCGCGAAGCACATTTCGAAGTCAAAATGTACAACGCACACCAGGTCCAGACCACTTTTGGCAGTTGAGATGTCGCAAAAGTGCACGCCGTTCTGGCGCGAAGCACATTTCGAAGTCAAAATGTTAAAAACACAAGGGGTTCGGATCACTTTTGGAGGTTCAGATGTCGAAAAAGAGCACGCCGTTGTGGGCCGAAGCACATTTCGAAGTCAAAAGGTTAAAAACACAAGGGGTTCGGATCACTTTTGGAGGTTCAGATGTCGAAAAAGAGCACGCCGTTGTGGCGCGAAGCACATTTCGAAGTCAAAAGGTTATTAACACAAGGGGTTCGGACCACTTTTGGAGGTTCAGATGTCGCTTCGCGTGGCAGGCGCAAGGGATTGCGCACCTTGTCAAAAGTGAGCAAAACGTAAGGGTTTTGTAGCATTTTCAACTACAACCACCACTACACCACACTACACTCCAATACATTACGCTACGCTACAACTACAACTACAACTACACCTTCATTACATTCTACTACACTACACTCCACTACACTACTCTGCACTAAATTACATTCAATTACACTACGCTACACTACGCTACACTACACTCCACTACACTACACTACATAACACTACACTACACTACCTTCCACTACACTTCACTACATTACACTACACTACACTCCACAACACTACAACTACAACTACACAAATACACTCCACTACACTCCACTACACTAAATTACACTCCACTACACTAAATTACATTACACTACACTACATTACACTACACTACACTCCACTACACTACACTACACGACACTACCTTCCACTACACTACATTACACTACACTCCACTACACTAAATTACACTACACTACACGACACAACCTTCCACTACACTTCACTACATTACACTACACTACGCTCCACAACACTACAACTACAACTACACAACTACACTCCACTACACTCCACTACACTAAATTACACTACACTACACTACATTACACTACACTACACTTCATTACACTACATTACACTACACGACCTTCCACTACACTTCACTACATTACACTACACTCCACTACACTACAACTACAGCTACATTAACAACTACACTCCACTACACAAAATTACACTACTCTACTACATTACACTACATTCCACGACACTCCACTACACTACACTACATTACACTACACTGCATTACACTGAATGACACTGCACCACAGATAGACAGGTAGACAGGTAGACAGATAGACAGACAGACAGACAGACAGACAGATAGATAGATAGATAGATAGATGGACAGATAGACAGACAGACAAATAGATAGAGAGACAGCTAAATAAAAAGATAGATAGATAGATAGATAGACAGATAGACAGATAGATAGATAGATAGATAGAGAGATAGAAAGATAGATAGATAGAGAGATAGAAAGATAGAGAGATAAAGAGATAGAGAGATAGAGAGATAGAGAGATAGAGAGAGATAGAGAGAGAGAGATAGATAGATAGATAGATAGGTAGATAAATAGATAGATAGATAGATAGAGAGATAGAGAGATAGAGAGAGAGAGATAGATAGATAGATAGATAGGTAGATAGATAGATAGATAGAGAGATAGAGAGAGAGAGATAGATAGATGGATGGATGGATGGATAGATAGATAGATAGATAGACAAATAACTAGAAAACTAGACAGCTAGATAAATACATAGGGAGATAGATAGACAGAGAGATAAATAGATAGATAGACAGATAGATCAGTAGGTAGGTAGATAATCAGAGAAAGATAGTTAAACAGAAAGAAAAAGAGAGAAAGAGAAAAAAGAGAGAGAGAGAGAGGGAGATCAAGCACCTTTCAGTCCATCAGTGGCTTCGCTCTGCCATCCCTGATTCACAACAACCAACCTCTCCTATAGGTATCCTATTTTTGAAACTTCCGCCACCGCCTTGCGCGGTACTACTGGTATGCATGATATTCCCGTCACAGCCACAGAGGAAACAATTTCCAGACCCAATCTGCAGACTGATCTGCTGTTGGTTTGTGGGACCGTTCATGGCAGAGGAGAATTGACATGATAGGACGACTCTTGGTGCTGAAACCAGCCCATGTGCATGTTTTTTCTTTACATTTTTTAATGTTTTGGGTTTGGAACTTTGAACATCCAAAATCGTAACTTGGGTTTATGGTATTGCATGATATTGTAAATCTGGCGATCCAGCGAAACCACAGTGTTGGTCAGTTGCTTTGCCCAGGGGCGTCTCAGCAAGGCACCTATGCAAGGGTTCCAGGCAGGGCTTCAGCATGTGATGCCGTTGGCTGCTTCCTTGTCAGATTGATGTTCCTCGATTGTTGATTTCTGTATGCGCCTTTCTTGTTGTGATATATAAATATATATGTGTGATATATATTATATATATAAATACGTATACATATTCGCTGAATGGTGGTCCTGGCTGAAATCCATGGACTGTAGCCCGCTGCAAGTTGGTTAATTGTAAAAACCAACTAAAATGGAGTCAGGCCCTTGAATCTAAAGATGATGGCTGGATTTCCAATATCCCTGGTGCTGGCTGAAATACAAAGAGCCAAACCCCAAATCCAAGGGGCCCTAATCTATGGTGGCCTAAGCGTGGGGCCACCATGAGCATGTTTGGGGGCACCATTGGCTACACGAAGGGTGAATCCTGAAATCAAAACATCCGAATGCTAAGCTCAGACTCCCTAGATTTTAACCATTCAGATGTGCAATTTGGTGGGTTAGTTAGACCCCCCAAAACTCTATCCTGGTGGCTAGTTTTTTTGGGGGTCAGAGCCCCCTGCAACTGTCCAACGGGGATTATATGTGTGGTGCTTCTTTTACCCAGAACCGGTCAAGTGGGTGTTGATGGTTCACGTGTTCACGTAATCGATGCCTCCAAATGGCAACACCGCATCTCGTGCAAAACAGGAGTTGAAGACGACACGACCTTTGAATGGGACTGACTGGGTGGGTGAGTGATGTGAGTTTGGGGCATTTCAGAGGTGCAACGCATCCTGCTTTGTAGAAACACGTGACAGATCTAGATTCTGAAAAAGATGGCACGACAGCTTACTGCAGCAATCAACCTACTTTCCTTTCTATCGTTCATCAGAGTGACTGAGCCAAGGGTTCTTCAAAAAAGCCGTTCCAAATAAATAATCTACACATCTCGCATCTACACATCTTACATCTACAGATGCTTGTGCAGGAGTCATTGGGGGAACCTCTATTCATTTTCAGCTACACAGCGATGGTCGTGGGTGGCTTGTGCAGCATGAAAGCTTGACGCAGTCTTCCAATGTTCTCACAGAGACAGCATCAGAACATACAGCATGACCAAACAAACCGAGGTCGACAGTGCCCGGGCAGCAACTATCAGCAACTTGTTCTTCTTCGCTGTCTAGAGATGTGCAGAATCAAATTTACTTTTTTGAAGGTTTCACTGTCAATCGTGCGTTTCAGTCTGTTAATGCAACCTGGTTGTGATTTTGCATACTGTTACTATTTGTTGCTAAAAACATGCTAAAAACAGATGCGTGGCTGTTCCAAGAAAGCATATGTTCCCTTGATACGTATTCTATGCCAACAGCCAGTGCCTGCGACTCTTATGCCGTGTGGTCATCGACTCTTTACCCCATGGTGGAGTAGAGGTGCATGGCTTTGTCGCTGCTGGCTTTGCAAGTTTTCTCCCCTGGCCTCTAGTCCGCGAGGGGCGGCAGCAGCTGGTGACCATTTAAGACACTCCTACCAGCACCCAAAATGATGCCAGCTGGGATTTTATTGCTGGCACTGTGGGGAACCCGTAGAAGAACAGTATAGAACAGGACATAGGCATGAAGAAGTCAGAGCTTTGGATCAGGAGTTGGGGAGAGTGACTAACGTGCCTCAACAGCCACATTTCCAGCTGGAATCAGGTGGATTTTGGATGATTTCGTGACCAGACTGTTGTGACCCAATCTTGCTAGGTGTGCAGAAGATGCTGCAGCAGCACAATACAAACAGCTATTTAATGAACTGCGATGAGGCCCTTCGGAACCAACTTCGGTCAAGTGCTTGAGATCTCACGGCATGAAAACCTGTAGGTTTCGGCATGGGAAAGCCCCGTGCGAGTGCCAGGAGGCGGTTGGATTTGCGCAGACCTGCATTTGCGAAACGACCAAAGCATTTGTAAGGTGCCTTGCTCCAAAGGACAAGAACCGCTGAGTGAAAAAAATGAGAGTTCTCCGGGAAGAAAGCAACTTTACTGAGGGGTTTGATTTGGGGTCTGATGATTTGGTGATTCTCAAGGTGTTTTGCACCTGTCTCCATCATTGTGGCGCTGGTTGTTGCTGCGCAGCTTATTCTGTGCCAGCGTTTGCGCAGGGCTTAGTCAACTTGTTGCTGGTTTACAGCTGGGATTTGTGGTCTTTGATGTCTTGGAGAAGCACCAGATCCTGCTTTCCTTTTGAAGACCCTTCACAGCTTGGCAACACAAAACTGAGGTTCTACATTATGCTTCGATGTGGTGTTCTGGTTGACTTCAAGAATCTTTCTCCATTCAAGGACCCAGAAGCACATAGCTACAAGTATGCTACAAATATGCAACATGGTCTTTCCCCCTAGGTGATAGGGATGTATAGGGATCCTTTTTCGGACACCGTCCTTATTTGTCGTTTGGTGTCACAAAAGGCATGGACTTGCCATGACCCCATGACCCCATGACTTGGAGGATCCTCTCTTTTGGTGGGTGCTTTTGAATGGAGTGATGTCCTCAGTGCGGTGGACCTTGGTAGATCACAATGCCATACAATGCCTATGATATGCACGATTATGCACATTGCAGTACCATGTGCATTCATTTGATTTCATTTGATCATGGGTTGATATGTGTTCAATGTATTTGAAGGTGATGAGTGCCAACAGAATTAGCTTTTGTTGACTGAAGAAACAACAGAGAAACAACGCTCGAACAACATAATATATACGGTAACGACATTTAAATATGTGGAGGGCGGGCCAGACCGCGAGGCCCAGGAGGTAGTATAAAATACAAGTTCGTATATTTAATTAAATGTAATTACCGTATGTTTAAATGAATTGGATTCCGTATGTTTAATGGCCGGGCGGGCCAAGGAAAACCTTCCCGGAGGTAGTCTAAATACCTGTTCGTATGTATCAAAATCCGTTTATTTAAATGTAGTTGCCGTATATATATATAATATAGATAATCATAAACAAACCAGATGCAGACAGCTGCCGTGGCATTCGCCGAGAGTCCTTTGCAACACCGAGCCAGGAGCGGAGGTAACCTCATGTTCAACATCGTTTAACTAGTTTGGTCAATTTGTAGTCTCAACTATGGCCTTGAGATGCCTGGAAGTTCAATTTGAGTGGAGGTTGTGAAGCACAAAAAGTCCTGCTGGTGTGCTGCAAAGCCTCGTGTGCACGAATTCAGGTTTGCGCCATGTCACACTTTGTATTCCATATGCTGGTGGTTCAGCAGATGCACATCGGGAAAGACAATTTGCAAAAGGTCATAGTGGCTTGTCGGAAGACTGGTCCGTTCTGGCATCATGTCATGTCACACTCTGATTGATTGAAATCGGTGTTTGCCCCCGCGAACACTCTTAAACTCCCTGGAAAACCCGGACCTTTCAAAAGGGGACTGTTATTGTTCGCCAAAGGATTCTCTGAAGCAAGCAGCTTGGCTGAACTAGGTGATTTGAGTGTTTTAACAGAGACATATTGGTTCGAAGCATCAGCATGAAAACATCGACACTGTCTGAATTTGACCAAATTTGACCAAGAAGGGATAGAACGACCGAATCGGCCAAGGATTCGTTCTTTTTCGGTTTGCCATCTATTGTCTATGTGCTCTTCCTATACTTGTCATACGATGTCGAATGGTTGCTGCTTCCGTTGAGCAAATTCTGGGAATCAGATCCAGAATGGGCTCAGAAGACATCCTTCGAAATGGTTCCTCAGCTGCGTTCTCGAAAGGCTAAGAAGATTGTGCAGCATTGCACAGAATTGACCGTGAGAAGCAGCGTGTTTCCAGTATGCCCTCAGTATGCCCCAATTCTGTTTCGTTTCCAGTCAGCCATTCTGAGATTCCTGAGATTTCCTGAGGCCTTTGTGACTGAAAGAGCTGCTTGCAAGACTGTGCTGCAGGATGCAACATGCATTCAGGAGACATATAGACAGAGACAAGCAGCAAGGCTCTATCTGACTCTATACTTGACGATGAACTTGCAGGATGTGGCTGATGCTATTGCGCTGCAGTCACTAGACCGTGGCTTGGATGAATAAACATGAATAAACTACAAGCTGCAAGGAGAGAAACGCATTTTCCCGGTGCAGGTTGGGATGCTTGTGCTTGGACTTGTGCTTGGACTAGCATTTCACAATATTTCACATCATGTCACTACAGATGGCTCTGTGGCTCTGTGTGTTCCCTTCTCTTTGCACGCGGTTTCTGCGGACATCTTGGGGCATGACTTGTGCTTCGAACTTGCTGCCGACAGGATGCGTCTCCAACCCCTCAATCAACATTCTGATTATCATTCAACCTTTTCATTTGCAGGGCTGCTGTGTGACCGGTGGCATGTTTGAAAAATGTGTCTGGCAGAAACATTTTTTTTGATCTGCGACATGATTGCAGAGGTGGTGTGGAATTGCAGAGAGCTGATAGCCTGACAACTAACAACGCTGCACGCGCCTTGATGCAACGTTGTCACCTGGGAGTATGCAAGAAGGCTATTGATGGATGTTGCACATTTATACTGTGCCAAACTGCAGGGAGAACAGTCGGTGCTTACTGTATGGTTGGTTTGCAGGATGTGCAGCGAAGGAACAACTCAGAATTTGATCATTCTACAGAGGATCTAGGTATAGACCTGAAACCCAGGTCCCTAATTTCAGTATAATGGCCCTGACGTCCTACCATTGGTGATCAACAAACTGTGATCTAAGGTCCGACTCGTAATGCATTTGCAGCTTGGCAAATTCCTGCACTTGGGGATTTCATTGGATTTCCAACTAGATCCACCTTCCGTCCGGTCGCAGTTTTGAAACTTTAGAAGAATTGGTTTGCGTGTCCAAATTGATTCAAATGGCTTTCTTACTCTTGCCTCGTGCTATGAATTTGTCAGGTGCCGGAGGCTAGACAGCAAAAAGCGAAACAAGCTCACATAAGTCGGCGACAAGTTGTGTCTGTGCCGGCACAAACACCAAGGACAAGATTCCAGTTTGCAATTCGGTGGTTTGGAACGACTGAAATGACGTGTTTGACCCACTGTTTTGAAAACAACGCCAGACCAGCCTTAACAGCGGATGGGATTTTGAGCCAATATTTCAATATTTCATTCTGGATTTCATAACACTGCGTCCCTGAGTTGTGTCCTTTAGCCGCTTTAGCCCAGCTCTTTTTGCCCAGCTGTTAGAGCTTTGGAGCAAATCCAAGACTTCGATATTGCAGAAATTTGCACCCCAATTTCTGTGGTCTCATTGTTGATGCCTTGGTGATGACCTTTGGCATCCTTTGGCGACATGATGGTGACATGCAGGAATTATTTTGTTGAACGTGCTTGGATTTCTCGTCTCCTCAGCGACTCTCAATTGGTGGCACAGGATCGGCGGCTTGGCTCAGACAGCCTCAGCGTGGCAAGACTTGACGAAATTTTTCAAGAAGCAGTTCTTACTCTTCTGAAACGAAGTAAGAATGAGAACAAAATGGAGCCGGACTATGCCGGACTTAGGAAGTGCCGCACTTTCTATTTTGCTTGGGTGATATGGATGTGCTTGACATCCTTCATGTGTTTGGCTGCTGCAACTTGGCGCATAGATATTGATGATGTTGTGACCCAGTGAACTCAGTGGCCTGGTGGGACAAAGCTTGAGGTGGCAGCGGTAATCCTTCAACTGAAAAATGATATCGAAGACATCATTGCTGGTCATGGCATCTTGGCATATGTTTCATGGATGTTTGCAAGGAGAAACCATGAGAAACTGTGACTGTATTGAAGGCTATTGGCTACTGGACTCATTTGACGCGTTTTGATATTCAGGGTGCTTCAAGAATTGCTTGTGTGTTTCCACTTCCACAATCTTTCACAATCAACAATTGTTTCAGACCTGTGCAAGGAGAAGAATATATTTGCGTTGCCATCGTTGGGACAAATGCTTCTAGCTCAGATATGCTCAGATTGCCATCGTTGTGCCATGCAGTTTCCAGTTGGAGAAGCCAAAAACCCTAAGGGAACGTATCATCCAGCATCATCCAGCATCCAGCAGCCAGGTCCTTGCCATGATTGTTGTGGCCTGCTACTATGTGGGTGACCTGGTCTTTCCATGAATGCGGCAGTGCGGATGATGGGGGGCATCCCAAATTGTATCTTTTTGATGCCCCCCACACACACTGCACAGAAAGAATTTGGGATTTTGTAGGTTGCAGGATGGTTCACCATGGATTGAGATAGAAATCTGTCTCAAACATCACAAGAAATTGGGCAGTGTGAAATGCCTGATCTTTTGTACTTCGAACAGTCTCCCACTTTTTGGCCAGGGTACGAAAATCGCGATGCCCCTGTACACTAAATTGATCTAATTTGGGGCCTACAAGCCTGAGAATGCAGAGCACTTGTGGTTGCAAACATAGCTTCCACATCACCTCAGCAAGTGTGGTGTCAAAGAGAGCATCCAAAAAGCGTCACACGGGGACCTTGGACAGCACTCATGAGTCATCATTTATGATTTATCTGGTTGGTGGTTTGGAACATTTTTATTCCATATACTAGTATTGGGAATAATAATCCCACTAATGTTTTTCAGAGGGGTTGAAACCACCAACCACTTTATGATTTGAGTTGTTTTGAGAAATAAAGAATAAACTGACTGAACCGTTGCAGCGCAAAAACTATCGTTTTTCCATGTTTTTCCACTTCTGACACCTGTAAACATGCACGATCATCCTATTACCTTTTTGGCAGGGCCAAATGGTCGTTTTCAGAGGCGTCTTGACGGGACCACTGTTCAGCTGCTCTCCAGCTCTCACAGGCCTCGCTGCAATGCGCCTGTGTTGGTGCAGCTTCGCGATGCTTCGCGGATGTTTGGAGCAGTTGACATCAAAAGCGTGACTGGCTTGAACATGCTTGAACCATGTTGACTCCTTGAACGGCGATCAAGTTGCAACTAGAAATTTGCACGCCAGATTTATACGTGACTATACAGCTGCCCATCATGAAGTTGAAGGTTTGAATAAACTTTCTTGAACCGAGCCTTTCTCAGGCCCAATAGATAGGAAGCGTCAAGAATCAAGACCGATGCCACTGTGCACTCAACTTTGTCATTCTTATTGTTGACTTGAATTCTATTGCATCTGCAATTTTGCAAGAGGGTAGTTAAATAACGTATTTAAAATAGTAATAAGTAATAATATCGGGATGAAAATGAAACTGTTGCTCATGCACGGCAAACGCTGTATTGTTTTGTGCCTTCTGGAGCGACCGGTGAATGGGCAGCTGGGGCCTTATTCCAAGCTGAGCCGAGACAGCGACAGTTGCAAAGCTGTACAGCTCTCTTATACGTCTGGTTGCGTTCAGTGGTGCCTGCAGAGATTTCATTTCAATTCATTTCATATAGCTTGCACCGTTTCAAATGGTTCAATCTTTACCTCTTCTGCTGAATATCACAAGAAATCACAAGATCTTCGTCACAATGTTGAGTTGAGGAGCAGCAGCCAGTAGAACGTTAGTTACATTGGTTTTCATAGCAGGCTTGAAGTGATGGAATGACTAACACGGCGTCTGAATCAGCGATCGCGCGATTACTGGATATTCCCACCTCCTGCAGCCATGGACACCGACTTTGCAGGGGAGTACCGGTCACTTGCGGACCCTGGACACCTAGCCGATGTGGAATCAGATCCAAAAAAGGTGGGGAGGGGGATGACTTCCCCTTGTAGGGCCGATCTTCATCTGTGACTGGACTGTTTCCACAGAGCACATTGTACAGTACTTGTACAAGACAAGCAATTGCAACCAAGAGGGACAACACACCTTCAGCTACTATTCAACTACTTTGAGTTGCTTAGTGCACGCGGTTATCGTGATACAGTGACACGAAAATGATCATGAACTGAAGCTACTTGCATTTCACTGGAGATGTTTGAAACTCGACATTCAGGCCGGAGAGGCGCAACGTTTCAAGAAGATACTGAAAGCCAATACCTCCACCTTCAAAGACAAGGCACGAAAATCGAGGAACATCGAGGAAATGTGCTCTATGACTTCGACCCAAAAATAGACGAAAGCGCTATCACGCTGTCAGAACTTCAGCTACAGTGATGTCAAGTTCCCCTCAAAAGCCAAACATGTCACCATCAGCCTTCATGCATGTCAGAAACACGGATCTATCACCATGTCATGAAACATGTATCCAACCTGTCAGGTCCAACACATAGCATGCACAGAAACCCTTGTTGCTTGTCCGACCGCAACAGGGTACCCTTTGGCCAACTGTGGCACTTGCCTTCGTGTGCCTTTAGAAAGGCCTGCCGACTACCTCGCAGCCATAGGTGGGAAAACCCGCTTGAGCGTTGCCTGCTGCTTTTGGGACTTGGAAATCGAGAAGTGTAACAAGTTCGCATAGCAAGGCCACAAGCTACCTCACATTGGTAGCGGAGCCGGGCGATCCCGGTTCCGAGTCTACTTCCTGCGGTCCTTGGTGGTGACTGCAGAGATCTTTGGCAACTTGCTGCTGGTCTATGCTTCGCCTGTTCTTCCTCCTTGTGGTGACCTACGACAAGGGAGGCTGCTGTGCGCCCTGGCTTCATCCTCTTCGAGCTCAACATCCTTGCGGAGGTCTTCACGCTGGAGCTGACCCGGTCCTGTGCAGGCCGTGGACGCTCCCTTGTGCACCGGTCCTGAGCAGGCCGTGTGCAGGTGCTTTGCCAAGCGACGGTCCTGAGCAGGCCGCTCGCTCTCCTACTTCCTTGTGGAGCCCTTCAACCAGGAGAATGTCTTTGAGCCGTGACTTCAAAGATGTGGCAACTTGGAATGGCGAGCTGAACCTGTGGCATGACTACGCCCGGCATGTTCGTCTTCAATGGGAACGGACGCCGATGCACAAACGGCGACTACTGGGACCTGAGCTGGCATCCAAGCTGACCTCAAAAGCCTGGAGCGTGACACCTGACCTGGACCACCACAAGCTGAGCAAGAAGAATGGCTGCAAGTACCTGCTGAGGTTTCTCCAAGAACGACTTTGCAGGACAGCAGTCCCTGATGCTGGAGCACGTCTTGAAGACTTGCTCATACGACTACGTCGACCAGCTGGCATGTCTATGAGCCAATGGGCAAACGAAGTGATGGAGGCCTACAGAAAGGTTCAGCGGGCTATGATCAGAGCTCGACAGATCCAACGCGCCAAGGAGAAGAGCGAAAGGAAGAGCGAGCCTGAACCTCACCGTGAACCTTCATCCATGCCTACATCACCGAAGACCCCTTCACGGACTTCACCGCAGAGCCCTACACGATCCTCACGGCAGAGCCCTACGCGCACTACCGCTGGATATGGAGCTGACCCTATGGCTGGAATCCAAGAATCTGGTGACGAAGGTGGAGACTATGCCGCTGTTCCTCAAGAAGAACCTGAAGCTGATCAAGGAGAAGAAGAATGGTGGTCTGCTGAAGATTGGCGACGCTGGAAGAAGGAGCAGAAGAAATGGTGGGACGATGATGACACTTCGAGTGGAGAAGATCTACCTTGGGATGAGCTGCAAACCGAGGAGATGCAAGTTCTACCTGATGAAGTACTTGGATGGCTACTTCTTCGTCGCGCCAACCTCAGCAGCAGTCATCGACTTTCAGTACAAGCTTCAGTGGGCAACTCATTGAGGTTCTCCGACCTGGAGATTGCACTTCGTGACCAAGAAGAAGAACTACTTGCTGCTGATCATGGACGAGGTCAACAACATGGAAAGAAGCGCTCTTTCTGGGTTGAGGAAGATGGCAACTGGGGCATGGTCGTCACCAACATGGATGAGATGGACGAGAACGCCGAGATCCACTGGGTTGGCAATCAACTGCCCTCCGACGTCTATGACCCTGGTCCCAACTACAACACTGCCGAGACCTACGAGGATGATGAGATCTACTGGACTTGGGAGGCGGACGGATGGCATGGCTATGTGCCTGATGGATGTGGCTATTGGATGGAAACTGATGGCTTTGGGGCCTTTTGGACTTGTGAGGACCCATTAGCCGACCTATCTCCTGAGGAGACCAAGGAACTGGACGAAGCCTACATGACCTACGAGAACAAAGCTCGGACCTTCTTGCAAAGCCGACAGCTGCAACGTGCCAAAGGCACCAGCCGTGGATTCTTCCCTCTCTCGATGATGAAGGGGGCTGGCCGTAAAGGAAAATCCAAGGGCAAAGGCAAGAAGGGCAAGGGCTTTGGTGGCACTATGTCGTCTACGTCGTCTTCAAGCTCAAAGCCGCTGTTTGCTGCTCAGGGCGTTGACGGTTCAACCACAACGACCAGTTCAGGATGTTTCATTTGTGGAGACAAAGGTCATGGATTCCGACAATGTCCAAAGAGGTCTTCTGCGGCACCACCTTTTGCTGGCAAAGGAGGCAAGAAAGGTGCCTACTGGGTGGACTCTTTGACTACCTCTTCATTGGCCTTTGTTGGAATGGTGAACATGGTGGAGGACACCGTCTATGACACAGCAGGCTATGGCGTGCTGGATCTTGGAGCAACGGAGACGGTGGGTTCTCTGGAAGCCTTGGAAGCTCTGATGGAGATGAGAAGCCGCATTCATGGTATCCAAGAGCCTGTGGAGGTTTACAATGGATGGTCCGGGCGAAAGCCTTTCCGGTTTGGAAATGGGGCTGTGCAGTACAGCTCTAGCTACATCACCATCCCTCAACGACTTGGTGAGTTGGTTCACCTCGGCATGTACACTATTGATGCGGAGAAGGTGCCGATTTTGGTGGGCATCAAAACTCTCACCAAGCTTGGCTCTGTGATTGACGTTAGTGGCCGCTGGATGGTTTTATCCAATGTGTCTCCTGAGGTGAAAATTCCCCTTGCACGGAGCAAAGCTGGCCACCTTTTGGTCAATTTGACCCAAGACTGGCTCAACCTGAGCCGACCTTTGCAGCCAGAGCCAACCGAGGGTGCATACATGGTGCGCAGTTTGGACTTGGGAGTTGAGGCAACAGGTCATGAGGTTGACACCATCAACAACATGAATGGGTTTGACATCGACCACAACAACATGCACATGTCTGAGAAGCCGTTGCTGACAGCAGTTGGTGCACGTCGTCATGTTGGTGATGTTTGGATGATAGATGATGAAGGTGATGAAGGTGAAGGTCAACATGATGAGGATGATGAGCTGGCATTTCTCATGGCACCAGATCACAGTCACCAACCGCTGCCTTCAGCAACCCAAGAGATGCGAGACAAGATCTTGCGACAGCTGTCAAGCCCCACGCTGCCTTCAACCTCTACTGCTGCTTGCCATGTCACCGAAGAAGGCCACCACCGAGATGAAGAGCAAAGCCAAGCCGAAGGCGACAGCTCCCGACAGCGAGCGCTACGACTGGGAGAGGACGGTTGGTCCAGACCCCAGGGACCCTCGCACAGTGGGCCCTCCTTGCCACGGGGAGCATGTGATAGCTGCCCCCGGGCGTGGTTCCAAGAGTGGAGCGAACCGCCATGCTCGATGGGAGAGCTGCGAGGCGTGTGGCTTGCGCCTGTCCTACACACCAACATGGGGCTCTCATGGCGCCACTCGCCAAGCGGGACCACTTCCGCAGGACACCAAGGACCAGATCACCGAGAAGAAGCCCGACAAGAACAGCATCGACTTGGTGGACAAGAAGATCAGCTACGATGCCCAGCAGCGTTCTTTGGAAAAGCAGCTGAAGGCTGTGCAGCAGAAGAAGGAGGAGTGGATCAAGATCCAAATGGCCAAAGACGCAAAGACCAAGGGCTACACCAAGACGGAGCTGGACAACAAGTGGATCGAGGCCGAGAACAAGTTCCTGGAATCTTCCAGTCAGCTGGCAATGGGATCAGCTGGAACACCACTGGACCCTCGCGAGAACCAGTTCTGCCCAAAGATGACTCCCGAGGAGTTGGAAGCCTACCACAAACAGCTGGAGGAGGAGATGAACCATGCACCGGGCAGAAAGGCAAGAAAAGCAGAGGAGTCAGCCGAGGACCTGGAGTACAGCCAAAGGACAGCAGAGCAGGGAGATTGGACTCTCATGCCCGACAACCAGGACAACAAGTGAAGATGATGCAGGATGGCACCAACCTGGGGGCGAACTATGAAGTTTCACTTGCAAGTAATTCAACATCAAATTCTTCAACCACCTCTATGGCATTTTCTTCAAAGGCCCATGTGATTGATCTCACCAAGGGCGACAGCACAGGTTTCACTACATCCGGCATTTTGCCGACGGAATCAACCGCAAGCACTTTGCCTGCGAAGTCTTCTTCTGGTGGCAAGAGGAAGAAGGACCTGGATGACAACGATGTGTTGGTCAACGTGCTGACGAAGGAAGACACCACCTTCCTTGTGCAGGAGCTGGACAAGTTCAACAGCGAGATTGATGAGCTCTTTGCCACACTGAATGTCCTCACAACTGATGGCCGTCCTCCCACAGTACTGGAATTATGCTGTGAGGAGGACAGTGGACTTACAAAGGCCATTGAACAACGTGGGGGTCGCGGCATACGTTGTGGACTTTTCAACGGCTGCGACTTGAGCAAACAGAGTGGCTTCAACAAGGTGAAAACCCTGATTGAGGAGGAAAAGCCTGATGCAGTGTGGGTGGCTTTACCATGCGGTCCCACCTCAAGCATCCAAGAGCTCAACATGTTGACACCTGAGGGTTTGGAGAAGGTTCAAGCCAAGGTTGCAAAGTCTCGCAAACTTGCTGGTCGTGCTGTAACCCTGATGGAGCTCCAAGTGGCTCGAGGTGGCGAAGTTGTCCAAGAATGGCCACGTTACAACAAGGGCTGGAAGTTCAACTGTATCCAGACCTTTTGGAATCGCCATGAACACCACGAAGCCTATGCTGATGGCTGTGCCTATGGACTTTGTGCACCAAGTGGTGGAGCTATCAAGAAGCCTTGGAGACTGAGGAGCACGACCCGACGCATCTGGAAGATGCAACGACTTTGCCAATGCCAAGAACCTCATGTGCCTTGTGAAGGGGGTGACTTAACCAGAAGATCAGCCCTCTACCCTCAGAGGATGTGTCAGCAAGCTGCACGAATGGTGGAAGAGATCCATGGCGACTTGGTCAACAGCAGTTTTGCAGTCTCAGATGCCACGGACTGCGACATGGACTGCCTGAAAGCCTACACAGACCAAGAAGTTCAAACCACAGCTGGTGAGGTGCTCAAACTACACCGCAAGCTTGGACATCCCAGCCGTCAAGCTTTCTTGAAGATGCTGCGTGACCGTGGTGCTGGCAAAGTGATTCGCACTTTGGCTTCAATTGTGCATTGCCCAGATTGCCAAGAAGCCGCAGTCCCTCCAGCTCGACGAGCCGTAACCATCGAGCAAGCCACTGAGTTGTGGGAAGTCATCCAGATCGACAATATGGAGATCACGGTGGGTGACCACACGTACCACTTCCAGATCATCATCGATGAGGCTTCTGGCTACGGGGCAGCAAACTACTTGTTCAAGCATGACGCGGCACCTGGTTGCAGTCGCAATGCAACGACCCTGGAGTGCATCGAAGCTCTCTACAAGGGATGGATCCAATACTTTGGATACCCCAAGATGATCAAGCTTGACAAAGAAGGAGCACACAGAGGACGGCAACTTGAAGAATGGGCAGAAGGTCATGGAGTTGAAGTTCAAGCAGTGCCTGCCGAGAGCCATGGCCAAATCGGTCAAGTTGAACGCCTGATTGGAACTTTGAAACGGAAGATGCTTGCACACCTGAGGTCTTCCGATGGTTCTCCAGAAGTTGCAGCTTGGGCCATGATTGGCGCTCACAACACTATGTCCAACGTGGGTGGCTACAGCCCGTGCCAATGGGTTTTTGGCCGCAACTTCTCTGACTCCATGCGACTTTTCGATGGACATGACCTTCCCTATTGGTCTGGCATGGCATCTTCAGCAAAGATGCAGCACCAACTTCTATGCCGTCAAGAAGCCGAGAAGCATCACCGCGAGTTTGTCTTGCGGGAGAAAACCAACCTGGCCTACAACACCAAGATGGCAAAGACGGTGAGATTTGACCCTGGCGCCTTGGTTTACTACAAGCGCTACCAACCACCTGCAGATCGCAATGAACGATCTCACCAATCTTTGGATGTGCCGAGACGGCGAGTGGCCAGATGGTATGGACCAGCAAGAGTGCTGGCAACAGAAACGAAAGTTTCCTATGATGGTGCTGTACGGCAACCTCACAATGTGGCTTGGATCATCGCTTCTGGACGCCTCAAGAAGGTTCACACCAACCAACTACGTTTTGCCTCTGAAAGAGAACAACTCATCGCCCAAGGAACTCTGCAGTTGACTTTGCCTTGACCTTTCAGGATCTGGCTTCCCTCATCAACAAAGGGGAGTTCGACGATGAGATCATGTCAGAGCGACAGTTGCGAGCTGATGCAAAGAAAACCAAGATGGACTTTGAAGAGCAACAACGTCAACAACGATCTATGGCAAAACGGCAGTTGGAGGAAACTTCACCAACGGGGCAAGAGCAAGCTTCAGCAAGCACAGCATCAAGACCAAGGATGGAGACAAAGCCTGAAGATGTGCCCATTTTGGAGGAGGACATCACCCTTGAAGATGAAGAGATGGACTCACGTCATCAAGTTCAACCTGGTCTTGAAGCTGAACGTTTGCTGAGTGACCCTGACCATTTTCCAATGCCGCCACCTGATCCTGCACCACTGTACCGACATCCACTGTTTCTCCAAGCTCGACGTCAACATGAGCTGAGTGAGAGGCCCTTCCATGTGCAAAGAAAGGAGTTTCTTCAACGGGGCACTACGGAGACTGTGGATGCGGACATGCTCGTGGAGGATGCCGTCAATGACATCTTCCTGGCCCAAGTAGAGCACTACGCCTATGCAGTGACTTTGCCGACACCAACTTCAGAAGCAGAATGGCGATCCATTGTCAAGGACCCTTCGCGCTTTGTGGCCAAGAAGCTGGCGAAAGGAGTTGAGGTGTCATGGCAGCGTCTCAACAATGAACAACGCGCTGCTATGAAAGAGGCCAAGGGCATCGAGATCAAGGAATGGCTAGCAGCTCGGGTTTGCAAAGCTGCTGTGGGCGAAGTACCGCCTGACCGCCTCATGCGGATGAGATGGGTTTTGGTTTTGAAGGGCACTGACGACCCGAAAGTTGTCAAAGCAAAAGCACGATTGGTGATCGTTGGATTCACTGATCCAGACCTTGGAGCTGAAGATGTTCGAAGTCCGACGCTCTCCAGACGAGGTCGACAATGTTTGCTGCAACTTGGAACCCATCGAGGCTGGTCCACTCTGAAATCCGATGCAAAAGCTGCATTCTTGCAGACCAATGACACCCAACAGAAGAGACAAATCTTTGGGATGCCTGTGACAGAGCTGCAGGAAGCAATGGACTTACCTCCAGGACGTGCTGTTCAGTTCCTCAAGGCCGCTTATGGACTTACAGTGGCACCCAAGGAATTCTATCAGCACGTGGATGGCATTCTGCAAGGCTTCAAGCTGTCACGCCTGAAGGTTGACCCCGCCATTTGGGTTCTCAAGGAGAAGGACGCCATCACTGGCAAAACCGTTGTCTATGGTGCGATTGGTGCCCATGTGGACGACTTTTTGATGATTGGCGATGAGAAGAGCCAGCAATGGTGCAACTTTTTGGAGAAGTTCCATGGCGCGCTCAAGTGGTCACCATGGGAATGCGCACCTATGAACCATTGTGGAATATGGATGGAACAAGATGCCCAAAACACCTGGCATCTGAGCCAATCTGAGTTCTGCGAAGGACTCAATCAAGTCACTGAAGATGGGCAGGGGAAAGACTTGACTGCCAACGAGATGCATCAATGCAGAGCAATTTTGGGCGCTGCACAATGGAGAAGCTACCAGACGGGACCTCAGCATGCTGCCAAGCTGAGCCATCTCCAAAGCCTTCTCCCACGTGGAGATCGCACTACGCTCAAGGACATCAACAAATTTGTGCGTGAGATCTACCACCAGAAGGATGAGAAGGTTTCTGTGTTTGACCTCAAGGCCGAGAAGGACGATGACATCATCGCCGTGGGCTGGAGCGACGCTGCCTTGGCGAACAGGGTGGACCTCTCATCGACGGGAGGATTTGTGATTGGTTTTGCACACCGCAAGATGCTGGATGGTGTGCAGGGCCCTGTCAGCCTGGTGAGCTGGAGTACTCACAAGCTCCGCCGTGTCTGCAGGTCAAGCCTGGCCGCAGAAGCCCAAGCTTTGGCCGAATGCGAGGCCGAACTTTTTCTTGTCCGAGCTCTTTGGCAAGAACTGCAAGGTGCTGAGCTGGACTTGGAAAACCCGTGGAATACCACCAAGAAAACTCCTGGTGTGCTGGTGGTTGACGCAAAGGCGCTCTACGACACGCTGCGACAACAGGACATGCCGAACCTGTCGTCAAAAGAGAAGCACACTGCGCTGGAAGTCATGGGTTTATCCCAGCACTTGGTGGAGCAGGAGACGGTCTTGCGATGGTGCAACTCCGACCAGCAGCTGTCTGATGGGATGACAAAGATCTCTGCGGCTGAGAAGATTTCCAAATTTGTCCGAAGTGGACAGAGATGGAATTTACTTTTCGATGAAAGCTTTACAGCTGCAAAGAAAGTGAAATCCACCAAGACGGTGGATCAGCCCGAAGTAGATGTGAAGGATCCGACATGGTTGGATTTGATTGGAACTTCGGGGCATGTCAGAACTTCAGCTACAGTGATGTCAAGTTCCCCTCAAAAGCCAAACATGTCACCATCAGCCTTCATGCATGTCAGAAACACGGATCTATCACCATGTCATGAAACATGTATCCAACCTGTCAGGTCCAACACATAGCATGCACAGAAACCCTTGTTGCTTGTCCGACCGCAACAGGGTACCCTTTGGCCAACTGTGGCACTTGCCTTCGTGTGCCTTTAGAAAGGCCTGCCGACTACCTCGCAGCCATAGGTGGGAAAACCCGCTTGAGCGTTGCCTGCTGCTTTTGGGACTTGGAAATCGAGAAGTGTAACAAGTTCGCATAGCAAGGCCACAAGCTACCTCACACACGCTGGGGGGGTTGATCTTGTGGTTAAATTTTATGTTTATGATTTATAATAATATGAATATGTTTATAATATGTCACAATGTCGTTCAACTGTTGTTGCATGTTGTGGTGTTGAAGTAGTATTGAACCGTTAATGAGATGGCCATATCTTTGGATGCCCCTGGTGTTTGCCAACTGTAGCCAGGAAATTAATATCACTGTTGCCAGGATACATGTAGTGTTCCAACACAAAATGCCTGTTTGTAAATATTCTTATGCTGTGTGACGCTTGTTAGCATTTTATAACATTTTTGTACGTTAGAACAAACCAGTCGCATTGGCACGTCATGCTGGTTCAGGTGGAACGCGAAAAAATGAGTCGCGCTTTACGAGCGAAGAAGGACACTACTCAATTCGTAGAGACCTGATTCTTGAGTGAACTGAAGCAGCAGTCAAGCATTTTAATTTGATTTGTACCCCCAGGCATTCGAGAGCGCTTGATTTCTTATGATGTTGTGCCAGTTGCCACCTGCAGGAGCGTGAACAACTGCGGGCTTTGCGCGGTGGCAAGGGACACACCTTTCTGTTGCTTGGCATACCTCTTTGATTGGTCCGACTGACTGAACTCCTCAATTGTGATTTCCTTCTCTACTGATCGAGTGATGTTCCGAATGAAAGTAACATCAATTCGGTTCTTGTCTGATAGTCTGATAGTCTGATAGGGTCTGATAGAGCAAGAGCATTTGCCTTTGCTCATCGCCTGGACATGCCACTTAAACCTGGCCTTTTAATATCCGATTCTGCAAACAGAATTCATCAGAATTCTTTTTCCATCATGCCTGCCCGGGCAATGATTTCATATGTAATAAATACAGGTAGGTTAACCCCATGACTGCAACATTTGTCATATTCCAGCAGTTCAGTTGGAGATTGTTTTGGCTGAGATTTCATTTAAGGGAAATCAGCCTGGCAGGTACTCATTGACCAGTGCCCATTCACATCGTCTGGAAGCTGTGCGACTCCAAAGATTATTCAGACTACATTCTGAACATTTTGAATTTTGAATATTTTGAATTTGGAATTTCAAGCACCTTGATTCCTTTAGTTTCTGACCTGGTTTCACGCCAAGGGTCTTCCGAAACTTTATCGGCCTTTTCATCCTCAGCAACGTAGTTTGTTTCATCATTGAGACTGACAAGTCCACCGAGCAGAGATACAGACCTTTCTTTGACAATCTTGAAGCAGTGTCCTCTTGTCTATTTCTGGTGGAGTATCTTATGCGGCTGCTGACAGTTCATGAAAACAAGCGCTACATGGAACTGTCTCGCTGTCAAGCACGCTGGAAGATGCTATGTTCTTTTCCATCCTTGATCGACCTGGTTTCTTTTCTGCCATGGTTTATAGAAAGATTGCTGCCGTACAAGCTGCCAAACCTCCAGTTTGTGCGAGTCATTCGCCTATTCCGCTTGTTCAAGTCCAACTCAGTGATGGGTTCTGTTGACGTCATTGCACGTGTCTTGTTCTTCAACAGAGAAATTCTGTGTGTTGCATTCATGATCGACCTGATCTTGATATTGCTCATGTCCACCGTCCTCTACTACATGGCGCCTCCACCAGACACCCCTGGACTTGAAGATGATTTTGAATCCATTCCTGCAACCATGTACTTGTCAGTGATGATGCTCACTGGACAAGGTCAACCTAATGGACAGTTGCCATGGTACACCAAAGTGATCGTGGTTGTCACCGCAGTACTGGCGACTGCGCAATTTGCCATTCCTGCCTCCATGTTGACTTGGGGCTTTGAGCAGGAAGCTGAGAGACGTCTACATAAGAATCATCAGGTGCAAATCAAACAGAAGGAGCGCATCTTGAAAGGGGACACGCAGTGGGATGTCGAGGACATCAGTAGTAGTTCCACAAGTGAAAGTGATGTGGGTCATGAATGGGCTGAGTACGAGGCAGTTGTTGTCGGCAGCGACAGTGATACTGAAGAAGATAACATCGAGTCCGCAGCTCATTTGACCTCCCTAACAGCTTCTGAAGCTGCACGGATTGCCAAAGTTTTCTCTATCTTGGATGCTGACGACAGTGGAATGCTTCAGACTAGTGAGATTTGCAGAATAGCATCCGGCCACTCAGCTCAGAGTGGGCAGATTGATTGTCAGAATTTGGTGGAAGTCCTTGATGATGACAATGATGGGAAGACAACATCTGAAGAGTTCTTGCAGTGGCTGACTGGAATCAAGGCCAAAAATGTGCACGTCTTTCACATGATTATGAAAGATTTGGAGAACCTGAAAATGACCAAAGGAGCTGAATCAACTTTGACCTCAGGGAACCTGATGAAATTCGCGCAGCGCTTCCAGGAATTGAATGATGAGGTCAGAAGGCTGAAAGATGAGCTCGCATCGAAAGAGGCAGAGATTTCCCTCCTGAAAAGAGATCGCCCAGCCGCATGAGCCGCATGAGCCGCATGAAACTTTTCATCGCCATCGTGCTCGCACGATCAATATCCGGCAATCTTAGGTAAACGCTTTGCATTGAAGGGAAAAGGTGCGCGATCGTGTTTGCACCAACTGTGTATCAGCAGAGCAATCAGTGTTTGATAAGTCTGCAGCAAGATGGGGCTAAGACGCCTGCTGTTGCCCAGGCGCGCGATTGGCTGAGAAGGTCATGAGATGTCATGAGGATGAATGAGCAATTTGAAAAGAGTGTTGCTATGACAGGGGATGTTGCTGAAAGCCAGTATTAGTGCAATGAATGAATATTGAATGTGATCCATGACGTGTTTAAAGTCGTCTTGGAAGGAACATTGCTTTTCTTTTGTGTTGCTCTCTGAGAGCAGTACATCCCTTGCAGACCTGAAGTGAATAGATACCAAGATGGTGCACTTGATACCGCCCTTGTCAACCACTGCCAATGAAGAGTGATAAAAAGTGCGCGCCTTTTCTGTCAACACTTTACGAAGCTTTCACACACAACTCTTCAGAAGCCCCAATCTTGGCAAAGATGCATGTCCACAAGCGGCCCTTGAGGCATATTCGTGAGGGTGGGCGCAAATGAAGTTCCTAGCAACTCAAGAAAGTAGTCCTAGATAGTCCTAGACGGAGCAGTGCAAGATACTCAACGTTCACAGCAAGATATGACCTCAAGCTCACCTTGACACTGCTAGCCCCTAGCTTGCGATGCCTGACACTGGTGACCGAACAATTCCGTACCCAGGTACAGAGGTAGGCCATGGTAGCCCAAACCCCCAACTGTCCACAGTTTTCTAAATTATGAGCTCAGGCCGAAAACAAAACCACAAGCGTCGACGACTTTCAATAAAGACATCTCCGATGCCGCAGGCGGATTTTACAAATTTCTACAAGCCCTGGCGCAAGACAGTTGTCAAGGAAGCTCCGTTTCCATCCATTTCCCACCATGTCAAACCTGGCAAGCCCGACGCCACCAGATCCACCAGCACCAATATCATGGCAAGTGGGAAACAAATGGAAACAGCAGAAACTCATAGAAACTCATGCGGTTGGACTTGATCATCGCAGCCAAGTCCAGGACCGAAAAAGCAACTCTGGTCACTTGTGCATCCAAAAAAGCAACACGAACATTGATACAAGATGCCACAATCAGCAAATCCATACGCATCCCAATTTAATCGAATAATTACTTGAAAGCACGCGGATCAGAAGTCTGGTCTAAAAGAAGCAACGCATAGTAGGACCTTGTAGCTACGATTTGAATCCAACCGGTTCAACTTCAGAAAAAATCAACAAAACGATGTGGCAAGCATCGACACACATTGCAACCCTTACTCGGGTGTGCTTACTTCCTCGAACGGCTAATGATGGGCTGTCATTTGCACAACACGGGATTGGCATGCATTCTTTTTGTTTTTGCGAGCGCGATTTGATTTCTGAATACTTCAAGGGCACAGGTTTCGACAATACAAGTTCAACCACTGGAAACGGGGCAAGCATACGCGTTGCATCGAAGTAAGCCACGAACGCCACATTCTTGCCAAACCTTGCGGAGGACTGCGTTAGACAAAACAAACGGTTTCGCTTGAGAACCCTTTGTACCTTCCACAGAGGCAACGAGAGCGGCGAATGACTCTTAATTACGAAGCCCTTCAACTAGACCCTTGAACAGGACCGGTGATATGAACAGCAGCGCAACACCGTTGAATGGAGTTTCGTGGCGACACATCGTTTTTCTAATAATGCCTTCATTTTCGCTTGCGGAACTGGTGCAAAGCTTTCGGCTTCATGAAAAGGTCGGACCAATTTGAATCCGGCTGAGCATGCAGTTCATTGCCTTTGAAAAAAGTACGGTCGCCCCGTCGCACCTTGCGTTTCCTCCGTACCCTACGGCTTGCTACTTGTATTGTTTGAAAGTGGTGGATTTAGTGGATGTGGTGGTGGTGGGGGTGGTAGCAGCGGAGGCAATGGTGGCGGTGAAGCTCAGGCTGCATTTGAAACGTTTCAATGTGCGACATGCTACTCGTTTTCAAATTTCGGATGCCAACACAATATGAATACAATATGCATACGCAAGCGAGAAAGAGAAAGAAAGAGAAAGAAAGAGAAAGAAAGAGAAAGAAAGAGAAAGAAAGAGAAAGAAAGAGAAAGAAAGAGAAAGAAAGAGAAAGAAAGAGAAAGAAAGAGAAAGAAAGAGAAAGAAAGAAAAAGAGAAAGAGAAAGAGAGAAGAACGTAGAATCTGGAAGGTAGCACCAACTAGTATTTCATTTGTATTGTGACATTTGTTTGTGGACTTCTGTTGCTGGTTGTCCGTTTTGCCGGACCTCCTCGCCAGTGATTCAACACTCTAGCGACGCACTGTCTTGCTTATCTTGCTTTCGGGCCCTGGTCAAATGCTGCTGGACTTACCATGTTTCAAGAATCTCTTGGCCTCAGGTTTTTTTGTGACATGTTGTGCAAATTTTCAGCAGGGAAACTACGAAATTTGACTGATCCTTTTTTTATTTGAAAACTTTGACATTATATATATATATAATATATGTGTTGATATAGTATGCGAATGTATGCGAGATAAAGGTACTTTCAACTGGTTATGAGTTCTTCTATGGCGCGGGTCAATAATTTTCAGAATTGAGCATCCACGTTTGTTGCCCGTGCTGTGGTTTCACCCAGTGGGCCGAATGAAACTTTGGTTTACAGATTTTAGTTTGTGGCAACAGTTTAGAATCTAGGGGCTATAGCCCTGCAGTCAATCCAAGGGTGAAGTTTTCTTCAAACCAATAAAATTGTGTCTGACACCCTGATTTTATCTACCAAATTGTACCAAGTTCCCTGCACTTGACCCAAGATCCATCCCGCAAACAGGTCAGACCTTTTTTTAATGAACAAAACGTAGATATCTAGAGGGTCAATTCATTTTAGTTTCAACATGTTTCAACAACGTTTTTGTTCACTAGGAAAAAACAGTTTCATTGAATCCATGGTCTTGGAAACCATGAACCCTTTCAATTTATTGCTATCAGCGCATTGAATCTAACAGTTTTTTTGGAGGGTTCTTCATAACTTCGACCGTGCCCGCATCCTTTACCCTGCTCACGCGCCTAAATAATATCACGATGCCACGACCCTCATCAAACGGCGCGCATTGATCAACTGAAGCGACGCCTGCGCAGTATCAATCACCGCTTGTGATCTGATGTTTTCACCATTCGGGGGTTATGCTTCGACCTCCAATTCCATGGAACACGTTCATCATATTTAATTGCCTTCGGCAAGCCTGCCGGCCATAGAGAGGTGGCCCCAAGGGAGTGTGATGTGCACTCTATGTGGTTGACCGTATACAAAATGAGTACCGCCCCCCCAGCAAAGTACCGCATAGTACCGCCAAGTACTATGTATGAACCTCAGCCCGCTGCATGGAAGGGGACACGGTGGAAGAACAAAGTCGGATTTAGAAACTGCACTGGATTCAGAAATTGGACGTCGGATTCAAAAACTAGACGTCGGATTCTGGAAATTAAATGTTGGATTCAGAAATTAGAGGCGTAGTATTCAGAACCACTTTGGTCGGATTCGGAGTGTGTTTTGTCGAGTTCAGACACTACTCGTCGGATTCAGATACTATTTCGTCGAATTCAAATTATTCCGTTGGATTCAAAAACTATTTTGTCGGGTTCAAAACCTCGTCTGTGGATTCATAATTTGTGCGGTCGGATTCAAAAAAAAAATGTCGGATTCCGAAACATTCCGAAACCATTGCGTCGGATTCAGACACCATTTTGTCGGATTCAGAGCCTATTTTGTCGGATTCAGAACCTACCTATTGCGTCGGATTCAACAACCATTGTGTCGGATGGTAAGCTCTCGCTTCGGGTGCCCACACGCGTGCATCGCTTCGGGCGCCTGCTGTAACCAGCGTTTTCTCGAACTCTACGTATTGGTACGTGGTGCGTGGTAGGGTCATCATCATCATCATCATCATTTTTTTCTGAGGATTGATATTGTTGTTCATTTTATTTTTCATCATTATCATGATCATGATAGCGTCAGGAGAAGATGTGATAGCGTGACATCATGTTGGTGTGCAGGTGCAAGAGAATATCGCCTCATAATGTAGCAAATATGTCCTTGTGCCAAAGGAGAAAAAAACGTTTTCACACACATCCCATCCAACCCCATCTCCAACCCCGCAGCAAGCGATGTGAGCAGACAAACGCTTGCAACAAGTGAGCGGTTTCTCGAGCTGCGAGGGAGGCATACGGGACGCCAGTGGGCCAAAGCCACAGGTCCGGCTGAATTCCACCTGAGTTCCTGCTTCCCACCCTACTTGTGCAAATTGATGGGCCTAGTAACCTAAATATCCGGGATCAAATAATAGTTACACAAAGGGGAAGACTTGGGCTACAGTACAGATTGCCAGCCAAGGGTCGTTTTGTACAAAAAAGTGAAGTTGGGCCAACCTTTTTGTAGTTGAATTCATTTTGTAGTTGTTTCATTAAAAATAATCGTTTTTATTTTGTAGTTTTATCTGTTGAGTTAGTTCAAGCATCCAACATAAAATTTCATTTGCATTTTGTATTTGTATATATATATATATATTATATGTTGAGGAAATTGAAACATCCATAAAATGCTGCCAGTACAGAATCGTATCTAACAACTGCACGGGGTCAACACTTGATCTAATCAAATTCAACCAATGACAACTACAAAATGTTTTCTGAAAAGTATCTTGGTCGGAACTTTGGATGGCATAGGCCCAACTACAAAATGTTATTGGGAAAATTCATGTTAGCATTTCCGATTTTCTGTTATTTTTCAACTTAAGATGCATAGGTTTTTGTGGTGCATATCTTCAATTGTTTTCGAAATCAAACCCAGTTTTGCTCTGTATTTTGTAGTGGCAAAAATGGGACCATGCATCCAATTTTGTACTTGCAAGCCGGATGCTTTGTGTTTTGTACCTATCAAAATCCTCTGCACAGCTTTCCCCCCCTTATCTGAACCCCGATACCTGCATTGTTTATCGAAGGAAGTTTAGAAGTCAAACTTCCGACAATATGGACAGATGAAAAGCAGAGCAGGGCAGAGGCAGAGAGAAGAGGAAGATTAGAAGAGAGAAAATCAGAAGAGAAAGAGTCAGGAAATAAAAAAATGCAGATGCGCGAAAAGGTAGGAAAAGTCGCGACTCACTGCGTTTTTCCAATGATTTGTGGTTCCGGAGGGTCGAAAAGTAGGCTCGCTAAAGCGACGGGTGCGGAGCCAGCTGGCCAGATGAGCGATGAAAAATTGTACGCCGTTGTGGCGCGAAGCACATTTTGAAGTCAAAATGTGCAAAACACCAGGTTCGGACCACTTTTGGAAGTTGAGATGTCGAAAAAGTGCACGCCGTTGTGGCGCGAAGCACATTTCCAAGTCAAAAGTGTTAAAAACTGACGATCTCGGACCACTTTTGGAGGTTCAGATGCCGAAAAAGTGCACGCCGTTGTGGCGCGAAGCACATTTCCAAGTCAAAATGTAGAAAGCACACCAGGTCCGGACCACTTTTGGAAGTTGAGATGTCGAAAAAGTGCACGCCGTTGTGGCGCGAAGCACATTTCCAAGTCAAAAGTGTTAAAAACTGACGGTCTCGGACCACTTTTGGAGGTTCAGATGTCGAAAAAGTGTCAAAAAAATGCACGCCGTTGTGGCGCGAAGCACATTTCGAAGTCAAAAGTGTAAAAAACTGACGGTTTTGAGTTTTTTTTGACGTGAAGATGTCGAAAAAGTAGACACTGATTAACTTAACTACCTTAAATAATTTAACTAGCCTAACTTCGACGACAACAGCAACAACAACAACACCAACCACAACAACTACAACTACAACAACAACAATAGATCGATAGATGGAGGGATAGATAGATAGATAGATACATAGATAGATACATAGATACATAGATACATAGATACATAGATAGATAGATACATAGATACATAGATAGATAGATAGATAGATACATAGAGAATAGATGGGTAGGTAGGTAGATAGCCAGAGAAAGAGAGAGAAAGAGTGAGAGAGATCAAGCACCTTTCAGTCCATCAGTGGCTTCGCTCTGCCATCCCTGATTCACAACAACCAATTTCTCCTATAGGTTTCCTATTTTTGAAACTTCCGCCGCCGCCTTGTGTGGTACTACTGGTATATCATTCTCAAAACCCCCGGCGCTACTCCAAGCGCCTTCCACACCATGTCTGCTTCGAGCCACTGTGCGGTAAATGCACGCTTCTCGATTCTGCGCGTGTCATTTGGACATCCGAGCAACAAATGCATTGAATAGGATCCTAACTTGGAGTTATTTTTATTTAGAATCAACCCGCCACCCCTTCTTTCCAATATATTGAATAGGATTTTCCCGAATGCGTAGCAAGGGTTCCCGTTTCACTCTGGGGGTCTGGGGGCTGAGGGTGTGTTCGCTCGACGTTGCGTTTGTGGTCGCAACCGTCCGCAACGATACGCAACCGTTCGCAACCGTTCGTGTGAGGACCGTATGGCCGTGCCTATGGGAAGTTCTGCAGGAGGGATCCTTTTTGGAGGTTTCAGACGTCTGGTTGCTTCGTTTCGCGTGGCAGGCGTGGCACTTCGTGACATTCAGACGTGTTCTGGAACGTGTCGAAAGTCGTTTCGCGTGGCAGGCGCAATACTTTTGCGACGTTTTCAGAAGATGTGTTGCAGTTTTCGTGGCAGGCGCAGCACTTTGGACGTGTCCATCGCCATTTTTCGTGGCAGGCGCAGCACTTTAGACGTGTCATGTTGCGTGTTTTTTGTAAATCGCATTGGCAGGGCTGCGTCAAGTGGCGACAAGGTGCAAATTCCGTGGCAGGCGTGGCATTTTGCGCGATGTGCTGAAAATTGACGGAAGCCTCGCACGAAACATCGATTTTGAGGTTGCAAATTTTCAGGTTCTAAGGAAAACTCGTAGGAAAACGTCGATTTTGAAGCTACAAAGTGTGAAAATTCGAGGAAGTCTCGCACGAAATGCTTGTTTCGGTGCTCCCACCTGTCTCGTCTCGAGTCTCTGGTTTTCCCGTGGCCTCGCCGTGTCAATGGGGGAAACTGCAAAACTTGTCCTTTTGTCATGTTGCCAACTGTGAAAATTGGAGGAAGTCTCGCACGAAATGCTAGTTTTTCTGCATCCACGTGTCTCGTCTCGAGTCTCCGGTTTCCTGCTGGCGTCGCCGTGTCTATGGGGGAAACTGGAAAACATCTCCTATTCGTCCAAGCAGGTTGTCATGCCGTTTTGCGTGGCAGGCGTGACACTTTTGTGACATTCCAACCTGTTTGATAACGTCCCGAAAATATCAAAATTGGAAGAGGTCTCACACGAAATGCTCGTTTTTCTGCACCCACGTGTCTCGTCTCGAGTCTCTGGTTTTCCTGTGGCGTCCCCGTGTCTATGGGGGAAGCTGGCAAACTTGTCCTTTTCGAAGGTTTCCAAGCAGGTTGTTGCGTGGCAGGCGTGGCACTTTGTGACATTCCAACCTGTTTGATAACGTGTCGAAAATGTCAAAATTGGAGGAAGTCTCGCACGAAATGCTCGTTTTTCTGCGCCCACGTGTTTCGTCTCGAGTCTCTGGTTTTCCTGTGGCGTCGCCGTGTTTATGGGGGAAGCTTCGCACTCCACACACCAGACTTTACACTCCACACTCCACAATTTACATTTTAGACTCCACACTCTACACTTTACACTCCACACTTTGCACTTTACACTCCTCACTCCTCACCTGAGACTTTACGCTCCACACTCCACACTTTACACTGCACTCTAGACTTTCCACTCCTTACTCCTCACTCTACAATTTACACTCCGCACTCCACACTCTACACTTTACACTCCGCACTCCACACGACACTTTGCACACTCCTTACTTTACACTCCACACTTCACACTCCACACTTTTGGAAGCTACGGTCATAGAGGAAAATGTTCCACTTTTCATTCCAGTACGTCTGCTTAGAGATCTTCGAGCAGTGATTGACGTTTCCACGGAATCAGTGATGTTTCGCAAGCATGCTGCACATACAACCATGTCAATTTTGCCGTCTGGTCATGCGCCGATCAGTGTCACAGAATTTGTTCCTGGTGGTTGGGAACTTCCTCGTGAGGCACAGGTGAGAGGTATGAGAACATGCTTGGTATGGAAGCAAAAGTGCACTTCAACATCGCAGCCATGTGCGAGAAGCCAGAAGTGCCCCCATCAGCTTTGTCACTGTGATCATGGCGAGTCTGCTGATGCGACCTCAGGACTTGCAGGAGTCCGAGAGCCACGAGGGACCTACCCCCCGGCAGCGCCGATCTTGTGCTGCATGGCGCTTACTCATGGTCAAGGTGATGGAGCTGATTTGGAAGTTCAATGCCGACGTCATGCAAGAGGCAAGAAAGTCACTGGGTATGCTGCGTCCTTCGCACGTCACTGGTTGGCCTTGTGGATCACCAGTACCGGCTAGCTCAGCACCGAGTGTGTCACCTTTGCCGATGTGTCCCGTGCCTTCCAACAAACAAGAAGACTTGGAGCGACAGAGGCAAGAAGTGGGATTCCATTGCCACCTCGAAAATGAAAGACGGCCTCCAAAGTGCCTACGAGTATCTGCCCACACCCAATGCAGAGCTTGAATGGGTCGGGCAACCAACATCAACGAGAGGTGTGGTGTGCCGATTGCCACGCGAGATGGAAGGTGGCAACTACACCAACACCATATCAGTTGCCATCGGTGCCAAGCTCATTGATCATGCAAACTCCTCAAGCCCTGCAACCACTCAGGGGGCGATGCCTCCGGCGTCAGCAGCAGCAAGCAGCATGATCAAGAAGGAGTTGAGGGGCAAATGCCATCTACCTGCAAACCGTCTCAGGGTGAAGAAGGAGGGACCTACACAAGGGAGCCTTTTCTACAACTGCCCAGCGCAGGTATGCAACTATTTCGAATGGGACCCAGTGGAGCTGGAGAAGTTGCAGGGCACGCCAAAGAAGGAACCGGAAGTCAGTCCGGAGCTCACCAAGATGATGGAAGAAATGGAAGTGGCGAAGAAAGAACTGCAAACCAGAGAGGGCAGCATCAAAGAGAGAGAGGATTCAGTGCTGATGATGCAGCAGTCACTCCACGAAGGAGTCCGCAACTTGGTGGGAACGGCGGTGGAACAAGCAGAGCAGAGGCATCAAGAGGTGATGGAATCACAACACGCACAACATGTGAGCCAAGTGGAGCAGTTGCAAAACCAACTGTTCTGGTTCACGGCACTTGCGGGAGAAACCAGGGCGCGGGAAGTCATCATGAACGATCTCAACAAGAGTCAGGAAGTGATGTTACAGGCAATCCAACTGCGGCAGAGAATGATGGCCGCCGAGCCCCAGTTTGGGGGACAAGATGGATGGAAAGATTCCCCAATGAACCCAAATCCCATGCCTCCTGAGGAAGTACGCCGCGAGGACTCTGGAGGAGAGAGGGCTCGATCTGCGGAGGGCTGCGGGATCCTGGAGGAGAGGATGCCCGATCTGCTCCTTCCTCAGAGACGGCGTGGCTGGGAAAAGGGGCAAATGCAGTTCAGAATGCCATGCCTCCTGGGGGAGTAAGCCGCGGGGACTCTGGAGGAGAGAGGGCCCGATCTGCTGAGGGATGCTGAGGGCTGCGGTGACCCTGGAGGAGAGGGTAACCGGTCTGCTCCTCCCCCAGGGACGGCAAGGCTGGCTGATTGGAGAAATTGGAAGAAAAATATATCCCATGAGGACATGGATGAAGTTTTGAGGAGCGCCCCCTGGGCAACGAAGGTTGGTAGTCACAAGGCTTGGAACACTGCAGTTCTCTGGCCCTTGCGAGACGCTGACAAACCGCCAGAGGAAAAAGTGATCCAGCAGATGTTTTGGAGCAAAGAGAAGACAGGTTGGAAGTTTCACCAAGGCATTTTGCCTTCTCACGGCATCCCGGAGGATGTTGTAGTGGCAATAGATGCAGACTCCATTGAGGTGCTTGCAGCTCAAGAAGAGGATCAAGGTGTCTTAAAGAAAGGGTTGCGCAAGAGAATTCAGAGAAACATGAGAGATCTCACCGTGACGGAGGTCTATTCAGAGCATCGGGTGGCGAAGACCGCCGAGCGTTTTGGAATGAAAGCAGGCACCAGTTTTGACTTGAAGACAGGTTTCGATCTGTCAACACGCACGGGCAGGAAACGCAAATTTTGTTAGAAGACGCAGATCTGAGTCTGGTATGTCCACCATGCGGACCATTCTCAAATCTTCAAAATCTCAATTATGACAAGATGCCAATTGAAAGGGCGATGGTCATGCTAGGTGATGGACTGGAGCACCTGGAGTTTTCCATGCAGGTGTATGAATGGCAAGTGAGAAAAGGTCGGAAAGCAGTGTTTGAACATCATCCCTAAGCGGTGTTCAAAAATAAAATCAAGGGGCTTGAGCCCGAAATATTTTTAAATTTATTTTTCAAAAGGTGCTTATCATAAGTTTTGAGTAAATCAGACCCCTATGATTTTATTTTTGAGACATGGGCCAAGACCAAGAACCAACCCCAATGCAGCTGGTGGAGTAGCTTTAGGTTGGGTCCCTTTGGTTTTATTTTTGCGTTTTGCTTACCTTTTTGTTTTGTTGGAACATGTTGGAACACACCTCTTGTGTTGGAATTGGTGGACAAGACATGATGAAAACAATGGCTATCACGCCACAAAAAAAAAACCTATGGATTGTGATTACCTGATTACACCATTCTGCTCCTACAAAGCTTGAAATACATATTTAAAAACTGGGTTTGGATATGTTTGGATTCAATATTTGATAGATTTTGTTGAGATTTCAGATGATTTCACAAACACAGATGCTGACCTTGAACCCTTCAGTTTTATTTCTGGAACATTTTGGATGCTGGCTTGGAACCTTCTTGATTTTATTTCTGGAACCTCTTGATTTTATTTTTGCAAACCCTTCAGTTGGATGACGGATGATACTGATGATTTTCTCTTCATCGTGCCAAGTTCTGCGAGGTTGTTGCTGACTTGCGTGGCCCTCTTTTGTCTTTCTTGGGAGACAGGGAGTTACCGGCGCACACGTGGGCCTATGGCCTTTGGGATGAGCCTGCGTCCCTGCGTGATTGGCAGGCGGATGCGCGTGCTTTGGAGTGGCCTTTTTTGGTGGAGTCTACTGCGGTTGGTAGACAATTTGTTTTCACGGATGGGAGTTGCCTGTCGCCTAGGTCCCCTGTGCTTAGCATTTCAGGTGGTTCTGTCATCTTGGCGAAAAACACGGGGAAGTACGAGGTGGTTTGGTCTGGACTGGTGCCCGGACTGGAGCAGTCCAGTTATCGGGCTGAGCTTCTGGCTGTCACCGTTGCGTTGGCCTCCTTTTCGTGTGTCACCGTTTTCTGTGACAATTTTCAGGTCGTTACGTATGCCGCAAAACTCCTGAAGATGCCGGCTCGTTTTCGATGTGATCACCTTCCTGAGGAACACAAGGATCTGTGGAGGTACTTCTGTTCCTGTACTCAGCTGCGAGCATGGGGAGATTGCATTGTGAGGTGGGTTAAAGCGCATCAGGATGTTGCTTCTCTCGACGGGCAAGACAGAATTTTGGCCATCTTCAACGGTTACGCAGACGCCGAGGCCAAGAAAGTTGTCGTGGAGAGGGCGCGTTGTGCATTGTACCGGGAGCTTTTCGCTTCTTGTCATGCTAACAAGGAGGCCGCCGTCCGACTGGCGGACATGCACGTGGCCATCGCCCAGGCGTTTGTGGAGGTGGATCGGCCTAGAAGAGTGTGCCTTGACCCGGCTGGCTTTCAGGTGGTCGGTAGGGGAGTAGCGCTTAGTGAATTGGAGGCCGGCCCTCAGGTTCACGAGGCGTTTTCGAAGGTCCTGGTTCAGTGGCTTGGTGCTTTGCGTTGGTTTCCGACGTGTGCTGCTGGTTGGTCGGGTATCACTGCGATTGAATTGCTGTGGCAGTTTGTCTTCGATACTGGCATGCTGCCCCCGTTCTGGTATGAGGGCAGGTGGTGCACGGTTGATGAGTCGGTGCTGTGCTCTTTTGTGCTTCCAGGGATGCCGCGATTATTTCGTGCGTGGTCGCGTGCGCTGGGTGCGATTGGTGGTTTGTCCTTCTTGGAGGTCGGTGAAGCTGGCGGTGGCTTGCGCGAAGCTTTGGGTTTTTCGGGGTTGGCGGTGGTTGGACGGATCCCCCTGCATCCCTCGGTGGTTGAGGACCTTTCCTCGCTCTTCCGTCGGTCTTTTGTTGTTTCGTCTTTGAGGTTCCCGTCCTTTTGGTAGACCTCTGTACAGTCGGGGATTAGTAGCTCACACAAGCTGGTCGGCTACTTTTCCAGCACTCGGATTTCTGGTGCGATGTGAGAGTGCGCAACATGTGGGGTTGAACTCCCCTGATTTCATTTTTGCATTTTGGGGGTCAGTAGCCTGGGTGCCCTTGATTTCATTTTATTTTTCAGGGGTTCAACCCCATCTGGGTGCACCACAAGGGGATTGAACATCCAGCAGGATCAAGGGCATGGAACGAGAATTGTGTACAGCGAGTGCTGTCACTTCCAGGCGTGGTAAGAGTGCGTGGAGATCAATGTCAATTTGGCTTGAAAGTTTCTGAAACAGGAGAGCCCAGTAAGAAACCCACAGATTTCATGGTGAATGGAGACAACATGGCACGAAGGCTGGCTATGAGGTGTCAAGGAGGACACACACACACATGCCCAGCTCATGAACGGAAAGGCAAAGAGGGCAGAGCGTTATCCAGAAAGATTGTGTGAGGCCATGGTCAAGAGCTTCAGAGAGGACATGCAGGAGAAGTGCTCCTGTGTATTTGCCTTTGAGATTGAGGGTGCGCTGGATGAAGGGGTCATGCGTCATGACGGCGAAGAGAATCAGAAGAACAATTCAGCGTACTGAAAGGAAAAGCAGACAGCGAGGATGAGGCAAGTGAAGAGGAAGACGAAGAGCTTACTCGAAGATTCACAAAGAGTGACAAGCGAAAGATTCGAAAACTTCACAACAACTTGGGGCACCCAAGTCAACCAAACTTTCTCAGAGCACTTCGAATTGCACGAGCGAGGCAGGAAGTGCTGAAATTTGTCAAAGAAGAGTTCAAGTGTGATATGGGGATGGGTCAAAACCCTGGTACCTAGTGAACCCCAAAATAGCTGGTAAATGGATGTTCATTCCACTAAAAATGTATCTCTAGGTATTGACCCATACCCATATATGCGAGGCACACGTGCAGCCAAAGGCAGCAAGACCTTCAACTCTTCCAAAGCACTTTGAGCCAGGGAGAATCATTGGAGTGGATGTAGTCTTCATGCCAAGCAATGATCCTCGATTCACCATCCCAGTGCTGAATGTGATCGACTGGACAACGTGCTATCAAACCTTGGAGCCACTGGAAGGAAGGCTGTCAGAGACAGTATGGAAAGCCTTCATGAGGAGCTGGGTCCGGGCGATTGAAATGCCAGAGCTAGTGGTTTGCGATCAAGGTAGGGAATGTATGAGTTCATTTTGCAGGAAGGTCAACGAGGGTGGAGCCATCATTCACACAATTGGTGCAAGAAACCCATGGCAACAAGACAGAACTGAGAGACATGGAGGTCTAGCAAAAGGAATCCTAAAGCGAGTAGTAGATCAAGTCCCTCCCGAGTGGGTCACCTGTGTGTACGAGGTGGTGGGCGCAAAGAACCGGATGTTCAACAGAAGTGGGTACTCTCCAGCTCAAAAACAAATAGGCATGAACGTGCGACTGCCGGGCAGCCTGAATGGAGATGACCCCTATGACCCAGTCGTGCAGCGATCCACTACAAGCTTAGATTTGCAAAGGATGATGAACATTCGAGAAGCAGCACAGCATTCCTGAAGCACAGCACCCAAGAGGCCATTCAAAGAGCCACACATGCCAGACCGAGAGTGGTCAGAGACTTTCACGCCGGAGAAACGGTGTGTACGTGTACCGCAAGCCTCTACCCAGAAAAGGCGGCGGACAAGATGGGCGAGTTGCCTAATGGTGTGGTCCTGGAACCATCGTGATCCAGGAAGGTCCCAACGTATGGGTAGCTATGAGAAGAGAGAGGTGGAAGTGCGCAAAGGAGCAGGTGAGAAGTGCTACCCGGGAAGAAGAGGAAACTTATGGACTTCTCAAAGATGAATTCAAAGAGCTTCAGGCGGAACTGGGTAGGAAGGGCAGTAAAAGAGGCTTAAAGGATATATCAAACTGGCAATTTTCCCCAACAGCAGAGGATGAGCCACCACAAGACACACAGGAGCCGGTAGAAAGACCAGCTCAGAGACCCAGGCTGGAGCATCAAGCACGGGAGGATTCAGAGTCACCAGGCCCTCTAAGCCAAGAGGGAGCATCGACACCTGAAACCCCAGCATCAACAGCAAACAGCAGCAGCAGCAGCAGCAGCAGCAGCAGCGCCAGCAGCCCAAGCAATGGGCATGAGGAAGGAAAATTAGGAACACCAACAGCAATACAGCCTCAACCAGTTCCAGAGGAAGTGATGGAAAGAGCAACCACTTCAGTAATGCGAAATGAGCGTTTGGATGGAGTGAGACAGGGCTTCTATCCAACACGCAACGAATCGCAACGAGGTTGAAAGCATGCGATTCTCCCCATATGACAGCAGCATGTGGACATTCATGGAGGAGGATTCAACAGTAGAGGTCAAAGAGGATGAGTGGGTTTTCCACGAAGCTACCAGATCTCTTTTGAGAATTCACCATCAAGAAAGGAGAGGAGCATTTCTTCCACACGACAAGCTTGGGTGTCCAATCCCAGTGAAGCATCTGCATCACAAAGCAGTTGTTTACCAGCACTTTCCAAATGGCGGACAAAAGCTATCAGAAGTGAGTTGGAGGAAACAGCGTGAGGAGGTGGGCCCCAAAAGATACTGGGTCGGCTTCACCGAGTTCAAGCTGAAACCCAAGGTGTCTATGCACAAAGCGATGGAGATCTTCGCTGCAAACAAAGGCAGTGATGAAGTGAAGGAGAGCGATATTAAACCTGAGGAGTGGCCACCTTGGAAAGTTGCAGACGGTGAAGAATGGGCAAAGGTGGAGGCATCAGGAGCAGTGAAAGCTCTATATCCAGAGGAGTCAGAGGCGATAGAACGCCAGCTGAGAGAAGCTGGAACAAGTGGAAGAATTCTTCCTTCCAGGAAGCCAGCAGAACTCCCTGGCGAGCCACCAACAATGAAGTCAAGATGGTGCATCCGGGGAGTCAAGGACCCGGATATTCTGTCTTTAGACAGGTGCTCTCCAACTGTCACCACTGCAGTAGTCTCCATTGTGTTGCAAACAGCAGCATCCAGGAAGTTTCGTTGTGCCATTGGGGACCTCAAGGACGCGTTCATGCAGTCCGAGCCATTGAAAAGGCCACAGGGAAGATTGTTCTGTCGTCAGCCACGAGGTGGACTGGCTGGATTGAGATCAATTGCTGGGAATTTTGGCTGGTGCGTATGGGTTGGGAGATGCACCACTTCACTGGCGAAGATCACTGCTTAAAGTTCTTGTTCAACTTGGATATTAACAGTCAAGCATGGATCCATGTACGTTTAGGCTCTTCAGCGAAGGCAAGCTTCGAGGCATCATTGTGGTGGAGGTTGCCGATTTGTTGACCATGGGAGATGAACTGCATTTTCAGAAGATGGAGGAACTTCAGAAAAGGTTCAAGTTTGGCAAGTTCAAATTTTTGGATGAAGAGCAGAAAGGCGTGTCGTTCAACGGCAGGAGGCTGAGGATGCTTGAAGCTGGAACGTATCTAGTGGATATGCAAAAGTTTGTTGAAGAAAGGTTGAGAGAGGTTAGTTTGGCAGTAGGAAGGGCCAGTCAAAAGGATGAGGATGCAACAGATGCAGAAAAGACAGAAGCAAGAGCAGTGGTCGGGGCTTTGACATGGGCCGCAAAAGAAGGTCGTCCCGATTGTGCTGCAGCAGCAAGCATTATAGCAGGAACATTGAATCGAATGAAGGTTCAAGAAATCTTGGATCTCAACAAGGCTGTAAGAGAGGCAAAGAAAAGTTCCACTATGAGTCTGAGAATTCAGCCAGTCGCTCCAGATCAGATCATCTGGGGGGTAGTCACCGATGCGTCATACGCGAATGCGAGTGGAGGAGCTTCACAAGGTGCTTTTGGAGTGATATGTGCTGAAGAGTCGGTTCTGACTCGAGGAAGTGGAGCGGTCAATTTGCTTCACTGGAGGTCAGGAAAAATGTATCGAGTGGTGAACTCAACGCTGGCCGCAGAGAGTCAAAACCTGTCCAAAGAGTTGAGTGAGCTGGCATGGAGTGTCACGGTGTATAAGGACCTGATCACTGAAGGTTTTGACCTAAAAGAATGGCAAAGAGCTCTCAAAGATCAGCGCGTGATGACTTTGGCAAAAGATGACATGGATGAGACGCTGAAGCAAAGTCCATGCATGGTGGACGCAAAGAGTCTGTTTGATCACCTAGTGAAAGAGACGGTAGGTTGTACAGATGACAAACGAACCGCAATAGAGATGCAAGTGATTAGACAGTCAATGCAAGAGACCAATGCAGTAATTCGTTGGGTGCCACATCCCAAAATGTTCATGGATTGCCTCACAAAGAGGTGCGGAAACCGTGGTCCGCTCACAGAGCTTTTGGATAGCGGTAGATACAGTTTGGTGGACCATGAGGTCAATAAAGATTACTGGGGATCTGTGAAACGTGGAAACCAGTGCATTCATGTGTAAAGCCGTGTTGACCTCATGTCCCATCATTTCAGGCGTCACTTTACTTTGGACTAGTATTAGTATTAGTATTAGTAGTAGTAGTAGTAGTAGTAGTAGTAGTCGTAGTGGTAGTGGTAGTGGTAGTGGTAGTAGTGGTAGTAGTGGTAGTAGTGGTAGTAGTGGTAGTAGTGGTAGTAGTGGTAGTAGTGGTAGTAGTGGTAGTAGTGGTAGTAATGGTAGTAGTGGTAGTAGTGGTAGTAGTGTTAGTAGTAGTAGTGTTAGTAGTGTTAGTAGTGTTAGTAGTGGTAGTAGTGGTAGTAGTGGTAGTAGTGGTATTAGTGGTAGTAGTGGTAGTAGTGGTAGTAGTGTTAGTAGTGTTAGTAGTGGTAGTAGTGGTAGTAGCGTTAGTAGCGTTAGTAGCCTTAGTAGCCTTAGTAGCCTTAGTAGCCTTAGTAGCCTTAGTAGCCTTAGTAGCCTTAGTAGCGTTAGTAGCGTTAGTAGCGTTAGTAGCGTTAGTAGCGTTAGTAGCGTTAGTAGCGTTAGTAGCGTTAGTAGCGTTAGTAGTGTTAGTAGTGTTAGTAGTGTTAGTAGTCTGAGTAGTCTTAGTAGTCTTAGTAGTGTTAGTAGTGTTAGTAGTGTTAGTAGTGTTAGTAGTGTTAGTAGTAGTGTTAGCAGTAGTGTTAGTAGTAGTGTTAGTAGTAGTGTTAGTAGTAGTGTTAGTAGTAGTGTTAGTAGTAGTAGTAGTAGTCGTCGTAGTAGTAGTAGTAGCAGGAGTAGTAGTAGTAGTAGTAGCAGGAGTAGTAGTAGTAGTAGTAGTAGTGGTGGTAGTAGTAGTAGTAGTAGTAGTAGTAGTGGAAGTAGTTGTAGTGGTAGAAGTAGCAGGAGCAGGAGCAGCAGCAGCAGCAGCAGTAGTGGTAGTGGTGGTGGTGGTGGTACCGTTACTAGTAGTAGTAGTAGTAGTAGTCGTCGTCGTCGTCGTCGTAGTAGTAGTAGTAGCAGTAGTAGTAGTAGCAGTAGTAGTAGTAGTGGTAGTCGTAGTTGTAGTCGTAGTTGTAGTCGTAGCCGTAGCCGTAGTCGTAGTCGTAGTGGTAGTCGTAGTCGTATAGTCGTAGTCGTAGTCGTAGTCGTAGTGGTGCTGGTACTGGTACTGGTACTGGCAGTGGCAGTGGCAGTGGCAGTGGTGGTGGTGGTGGTGGCAGTGGTGGTGGTAGTGGCAGTGGCAGTGGCAGTGGCAGTGGTAGTGGTAGTGGTAGTGGCGCTGGTACTTGTAGTGGTAGTAGTAGTAGTCGTGGTGGTGGTGGTAGTGGTTGTTGCAATGGTAGTAGTGGTGGTAGTGGTAGTAGTGGTAGTAGTGGTAGTAGTGGTAGTAGTGGTAGTAGTGGTAGTAGTGGTAGTAGTGGTAGTAGTGGTAGTAGTGGTAGTAGTGGTAATGGTAGTGGTGGTATAGTGGTTGTAGTAGTACTGGGTAGTAGGAGTTTCGGGGGTAGTAGGAGTAGTATGAGTAGTGAGAGAGCTGCAGGAGCAGCGGAAGCAGGAAGCAGTGGGAGTAGTAGGGTACTACTGGTGGTACCGGTGAGAAAATCAAAGAAAGTAAAGGACCGGATAACCCCACAAGTCAACTTTTTCCGATAATCAGAAAAAGTGGTTGAAGCGGCACGGAAAAAGAAGAAAGGACAAAGGAGATGGTGGAGGGCCAATCATTTTAAAAATTGTATGTGAAAAGTGAAGAGTTGTGTGTGGTAAAGTTGTGTGTGAAGGAGTTGTGTGCGAAAGGTTGTGAGTGAAAGATTGTGAGTAAAAGAGTTGTGTGTGAAAGATGGTCTGTGACAAAGTTGTGTGTGAAAGAGTTGTGTGTGACAAAGATTGCGTGTGACAAAGTTGTGTGTGACACAGTTGTGTGTGACAAAGTTGTTGGTGACATAGTTGTTTGTGACAAAGTTGTGGGTGACAAAGTTGTGTGTGAGAGAGATGTGTGTGAAAAAGTTGTGCGCAAAACGAAAGTTCTAGCCAAGTGCCACGCCTGCCACGCGAAACGGAAGCTCATGTGAGCAAGTGCCACGTCTGCTATGCGAGTCGATGTCGCCAAGTGCCACGCCTGGCACGCAAAACGAAAGTTCTCGCCAAGTGCCACGCCTGCCACGCGAAACGGAAATTCATGTGAGCAAGTCTCACGCCTGCCACGCGGAGCGAAAATCTATGTCGCCAAGTGCCACGCCTGCCACGCCAAACGCAGGTGGATGCCGCCAAGTGCCACGCTTGCGACGCAAATGGAACGTCAATGTCACCAAGTGCATCCAAGTGCTACGTCCGCCACGCAAAGTGGCGCGGCGCCCCGGGTGACCAACAGCGACCAAGCGTGCCACCAGAGCCAGCCAAGTGCAACAAGTGCCACGCCTGCCTCGCTAAACGAGGGTCGATGTCGCCAAGTGCTACGCCTGCCATGCGAAACGCAGGTAGATGTCGCCAGAGCCAGCCCAGTGCCATAAGTGCCACGTTGGCCACGCGAAACAAAGGTCGATGTCGCGAAGTGCCAGGCCTGGCATGCGTTGTGAAAGTCCATGCCGCCAAGTGCCACGCAGAGAGTGTGTGCCAAAGTTGTGTGTGAAAGATGGTGTGTGAAAGAGAGTGTGTGAGAAAGAGAGTGTGTGACAAAGTTGTGTGTGAAAGAGAGTGTGTGACAAAGTTGTGTGTGAAAAAGTTGTGTGTGAAAGATGGTGTGTGAAAGATGGTGTGAGAGAGAGAGTGTGTGACAAAGTTGTGTGTGAAAAAATTGTGTGTGAAAGATGGTGTGTGAAAGATGGTGTGAGAGAGAGAGAGTGTGTGACAAAGTTGTGTGTGACAAAGTTGTGTGTGAAAGAGAGGGTGACAAAGTTTTGTGTGAAAGATGGGGTGTGAAAGAGAGTGTGTGACAAAGTTGTGTGTGAAAGATGGGGTGTGAAAGAAAGTGTGTGACAAAGTTGTGTGTGAAAGATGGTGTGTGACAAAGTTGTGGTGACAAAGAGGGAGCGGAGGAGGAGGAGGCGGAGGCGGGACGGAGGCGGGACGGGTGCAGAATCAAAAACAAAAACCCCACACAAAGATGTGGGGAAAAAACAAAAAAATTGAACGAGACTGCTTGATGATTTGTGATTTTAGTGGAGCATTAGGAACCAGGCAAATTCATTAAAAGTCCCCTGCTCGTGAAACATAATGCCGCGAGTTCGCGCGAACCCACGTCCACACTACGATTGTCCAGGCCAGTGTGAATTTGGATGCACCAGATGTTCCCAATAAAACGGAATTAAACCATTGGGGTTTGGGAAGCGCCACGGTGAGTTGCCACAGCCTTTAAAATGAAGCACTGGGAGGGGGTTGGGTTGCCCATGCTTTCAAAATCTTTCAAATGCCTTGACATGTTTTGGGTCATGGGCACGGTCGTTCTATATAATCTTTTTGTACGTTTTTTTGGTGCGTAGGTGGAAACAAGGAAGTGGAAAACAAGGGTGGCCCTCCATAGAATGGCGCTGCTCAGGTTGGACGTAAGGGTGGCCCTCTATAGAATGGAACTACCCAGGTGGGAAACAAAGGTGGCCTTAATAGAATGGCACCGCCTGATGGGAAGCAAAGGTGGCTCTATAGAAAAGCGGTGCTAAGGATCCTGTTGGGAACAACCTTGTCAGAATGCCTTAGCCGAAGGAAATTTAAAAGTCAAACTTCCGACAATATGGACAGATGATAAGCAGAGATGGGAAGAGTAAGAGAAGAGAAGAGAAGAAGAAAGAGGATCAAAGAAGAGACCATCAGAAGAAAGAAGATCCAGGTGCGTGAAAAAGTAAGAGTCGCGAAACGCTGTGTTTTTCCAATGGTTCGTGGCTCCGGAGGGTCGAACAGTATTGCTACTGCTACTGCTGTTGCTGCTACTACTGCTGCTGCTACTACTGCTGCTACTACTACTGCTGCTGCTGCTACTGCTGCTACTACTACGATGTTATATTTTTATTCATGTTTTGATTGCAGCACGTTGTTTTGGTTCCGGTGGTACCAGCACGAGGCCACAATACTGCCCGGGCGAGGTTAGGTTCTTCAGTCAGTTTCTGATTTGTGACCACCTAAGATCATAAATCCAAGCTAAAGCAAGGCGCGCCCATCATAGCGAACGAGGGAAACCTGCCGCACCACATTGTAGAAAATACGGAAAAAAAAGAGGGGAACTCTAAACTCAGGAGTGGCACCAAATTAGAGCAGGTCTGATTCTGCGGCGTGCCTATGTGTGCAACGCCTAAATTGAAATGTCGGAGCGTTTCCCGGAAACCTCAACCGCACTCTCCCAGCTGCCAGTTTCAAGAGGTTTCTCATGACAAGTTTGGCTTAAGCGACAAAAACATGAAAAGGACTTGTTTGAAGCAAGTGTTTAATTATTGGGATCATCTGTGTCCAGCACTGTGAATTTCCTGGAACTGCCCTTGCATGTTTGTGTGACACACCACCAACATGTAGCAGTGGAGTTGTTGTCGGCGTCTACAACACATCAGACTGCAATTGAATTGTGGGGAATCATACGTGTCATTTTTGGTTTTTCTTGTTTGGGCCATGGATCCGCTTTGTGGAACGCCATGTGGTTCAGCCAGTGTGCAACCCCATGTTGAAGTTGCTGAAATCAAGTCCAACTCTCAATTTTCAGAGCCTTGAATCAGTTTGAACCCTTGCTTTCCAATACTCTCCCAGGATGCGAACATCCTTGTCCAAGATGAGAAATCCACTGAGGCCAGAAATGGTAGGTGCTACTATGTTCCGCGCCCATTCTTCTGAAGTGATGCTGGAACAGTTGGACCATGCAATGATGATGTGGGAAGCTCAATCTTACATGATTTCGCTGCATTGATTGACCCAAGTTGCCATAGTTTTTTTCATAACGTGTGTCCCACGGTAGGTGTTCTGTTTCGTTGCTGCGCAGGTCCAGAAGGCCAGAGCAACTGGTGAAGAACCTCAAGATACAGCAATCTGTCCTTGAGGCCTTCCATTCATCCCCTGTCAGATCCTGTCAAAATTTGTGGAAGGTTTTGACAGCTTGACATGGTTTGAAGTCAAACCAACTATAGTTTTTGCAGATTCTATTTTGAACAGTTGTTGTCAGGCAATGTCAGGAACACTTCCATTGAATATGGCAAGCAATCAACGGCAAAAGGGAAACCTAGAAATGCACCACACCTTACACATTGGTTTGCACCACCTGTCTACGATAATAGATGTAAAAGCGTTGCATGGCGAGGCAACACTGGAAGAACTTGAGAAAGCAATTGTGGACTCACGGCCGGTACCTGAGTGGTCATGGAAATTTATGGAATCATAAAGCCGAGTATCATCGACGATCGTTGTGGCACCGTGTCAGGTCAGCAACTTCCCAGCTGAATATCTCTGTGAACAACGCGCTTCGTGAAACCCAGGCCGGGCTGCCAGGATCAGACCAAACATATCCAAACATATTGCCAGAAAATGGCAGAAATATGATAGAATGCCCAAAACAACCATGGCCAAACACCTCGGTCCAGGAACTGGCTCCTGGCAGTCCAGTGGTGGTCGATCGACAGGTGCCCATGGCAGTGATGGCAGCATCAAAATTCCCGGCGTATCGAGGGCAGAGCAGCATAAGACCAACATGTTTTTGCCTACGGCCCGAAAACCGGCCCAGCGTTTTTACGTTTTTTTGCATTATGATATGGTGGGGGGTGGGGGGTGGGGTGGGGGGGTGTAATAACGTCCTGTGTCCCGTTGCGCACTTCTGTTTTGGATGGGGGGTGGGGTGGGGGGGTGTAAAAACGTTCATTGTCTACGTTATCATCGATTTTCTTCGGAGAACACACTTCATGTTACGTTGCACACGTAATTATGTTTCAATTTGGTGAACGCACTTCATGTTAGGATGCACACGTATGTCTTGAATTTGATGAACACAGTTCATGTTACGTTGCGCACTTCTGTTGTAATGTGTGCCTCTGATTAGTGTGGGCCCCCCCAAACAATTTGAGTATACTCTATAGCTCGCACTTTTTTTGCCACCCCCCTCAACAATTTTTTGGTTAATCAACTTAAGTAAGGATGTCAATTTACTTTCAATTTATTTCAATTTATTTTTAATTTGCTTTCAATTGGTTTCAATTTACTTTCAATTGATGTCAATTTACTTTCAATTGATTTCAATTTACTTTCAAATGATTTTTAATTTACTTTCAATTGATTACAATTTACTTTCAATTGGTTTCAATTTACTTTCAATTGATTTGAATTTACTTTCAATTGATTTCAATTTATTTTTAGTTGATTTCAGAGGTTTTGTTTTTTTTCACTCCCAAAAGTTGGTGCTCACAATAGAGTACCATCCAAACAATTATATTATTGAGTAACTGAGCCACTCATGAGGTACCCCCTTGAAAAATTGTCTGGGTGCTGCTTTTTAATAAGGGTTCAATAATGCATTTAATTATTTGGAAACTCTTGCGTTTTAAAGCTTTAACACAAATATTGCTTTCTAAAGTAAAGGGACCGGCTTTACCCAAAGAAAGGTGGAGAAACGGTTTTGTTTTTTTTTCACTCCCAAAAGTTGGTGCTCACAATAGGGTACCACCCAAACAATTATAATATGGAGTAACTGAGTCAATCATGTTTTTTTCAGGCATCTAATTATTTGGAAAATCTTGCATTTTAAAGCTTTAACACAAATAGTGCTTTCTAAAGTAAAGGGGCCAGCTTTACCCAAAGAAAGGTGGAGAAAGGGTTTTGTTTTTTTTCATTGCCAAAAGTTGGTGCTCACAATAGAGTACCAGCCAAACAATTATATTATTGAGTAACTGAGCCACTCATGAGGTACCCCCTTGAAAAATTGTCTGGGTGCTGTTTTTTAAAAAGGGTTTAATAATGCATCTAATTATTTGGAAAACCTTGCGTTTTAAAGCTTTAACACAAATATTGCTTTCTAAAGTAAAGGGACCGGCTTTACCCAAAGAAAGGTGGAGAAAGGGTTTTGTTTTTCTTTTCACTTCAAAAAGTTGGTGCTCACAATAGAATACCGTCCAGACAATTATGTTTTTGAGTAACTGAGCCACTCATGAGGTACCCCCTTGAAAAATTGTCTGGGTGCTGTTTTCTAATTAAATTTTAATAAGGTATCTAATCGCTCCGGCGGCACCGCCCCCGCCTTAAGAGAGAATAGAAGAAGAGCGAGAGGAGATCTGCAGATGTGAACGTGTGAAGATCTAGATCTGCAGGTGTGAGGGTGTGAAGATCTAGATCTGCAGGTGTGAGGGTGTGATGATGTAGATCTGCAGGTGTGAGCGTGTGAAGATCTAGATCTGCAGGTGTGAGGGTGTGATGGTGTAGATCTGCAGATGTGAGGGTGTGAAGATCTAGATCTGCAGGTGTCAGGATGTGACGATCTAGATCTGCAGGTGTGAGGGTGTGAAGATGTAGATCTGCAGATGTGAGGGTGTGAAGATCTAGATCTGCAGGTGTGAAGGTCTGAAGATCTAGATCTGCAGGTGTGAAGGTGTGAAGATGTAGATCAGCAGATGTGAAGGCGTGAAGATGTAGATCTGCAGGTGTGAAGGTGTGAAGATCTAGATCTGCAGGTGTGAAGGTGTGAAGATGTAGATCAGCAGATGTGAAGGTGTGAAGATGTAGATCTGCAGGATGTGACGATCTAGATCTGCAGGTGTGAGGGTGTGAAGATGTAGATCTGCAGATGTGAGGGTGTGAAGATCTAGATCTGCAGGTTTGAAGGTCTGAAGATCTAGATCTGCAGGTGTGAAGGTGTGAAGATGTAGGTCAGCAGATGTGAAGGTGTGAAGATGTAGATCTGCAGGTGTGAAGGTGTGAAGATCTAGATCTGCAGGTGTGAAGGTGTGAAGATGTAGATCAGCAGATGTGAAGGTGTGAAGATGTAGATCTGCAGGTGTGAAGGTGTGAATATCTAGATCTGCAGGTGTGAAGGTGTGATGATCTAGATCTGCAGGTGTGAAGGTGTGAAGATCTAGTATAACGGCTGCTTTTTTTACGAAGAACCCTTCGCAGGCGCTCTCGGGAAAATTGTCTGGGTGCTGTTTTTTAATTAAATTTTAGTAAGGTATCTAATTATTTGGAAAACCTTGCAAATTAAAGCTTTAACACAAATATTGTTTTTCTAAAGTAAAAGGACCAGCTTTACCCAAAGAAAGGTGGAGAAAGGGTTGTGTGTTTTTTTTCACTCCAAAAAGTTGGTGCTCACAATAGAGTACCATCCAGACAATTATATTATTGAGTAACTGAGCCACTCATAGGGCAATTAATTAATGAACAAGGAAACATTTGAAAAGAAATATAAAATAAAGGAAACATTGAAAAAACATGAAACAATAAAAATAAAAATAAACATTAAAGAAAAATAGAAAACATAAAAATAACAATAAAAAATGACATTTAAATTAAAATAAAAATAGATAAAATAAAAATAAAATAAATAAAAAAATAAAATCAGCATTAAAAAATTGGACAAAAAATAAAAATTGAAAAAAATCTGGAAGAAATATCACAATAGAGGCCCCCCCCACAAACAGCATGATACTGAATTAGGAGCAAGAAATTTCTCACAATAGGGTACCATCCTTCTAATCAGAGGCTTACATTACTCCGGTGACCAAACTTCATGTTACGTTGCGCACTTCTGTTGTACTTTGGTGAACACACTTCATGCTACATTGTACACGCATTTTTTTTTTTATTCGGTGAACACGCTTCATGTTACGTTGTACACGTATGTTCCGTTGCACGCGTATGTTTTAATTCGGTGAACCACTCCAGAGGCCAATTAACAAAGACTGTGCGCTGCGCCGTGTCCATCGAGGCGGCCCAAAGGTACTTGCCCACACTGGTACAATAGATAGTTGCTGGAAGGCCTGTAAAAAGATGCTGCCAGGTAGCCTGCCTAGCCAAAGTCCAATGTTCATGACACATGTCAAGGCTTGGCAATGGCGATGCGCACGTCGAAATGCTGATGTGTGTGATATTCACTGCAAAGACGGTCCGCAAGTTGATGTGATGGGAAAGAATCGCGTGGCGAAGCGCAAAACAATCCAAAAAACATAATATTTTTTGAGGGTGTTCAACATGCATTTTTGAACTCCCACTGCAATGAAACAAGGATGTGTCATAAATCCCCATGGAAATGAAGCGCCAAAAGACACCACCATGATATAAACATGTGGCAAACAAATGCCAAGTTTTCAACAAGACGAAAATCACAATGAACATGAAAATTGAGAAAAACGCTGGGCCGATTTCCTGGCCGTTCGGATGTTTTTGGCATAATTTGGTATATACTTATTATCCCACGCATATTTATTCACAATTGATTCAGCACTATCTTTATTTGACACCCATCATCAGCGACAGTAGGAAGATCCAACCACCGAGACGCTACTCGTAGAAAGTATAACAATAGGCCCCAAATTTGATTGTTCAACAAAACCCTTTGAAGTTGTTTGCGTTGTGGAATGTTTATAAGAATATTTAGGGTTTGATTGTTCTGTCCACTGGCGCCCAGCATTGATGTTTTGTTGTTGGGGCTGGTACGTGGCCTTGGGTGTTGACTTTGACCGTCCATGAAACCGCCATTATCATAGGTGCATGATAGAAATTGGAAGCTATACAAGTCGGCCCCGCGCATTTTTCCGCAGAGGGATGCAAAGGACAGTATATTGATCACCGTCATTTTGCATAACCTCTTCTTCGAAATTCCTCAGGATTTCGCAACCAGGATTCCGCAACTACGTGGTCGGATTCCGCAACTAGTGGTATGTAATTATTCCGTAACTATTCGCAAGTCATCGCGGTTGCAGCTATGGGAGGATTCTCCAGCTACTTGTGCCCCCCCATAATTAAATCTCGCCCAACTTGCGCGGATTATGAATGCTTGGGTGGGGTTGGGGTGGGTTGGGATGGAGTGAGGTAAAAACGTTCATATTTGCTTGCGCGCGCCGTCCAGCATTTTCGAGAATTCAGTATCGAGTTTTGGAACACACAAAATACAATCTTCAGAGTTCGAAATAAGAGTTTAACAATACAATTTTGAATTTTGAAATACAACCTCCAAAGTTCAAACTGCGAGCTTTATAAAAAACAGCTGGGACACATTCTTTCCCCTTCATGAAGAATTCCCCAAAGACTAAGCGCAGTGGTGTTTTCATGCTTTGGATGGTTTCAATAATCCCCCCCTTTAACCCTGGAATATTTTTTTGGGGGGGGTTAGGACAAGAAATTTTTCAGAAATATTTCACCTGACCAGATGAAATATACCCCCCCACATGTTTTTGGGCTTCCAAAAGAAGTGGGGGGGGGTCCTGGGGATGCCACATTTGAGCCCAGAGATGGTATGGCGCCTGGCACACCCTTTCATTTTCCAAGTACGTACATACATGCATGCATTCAACCAGGCCCTGGAGAGACCATTATAAACCTGATTTTTTTAGCTGAAATATTTCTAGGTTTGGGTCTGGGGGGGACGCGCCACCCTTTTTGAAATATTTCAGTTTTTACCCCCCCCCCACCCCCGGCTTAAAGGGGGGAATGTTTCAATATTAAGGTCCTGAAACATGGCCAGCCTCTGGTTCCCAAAACATTGCTTGTTGATTTTCAACCCCTGAGTCTGGGAGAACTGGCTTGAAAACATTTGGACATTGCTGTGTCATTGTTTCCTTCAAATGGCGCAAGTCGCCAGCGTCAGCCATCAGCATTTTAATTTTCAAAGGCCGCAATCACAATGAACCGAAATGAGACGTCGAAAAGAGGCAGAGATGCTGCTCCTATTTTAATTTTAAGGGGAACATTACTATTGCAACTGGGAAGTTTCAAAATACAGCGTTTACGCGACATTATATCATCATTCCATTCTGTTTGCAGAGAGCGGATTTGCAATTCTCGAGACAAGGTGCCGCGCACTTTAACGCACATGGAAACCAGGGAACTTTTGCGTGGCATTCCGCTTGAAGATGGTGCCCTGGAAGAACTAATGTTGGGGATGCACATCGGTGATGTTGTGATGATATTGCATTTTGAGGAAACGGATGGGGAAGGAGAATGTAGCATGATCATTCGACAAGAAACCCCTGATTCATGTCCCAAGCACAGTAATCAATCCAGGATCCAGGGGCTGAGTGGCACCCTTTCATGCTGTGAGGCACGCTGTTGCACAAGATTTTTGCCGATCAGCCTCGCAGAGCTTCCGACATCATATTTCCCACAAAAGATGCTAGTTGGTACGCTTGGTGGCGCTTCTTCACCGAAATTTGCAGGACTGGGCTACGTTTTGGCACTTGGAAAGGTGTGTAAAGTTGAGCACCTTGCCATCATTATCGGATCCAGGTCCGCTTAGATCAAGGATCATCAGAGGTTAACAAATCCCAACATGGAACGTGACCGTTTTTTGAACAGTAGTGAAATACGCAGAACTGGATTGGAGCATGGACCTAATTGATACATTCTTGTTGAGTGGAATTTCCTGTCACTGGTTGTTTTGAATGTAGCAATCCACAATCTTCCTCATTTTCGAGTTAGCTCAAAACATGTAGCTGGCTCAATTTCAGAAGGGGTCATGTGTTTGACTTTAATGCTGTGCCGCTGTCTAAGCAGATTTGGCCCAAAACGTGGCTCCTAAATTTCTGGGCTGCAACAGGGGTACCATCTCTATTAAACGAATCATTTGGGGCTGACCCTGGCAATTGAACATATTGGGAAAAAATTGCAGGCTCGCTCAAGTGGAACGAACTACCTCAGCAACACCGCGCTAGCTCAAACACATCGCTCTAGCTCGATGGCATCGAGCTGGCTCATTTTTTTTGAACGAAAAAAACGCAAAAAACAAATTACTTTACTTCGTGTGATCCCCACCATGACATTTATACATTTTGTTACTGGCAAATCTTCTGGCATTCTATCTGACATATTTTCTGGCATTCGATCTGGCATTCTATCTGGCATATCTTCTGGCATTCTACCTGGCATATCTTCTGGCAGATGTTCTGGCATATCTTCTGGCAGATGTTCTGGCATATCTTCTGGCATATCTTCTGGCATATGTTCTGGCATATCTTCTGGCATTCCATCTGGCATTCTATCTGGCATATCTTCTGGCATATTATCTGGCATATCTTCTGGCATATTATCTGGCAAATCTTCTGGCATTCCATCTGGCATTCTATCTAGCATATCTTCTGGCATATTATCTGGCAAATCTGCTGGCATTCTATCTGGCAAACATTCTGGCACTTTATCGGGCATATCTTCTGGCATTCTAGCTGACATTCTATCTGGCATTCTATCTGGCATACCTTCTGGCATTCTATCTGGCATATCTTCTAACATTCTATCTGGCATATCTTCTGGCACTCTATGTGGCATATCTTTTGGCGTGGATACTCGCGGTTGCGGTCCGGCAGGGAACACTGGGCGTGGATGGTCGTGGTTGAAGTCCGGCAGGGAACACTGGGCGGGGATACTCGCGGTTGAGGTCCGGCAGGGAACACTGGGCGTGGATGGTCGTGGTTGAGGTCCGGCAGGGAACACTGGGCGGGGATGGTCGTGGTTGAGGTCCGGCAGGGAACACTGGGCGTGGATGGTCGTGGTTGAGGTCTGACAGAGAACACTGTGGATCGCGGGTCGCAGTTGAGCAGGAGGACGAGGAGGACAACGAGAGGAGGAGGAGGAGGAGAAGGAGGAGGACGAGGAGGACCAGGCAACTGACATAAAATCTAACAACCCTCACCTGGCAGGTGGGGAAAAACTCGAAAAAAACGAGCCAGCTACGTCACGTTGAGCTGGTGAACGAATGTGAAAGCTCAAAAACGGATACATAATATGTATTGGCCGGGATTATGACGGCACACCGAGCTGGCTCAAGGGCATGTAGCTGGCTCAATTTTTTCGCGTTTTTTTTTTTTGGTTTTTTGTTTCGTTCAAAAAAATTGAGCTAGTTACGAGGCGCTGAGCCAGCAACGAGGCATTGAGCCAGCTACGTGGCACTGAGCCAGCAACGGGGGAATGGTGAATCTGTATTGTACGGGACCGATGGATTTTCCAATGCAGCCTTTGCAGTTCCAACAAATCAAATTATTGATTAATTCTGGCACCATGTGAGATAAAATAGAAGACTGGCAGTCTATACGTATGTATTGTCAATCTGAGGCAACACCAGTTTTCTTGAGGGAAACGCGTGCCCTTGAGCTGGAGGGAGAGTGGGAAAAGTAATTTTCGATCGTTTGGGTTTCGGGCAACCACAGAAAGTGGCAGAGAATTATGAGTCCACGATCTGTTGGTGTTTGGGTGCTGATTCTTGGGTCCTTTCTCTACATATTCCCGTTGGTATCCTTTGCCGGTTTCAAAGGGGCCACAATGAAACAAATTAAAGGACCGGATAACCCCACAAGTCAACTTCTTCCAATAATGAGCTTCAAAGGTTGTAGCGGGGACGGGGAAGGAAGGAAAGACAAAGGTCACCAAAGCAGAATTACGCTGCTCCGATCGTTTCTTTCCACGTTGGGCTAAAACCACCAGAGCAACAATAGATGATCCTATGACCGCACCTTTGAGTGCAAATGACGAATCTAACTTGACTGACTAGTTGTACTTGTGGTTGAGTCGTATGCGTGCTACAGATGTTGTCCGCAAAAACTTCACTGACTGGTTGTAATTGTGGTTGTAGTGGTGGTAACACTATCCTCTGCAATGTCTGCTTCGGCGGCCTCTTTCCACGTTGGGCTAATGTCACCAAAGCAGAATTACACTGCTCCGATCGTTTCTTTCCACGTTGGGCAAAAACGACGGGAGCAACAATAGATGATCCTATGACCGCATCTTTGAATGCAAATGACCAATTCAACTTGACTGAGTAGTTGTAGTTGTGTTGTAGTGGTATGCGTGCTAGAGCTGTTGTCTGCAACTTCTAGTTGGGCCAAAGCGACCAAAACAGAACGACAAGAACGACATAATGAAAGTCTGCATGCAAGAAACAGAATCTGTCATGTCTGCGTTGCACAGCGTTGCTCAAGCGCAGTTGGGCCCTGCCTGCCGTAACGACCACAAGCAAGACCAGCACCTGGCCGCAATTGTGTGTGGAATGCAGCAGGCCGAAAGAAGAAAGTACTTAAACATGCTAGAAAAGCAAGCATGCCGAAACAAACCGACAGAAGAAACATGCCGGAATTTGCGGCCACTTCAGTCGCGCGCAGCGGTCCATTGAACGTCTTGCCGTCCTTCTTGCGGCGGGCGCGCCAACCATTAGCAAGTTTTTCCACCGCCATAGCTGCACGAAACAAATGTAAATGACCAATCTAAGTTGACTGTGACTAGTTAGAATTGTAGTATTTGTGGTGGTAGCACTATCCTCTGCAATGTCTGCTTCGGCGGCCTCTTTCCACGTTGGGCTAAGGTCACCAAACAGAATTACGCTGCTCCGATCGTTTCTTTCCACGTTGGGCAAAAACGACGGGAGCAACAATAGATGATCCTATGACCGCACCTTTGAGTGCAAATGACGAATCTAACTTGACTGACTAGTTGTACTTGTGGTTGAGTCGTATGCGTGCTACAGATGTTGTCCGCAAAAACTTCACTGACTGGTTGTAATTATGGTTGTAGTGGTGGTAACACTATCCTCTGCAATGTCTGCTTCGGCGGCCTCTTTCCACGTTGGGCTAAGGTCACCAAAGCAGAATTACGCGCTCCGCTCCGATCGTTTCTTTCCACGTTGGGCCAAAACCACCAGAGCAACAATAGATGATCCTATGACCGCACCTTTGAGTGCAAATGACGAATCTAACTTGACTGACTAGTTGTACTTGTGGTTGAGTCGTATGCGTGCTACAGATGTTGTCCGCAAAAACTTCACTGACTGGTTGTAATTGTGGTTGTAGTGGTGGTAACACTATCCTCTGCAATGTCTGCTTCGGCGGCCTCTTTCCACGTTGGGCTAAGGTCACCAAAGCAGAATTACACTGCTCCGATCGTTTCTTTCCACGTTGGGCAAAAACGACGGGAGCAACAATAGATGATCCTATGACCGCATCTTTGAATGCAAATGACCAATTCAACTTGACTGAGTAGTTGTAGTTGTGTTGTAGTGGTATGCGTGCTAGAGCTGTTGTCTGCAACTTCTAGTTGGGCCAAAGCGACCAAAACAGAACGACAAGAACGACATAATGAAAGTCTGCATGCAAGAAACAGAATCTGTCATGTCTGCGTTGCACAGCGTTGCTCAAGCGCAGTTGGGCCCTGCCTGTCGTAACGACCACAAGCAAGACCAGCACCTGGCCGCAATTGTGTGTGGAATGCAGCAGGCCGAAAGAAGAAAGTACTTAAACATGCTAGAAAAGCAAGCATGCCGAAACAAACCGACAGAAGAAACATGCCGGAATTTGCGGCCACTTCAGTCGCGCGCAGCGGTCCATTGAACGTCTTGCCGTCCTTCTTGCGGCGGGCGCGCCAACCATTAGCAAGTTTTTCCACCGCCATAGCTGCACGAAACAAATGTAAATGACCAATCTAAGTTGACTGTGACTAGTTGGAATTGTAGTATTTGTGCTGGTAGCACTATCCTCTGCAATGTCTGCTTCGGCGGCCTCTTTCCACGTTGGGCTAAGGTCACCAAAGCAGAATTACGCTGCTCCGATCGTTTCTTTCCACGTTTTGCAAAAACGACGGGAGCAACAATAGATGATCCTATGACCGCATCTTTGAATGCACATGACCAATTCAACTTGACTGAGTAGTTGTAGTTGTGTTGTAGTGGTATGCGTGCTAGAGCTGTTGTCTGCAACTTCTAGTTGGGCCAAAGCGACCAAAACAGAACGACAAGAACGACGTGATGAAAGTCTGCATGCAAGAGACAGAATCTATCATGTCTACATTCCACAACATTGCTCAAGCGCAGTTGGGCCCTGCCTGTCGTAGCGACCACAAGCAAGACCAGCACCTGGCCGCAATTGTGTGTGGAATGCAGCAGGCCGAAAGAAGAAAGGACTTAAACATGCTAGAAAAGCAAGCCGAAACAAGCGTGGCGACGACGAAGGTAGGTAAACATGCCGGCGGCCCGGCCTCCCGTAGCGACCACAAAGCCGAAGACCAGTACCTGGCAGCAAATGCGTATGGAAATGAAACAAGCGGAAAAAAACATGCAAAAACATGCAAAAACAACATGCAAAAACATGTCAGTAAAAACAACATGCCGGAGCGACCAGAAAACATGCCGGAGCAGGACATGCGTAAGCAAGCCAGCAGAACAAACGAAGCGACATGTCGGAAAATAAAACATGCCAGAGCGACCATAAGACATGCCGGGAGACCATAAGACATGCCGGAACATGACCTACGTAAACAAGCCAGAAAAACAAACGAAACGAGGCAGAAAACATGTCGGAACCACGCAAAACGAAGGTAGATGTGAGTTTGTGCTGCCATCTGTGCCACGCCTGCCACGCAAAACGCCGGTAGATGTGAGTTTGTGCTACGCCTGCCACGCAAAACGAGGTAGATGTGAGTGTGTGCCGCGCCTGCCACGCCAAATGCCGGTAGATGTGAGTATGTGCCGCGCCTGCCACGCAAAATGCCGGTAGATGTGAGTATGTGCCGCGCCTGCCACGCAAAATGCCGCGGCGTCACGGGCGCCTAAACCAAGACCAAGCGCGCCACCCAGTGCCATCTGTACCACGCCTGCCACGCAAAACGACGGTAGATGTGAGTTTGTGCCACGCCTGCCACGCAAAATGCCGCGGCGTCACGGGCACCTAAACCAAGACCAAGCGCGCCACCCAGTGCCATCTGTACCATGCCGGCCACGCAAAACGACGGTAGATGTGAGTATGTGCCGCGCCTGCCACGCAAAATGCCGCGGCGTCACGGGCGCCTAAGCCAAGACCAAGCGCGCCACCCAGTGCCATCATGTACCACGCCTGCCACGCAAAACGACGGTAGATGTGAGTTTGTGCCACGCCTGCCACGCAAAACGAAGGTGGATGTGAGTTTGTGCGGCGCCTGCCACGCAAAATCTGTGCCACGCCTGCCACGCAAAACGACGGTAGATGTGAGTTTGTGCCACGCCTGCCACGCAAAACGACGGTAGATGTGAGTTTGTGCCACGCCTGCCACGCAAAACGAAGGTGGATGTGAGTTTGCGCGGCGCCTGCCACGCAAAATCTGTGCCACGCCTGCCACGCAAAACGAAGGTGGATGTGAGTTTGTGCCACGCCTGCCACGCAAAACGACGGTAGATGTGAGTTTGTGCCACGCCTGCCACGCAAAACGAAGGTGGATGTGAGTTTGTGCGGCGCCTGCCACGCAAAATCTGTGCCACGCCTGCCACGCAAAACGACGGTAGATGTGAGTTTGTGCCACGCCTGCCACGCAAAACGACGGTAGATGTGAGTTTGTGCCACGCCTGCCACGCAAAACGAAGGTGGATGTGAGTTTGCGCGGCGCCTGCCACGCAAAATCTGTGCCACGCCTGCCACGCAAAACGACGGTAGATGTGAGTTTGTGCCACGCCTGCCATGCAAAACGACGGTAGATGTGAGTTTGTGCCGCGCCTGCCCACGCAAAACGACGGTAGATGTGTGTGTGTGTGAGTGAGTGTGTGTGTGTATGTGTGTGTGTGACTGGGAAAGTATTGTATGTTAAGTTTGTGTGTGTGAAGTTATTGTATTTGTAGGTTAAGTTTGTATGTGAAATTATTGTATGTTAAGTTTGTGTGTGTGAAGTTATTGTATGTGAGAGATGGTATGTGACAAAGTTATGTGAGAGATGGTATATGACAAAGTTGTGTGTGTGTGAGTGTGTGTGTGTGGGAAAGTATTGTATGTTGAGTTTGTGTGTGTGTGAAATTATTGTATGTTGAGTTTGTGTGTGTGTGTGAAGTTATTGTACGTTAAGTTTGTATGTGAAATTATTGTATGTTAAGTTTGTGTGTGTGTGAAGTTATTGTATGTGAGAGATGGTATGTGACAAAGTTGTGTGTGTGTGTGAGTGTGTGTGTGTGGGAAAGTATTGTATGTGAAATTATTGTATGTTAAGTTTGTGTGTGTGTGTGAAGTTAGTGTGAAATTATTGTATGTTAAGTTTGTGTGTGTGAAGTTATTGTATGTTAAGTGTTAAGTTTGTGTGTGTGAAGTTATTGTATGTTAAGTTTGTGTGTGTGAAAGTATTGTACGTGAAATTATTGTATGTTAAGTTTGTGTGTGTGTGTGAAATTATTGTATGTTAAGTTTGTGTGTGTGAGGGAGGCGGCGGGAGGAGGAGAAGGAGCCCGGGATACAGAATCAAAAACAAGAACCCCACAAAAAGTTGTGGGGAAAAATGCAAACTGAAGAAACAATCTTTTGCCAATGCCAGGGCTGTGTAATGCTGATGGGAGCGGATTGGATTCCTGAAATTTGAAAGTAAGGATTATATAAATGTTCAATGGGGATGTTGCCAAGAGTTTCCATCAACTTTTGGGGTACGGCTTGACCCAACTCCTCTTTGTGAGACCTATTTTGCGCATTCTTAGAATGACCTCTGTACTTGGATCATTATTCTATCACTGTCACAGATATTTCGGGTTGAAGACATGCCGGTTGGAGTCTGGAGGATCATCGTGGGGCATCAGTGGTTCGAGTTGTTGATCTCGCTGGCCATCATGGTGACTTGAAGAAAAATTGCAAAAATGCAGCGCTTGAAAACACCTCGACATTTGGAATGTGCTGATGTCTTTTATTGTTTTTTTCATGTCCTGCCCGGCAACTCAGAGAGATGACAGGTGAACTCGGTGATGCTGGGCGTGGAAAGCCAGATGTCACTGACACATGCTAGGGAGGACCTTGCCTGGGCCAGGTGTTTTGCTTGCAAGGAGAATATTTGGTCGGTTGGGTGATTTGGCGCTTGTGTTTTTCCGACTCTGATTACTTTGTTCATTTGAGTGCTATTTTAGAGACCTGCTCATTTGGATGATTCTTTTCAGGCGTGTCTTAGTATGTCTCAGTGTGCGGAGAGGTTTCACATTGTCCATTTTTGCATACGAGTTTTTCACACCCTGACAGGGCCACAGAGCTTGGGCAAGAAACTGATTGCTCAACTGAGGATTGCCGAGCTTTGCTTTTTGGCGATTTTCACAGTTGCTACCTGCCCGTGTTGGACACATGCACACAGTTGCACAAACTTCACTGCAACGACATGATGGACATGGCTAGAAATGGATAGAAATGAATAGAAATGGAGGCTTGATTACGAGGCCCAAGGATGTCATTGATGTCATTGATGTCACGGCAAATCCAAAAGTAGTTTGATGTTGTTTGCTGAGGAAATTCTTCAAATGAAATACTGCTTTGCTAAGGAGATTCTGCTGAGATTGGCTGCACGTGGATGGCAGCTTGGCATAGCTTGCTCAGCTTGGCTGCGATCTCCTTGCATATCGATAGCTTCGATTAGCAAAGCACTGAGCAAGAAAATGGCAATGATTCTGTTGCAGCTTGGCCTTCCTGATTGTTTGCACTTTGAACCAGAGACCTGGCAAGTTAAAGACTTCTGGACCAAGGAGAGTTATAAAGGATGGATGGTTTCTATTTGACAGTACGCTTGTGATCATCGCATGCATTGAGCAGTTCGTCGAGTTATTTTCCAACGGCAATCATTCAGGGTACGAACAACAGGCGTGTCGGGCCTGGAACCGCATAAGTGTCGGATTTTTCCACAACCACAGTATGCATCAGTATGCCCAGAATACGTTTAAAGCACGAAGCCTTCAAGTAGGTGCTAGTCCTTCGAACCACGCGCCTTTTTCGTTTGATCCGGACGTTTCGAATGTGTCGGGCTCAGTTTGTGCAGCTGCCCAGCCCAAAGCAGCTTTGCTCGCCCAATGTGAATTTGAGTCAAAATCGTCGTCGTGAAATGTCGGCTGTAATCATATCAGATAGCGATTATGTGAGCATATGCTGTAATCGATTGTAGTGATGTGAAGCACCCTTCAAAGCCTATTTCCCGATTTAAGTGATTCTCACTGGAGACTCATCCTGAGCCCTGAGGATAAAGCAGATCAGATCTGTGTGGAGATTGGTATATGGTCTCATTACATGTGGCCACTTGCCTCACTAAAAGCAAATGCGCAGAAGAGTTCCTTGAGAACTACAGCCGCAACGTCGCTGCATCGCTGCATGCTTAGGCGAGACCATAACATCTACATTTATTTTGCTTTTCATCGCTTCTTGTCTGAAGAAGCTCAGCTTGTGCTTTCCGTGCTTTCTTGGCACAAGATCGCCAAATGATGAATATCTTTATTATTTTTCTTGTGTAATGCCTTTGGCATTTGGCAAGTATTTTGTTCACAGACTTCAGGTTTTGTATGTGTTTGGCGTTATGGGTCTTGATCTCAGAGATCACAATTGTTACCTTCTAAAGAAAGGGAATCAGCAGCGAGTCATCAGCGAATTTGAGAGGAAACAGGGTTGCAAGTGACGTTGCATGATGTTGCTTTGCATTTCGAGTCAGTTGATGTCAGTTGCTGTTCTCGCATCCTGCTGAGCTAGGCCATGAGCTGATAACCAAAGATGGCGAGCTGCGGAAAGATCCAGAGATAGACGCACTTATCGTCAACAACTTCAGTCCCCCTGCAAACTGCAAAAAAGCATTGACGTTGTTGCAGTGCTTCCACTCCGTTTTTGCTGATCACTCTGTTTGTTGCTCCGAGGTTCACTCCCCTTGGCCATGATGACATTGGTTCGATTTGATGCTTGGCCACACTTAGCATATCTTAGCATCATCTCTGCTCCTAGTCTTGAGATTGTTGATAGCATTTCAAGTTGCTGATCGGTTTTGAACATTTTTGACACCTTTCTGATCCTTTATGCATTTTGAGTTCGAGGTCACGATGGATTCTATATCTGTAATCTATGTACCTTGACATGGATCTGGCAGTGCTTCTGTATAAATGCCCCTCATTGGCTTGTTTTTGTACGTTCTGGAGGAATACAGATTCTGCTTTCGGTTTGAGCTGCATCAGTAGTTTGCAGAGCTCTTTGAAAGATTTTGAAAGTGGTTTCCGGCATTACCAGCTCAATTGCTGTCGCGCAACTTCATGCACAATATGTGACAGCCAAGAGGGACACCTGATGCATCGGGATTACCTCTTGACATTCAAGGCGCCTTTGATACAGGCAAAGGCATTAGTACTGGGCTTGTACTTTGGCCTGCTGATTTGCGTTGACTCTTGGTAGCAGGTTGTGGCGGGATGTGGCGGGATGTGGCTTGTGTTCTTTACAGAAGAACATGGCGCAGATCCATTCGCAGGTTCTGAGCCAATCTGAGCCATCACCGGCTACATCCGGCTACCAAGGTCTCCATTTCCCTTATGAACCTTGTTACGGCAGTGATGGTGCCATGTCTGAACATCTTGATGAGTGGAGTTTGCTTTGGACATAATCTGTGATATGTATGCGGCAATTACCAGGTAGCTGGCATAGAGGATTCCCAAGCAGGGCACAGTGCCGACTGAACCGGAACCTCCCCAGTCATTTCGCATCACTTTTTCTAGAATGCTGCTGCTCAAAGGTTGAAGGGGCTCTCGAGCATGCTCGCCAAGAGAAAGAGAAACTCGGAGCATGATGTGCACAGTTGGGGTAGTGAGGTCAGTCTACCTTGCAAGGTGTATTTCTGCCAATGTTCTGCCACTTGTCTACAGGGAAGATGCAAAATTGGCAAAAGCCAAAGCCAAACAAATGGTTCCGGAGATTATCCACCTGTTCGACCAGATTGATATTGACGCTTGGTGGAAGGACAATGATTTCTTTGTTTCGATGTGAGCATTGTGAGGCTCATGATGCGGAATGTCACAGTGTCACACCATGTTTATAGCTGTGTGTTGTTTGCTTTGAAGAGGTCAACAGTCTTTGATTTTCATGTCCACGAATGCATGACCGACTTGTTAGTAATTTATTAATATTTTTTATACTTTTTTTTTTGTGCAGATCAGACCAGTGCATCGGTCAGTCATTCTAGTTGAATCAGTTCAATGCGCAGTCAGTCGGTTTGTCCCACGAATGTCCGGAGGATTTTGGAAGATTATTTTTGAGTTGATGGGAACCGATTTTGCCAATCTTCACCTGAGACATTGCAGTGGTTTCGGATGTCTTTGGTCACCGATGGGAAGCCACAACATGCCAAAATATGCCAGAACCAATCGCTGAAATGTATTGAAATGTCACCTTTTGCCAGCTGCGTTGCAAATGTTCCAAGGATGGAAGCGGAGAAGTTGACTTAAAGGAGTGTGGAACTTATGGACTTAAGGACAAAAGAACATGCAGTGAAATGAATGATGCAGCTGATATACTAGCTACACGTATTACATCGTATTATCAATTATTATGATATCATATTGTATCTATGATGCGATTAGCTGATGATAGCTGATAGCTGATGTTGACTGATTAGTTTAACTTACATCGCTATTAAATTGGCTCAACTAATGCAACTGCCCAAGGATGGCCAAGTTTGGGGAGGATGGACTGGTTCCGGATCGCTTGTTTGAGAAGGCCTCAGTGGATAGTTCCCTGGAATATGATTTAGTCATGTGCATGACTTTGGCATACTTTGGCTGAAAATACGTTTATGAATTCAATGGTTATCATATGTCATCATCATTCATCATCATTTTCCGTATTTTGCCGATATTGATGAGTAATTAAATGGCCATTTGGAGGGTATACCATCCTGGACGACCGTATTCACATATTTTTTTGTGCAAATTATGGGTTCTTCCCGTAATTCTCATTTATTTATATTTATTTGGAGAATCCGTATGATGGCAAAATCTGCAATCGAGTCGGCCGAGCCGGCAATTTCAAGTGGCAGATTTGCTTTGAGCTCTCACCTGGTCCTACTCCATGTGGTAAAAGCACATCCAAATCAAATATAGCCAAATATAGGCGCACATACTAGTATTGTCGTCCAGATTTGGGGACATATTTGCTAGCCATATTTGGCTACCTATGATTTCCATTGATTTCCTATATATTGTTTTGTACATCTTGTCATATCTTGTCGAAAAATGGCAACCAATGTCGCAAGACACGCTCTAGTATGAGCATGATGGGGGATTCCGACAAAGCTCCGCAATGACGAGTGAATGGTTTCAAGACATGAAGATTTGTTACCCCTGCACGGAATCATGTGCATGCTTGCGTTCCAACTGCACTTTTTGTGAACAGAGGTATCTTGATGTGGTCAACAACGTTTGGTCTACCATGGAGTCCTTTTTGCGGCTCCGCACGAATGAGGAGAAGAGTCAAATCTGGGCTCGCTCTCCTGAGGCTTTGGCAAAGCTGGATAACACCCACTATAGCTCCAATGCCAGCTTCACCATGCAGGTCCTTGGGGCTACGCTTGGTCCAGAGGAACGTGCTCTCTCAGACCGTGAAAGGGACACGTTGCTTGATGTCGCTCGTCGTTCCAGGCGCATTGCTTGTTTGCCTGTGAGTGCTCGCCTCAAAGGTCGCTTGGCAGCCACCGTGTTGGGGCCCAAAGCAGTGTGGGGCCATGTGATAAACGGTCGCTGCCCGACCCAGAAGGATATTGCCTGCTTCTTCCGCCACTACAAGGCGGCGACAAGTGACAACCGGTTTGTCAAAGGGCGCTCGTCCATGGACCTCAAGCGGGCTTTCTTCTTTGGTCACACTTGCGACCTGGCCTTCTATGGGGCCCTCCGCACCATCAGTTCGGGTTTTGCCTGGGCACGTCACTGTGCCAGCTTGGGCGAGAACTGTCGCTGGAGCCAGTCTACGGTGTTTTGCCTCAATAGCATCCTGCAAGACTTGGGTTGGTGTGCTCATAGCAATGCTGTCGGCCAGAGCGGGGATGTCCCTTGCATTCATTTTGGGGCAGTGAAGGCTGAAGTTGACAAATGCCTCCATCACATTCGAGACGCGTGGCGTTTGAAAAAAGTGCGTCAGTGGTTGTCGCACCGCACCAGGATTGATAGTGGGATAGGTCGTGATACCAATCTTATCATTTCCGAGCCTCTGATTAAAACTGTCAGATCTATTCTCAGAGATTGTGATGCTCATGTTGTCTCTGTTGCCTGTGGAGGGTTCCAAACTGTCTCACTTGATTTTGAGAGACTGCATCAAGGGGTCGCTCCTGTTCAGCAGTGTCCGTATTGTTTGCAGCTTGATGTTCCTGGCGTCATTCATGTCTTGTGGAGCTGTCAGGCTTTTTCTCATTTGAGGTTGCTTCCGCAGCCTGAGTGCCCTCTCGCCTCCAGGATTGGTTGGAGCGGCTCCCATCAAGTCACTAAGGATCTCTTGGTGCAGATGGGCACAATCCGGGCAGCTGAAGCTGCTCGTCGTTTGGCACCTGCGGGTGCTGGCTGAGGCTGAAGCGTGGCTTCCTTGGGCTGCTATGCACTGTGTTCTGCTGCTTGCGGCGGGGCATGGGCAGCATGCGGCGCGCGACTACACATTTGTTCGACAATCTCGACGTAGATGGTTCCGGCATCATCACACGTTGCTTGGATGCATTCTTCTATATAACTTTCACTGCCTGAGAGAGTGAGCTGATGATGCACCAAGTGGACTGAAACATTTCATGTGGCGTGAGGGGTTCTTACTCTGCGAAAGAATCTGATTCCGTGTTTCTGCCGGGAAATGTCATGCATTGCGGGCCAGTCCCGGTTGTTTCTGGTTATCACCTTCCACGAGGCTATGAATTTATCGAGGGTCTTTTGCTTCTTGGCTGTACTAATGCGCATGAGCAAAAGTATGCAAAACTATAAAAGCATATGAAAGCAGAATTGCAGCGTTTCCTCTGCTTCAGCTCTGGTTGTTGTTCTCCGGTAAAAGCTGGTTCTTTTGCTTGTGGTGCAAGGTCAGTGAACTGAATTTTGCTTTGCTTCATACCGTGTTGTCGCACACGCTCATGTCAAAAGCCTTTGCAATCAAGGAACCTGTTCCTTCGCGATGTTCCGGTGTCAGCGCAAATGACGATGAAGATGATTCGTCAAGTGAGGGCTGACGTGCCCCAACTTAGTTGGTCGTTCTGCGAGAAGGGGTGGATCTGCGCTGACAAAGGATGACAAACTGCAAGATGATTTCTTGCATTTCAGGTGATCATAGTGGAATCATAAACTAAATAGGTGACGGTGAATAGGTGAATAATTAATTCATATTAATTCTGCATGTCCGTCCTTTCAGACTGATCTATCCTGTTTGAAGGATGGTGAGCCCATTGCCAGCCCCCAGCCCGACATTTGCAGACCTTTCAGTCAAGTCCAATGCTGCAGGTATCTCGTCTCCAGACCAATCTGCAGGAGCTTGACAAGACGGTGGATGTTCTCCGGCCATTCCCAACTATTTAAGACGGATCCAAGTTGAATAATAGCGAAGTGAGATTATGTGAGATTCATTGTGGTTGAATCATATTGAATCACTCTGGCTCTGATCCCATTTTTTGCTCGATGTGTATAGATTTGCCTCTTTTTTCTCTGCGATCTCTGGCCCTTTGCTCTCAAAATGAAGCATGGGTGCCATGAGCGGCTATTGTTTCACAAAATTGACGGAGGACTCTGCTCCCACCAGGAGATCCTGTTTAAAACGGGGCCTTTCTACTGGAAGCATGATTTCACAAGGCCTACGCACACTGGAATTGGCGGAGAATAAATGACAATAATCAGGAATTAATGTGTATTATATATATATATATCATAGGATCATTTTCTGCACTTTTTGCAGGTAAGACATGCCGAGGCATGTGTGAGTATTATGTGAGTATGCTTGAGATGCGATCACCTATGAGCGCCTTTCTAACGTAGTAGCCTCTCGCCTTGCAATTCGGATTGTGGGCGATTCGTAAAACAACCGTTGCAGCATAGAAATGGGCGAACATGAGCTGAGGAAAAAGACCGCTGCAGCGATTGTGGTGCCAGCTCGGGTAGGGGGTTGAGGTATTTGCGAAGCGTTGCGAAGTTCCCAATCAGAGCCTCACGCACATGATTAAACTATGGTCTATGGCATCTATGGTGTGTGATGAAGTGATCAAACTCTGAAACCGGTGCACAGTTTCAATCTTTGAAATTCGGTGGAGTGTTATGGAGATGGGAGACTACAAAGAAATACAATCACAGCATATCACAACCCAGATCTGACTCAGCACCTACAGTGAGTTCTACACCTTGACACGCCTAAGACATAATAAGACGTTTTGCAGCCCTCCCAAGTGGCCCTGAGACCGACATTAATTATGCCAGTCCAACCCTCAAACCCCGAGTCAACACGGGAACCCTTAGGCCTTAGGTAAGCATTCAGGAAAAATGATAAAAAATGTAGCTTAGCAATGCTTTAGCATCATCTTAGAAGCGTCCCAGAATGAAATTGCAGACGTAGTTTTCCCACATGTTCTCCATTGTTTTCCCATGGTTTTCCCTTCCACCTTTTGTGTTGTCCATGTGCGCGCGTTGTTTGTTTGTTCCCTTTGCGTTTTTCAGCATGCTATCATCCAGCAGACCTTACGGTCATCTACAGACCAGACGACCACACCCAGCGAGAGAGAGAGAGAGAGAAAGAGAGACGTAGATAGACGTAGTTTATTATGATGTTACATCTTTTTTTTGAGCGGGGGGAGAAGCCATCTTACAAGAAGATACAAGAAGTTTAGATTCTTTGCGGGAATCTTGGGGCCTTTCAAATGCCGTACTACTTTTTCGGGCTGTCATGCTGGATTTCTTGGATTGAAGGCCACCATCTTTGTACCTTCCGGAACTCCAAGCCTCCATGCTTTTAAACTTCTCAAACATGTACAGCAACTTTTTTTTTTGGGGTGGGGCCGGGCTATGGGAGCCGTGATAGCAGCAGCCGCTCAGGAAGGATAGTCATTACGCATTGAAATCATATGGAGAACGGTTTGTGCGTCGTGTTGGCATGTTTCTACGCCCACTGGTACCGGCCAGTAGCATAGTGAGAAGTGTGGTTTTACAATGTTTTACATGTGGGATTAGAGTAGTATATGCATGCAGGTATGTAAAGGACAAGGTCACTTTTGGGAATTGTAAAACTGAGAATGATCCAAATTGCTTGTGAGTAAGTCTGACTGTGGCATGAAACGTGTGTTGCTCAAGTTCAAGCTGCATGGATTGGGTCCCAAAGGTGCTAGGTCTCATCAGTACTGGGATCCACTCCAACTGGTGGGGGTTGTCGTGCCCTTCACACTGCTTTGGGTGGGGGCTTCCAAGCATCCTTGCCTCTTTCACCCTTGGACTCTTCTCCGGGCTCTTGCTGGGGGCCATCACCCTTGCCTGGTTTCTTGGACTTTTCCAGACTAGGGGCTTCACGGCACAACCAGAGGTCAGACCTCCAGGACCTACCATCGCACGCCTTAGGGCGTATCTGGATGAGCCAGAATCATCCGGACCTCTCCAACGACGGCGACGACGAGATTAGCCTGGCTGTCTCCTACCAAGGTCTTCGGATCTCTGTCATTGGCCCATCCGAGAAGGCCCTCGACTTCGTCCATCGGCTCTCACCTGACTACCAGCCATCTCAGGGCATCATCCGGCCACCTGGCACTTCTTCCACAGCTGCGAGCTCAGGTCAGAGTGCTCCTGCTTCTCCTCCTTGTCCTGACAACGTGCTGGCACTGGCCACACGGCTTTCAGCAGCGAGCATACTCAAGCCAGAGGAGAGGATCAGGAGGGCTTGGAGTTGTGGTGTTAGAGACAGGGCAAGGATTGAAGGTCGAGTTGTCCCCTACGAGCCAATCGTCTCCATTGATTTGCCCATCAACTATTACGTGGTTGCCAGAGCCCAGGGTGTTTCTGAGCCACGGATCTTGCGCAGCCAGAAAGACTACAGGAGGTCTTTTGCTGGAGATTGGTTGTGAGTTCCCATCCGAGACAGAAGCTCGGGCCTATATCACTGCTCTTGGATACGGCCACTTTGCAGGGGTGTAGAACAGATGGCGGAAAAGGATCCAGAAGAGGATGCTGCGGAGCTTTTAGAAGCTGTGCTCCCTCTACATGCCGATTTTGGCCAAAGCGGTTTCCAGCCCTACGTGTTGGACTTGCAGAAGGCTGGACTGGCTGTAGAAGAGCCCTTTTTCACCATTGCATTTGTCGTGATGACACGAAAGGAAGGCATGCTGTTGGCTCTTCCAGAATTAGCAATTCCTGCCGAAGCGCAGGGGCTTGGAGCAAAAGCAGGGCCCACAGACCTTCTTGGCCCTTCAGTCAAGGTCGAAGTTCAGGCTGCGTTGATGCAAGAGGACGCGCTGCTGAACCTGCCTACAGTTTTGGAAGGCAAGACTCTCACGGTTTTGCTCATGGACTTTTCTTTGGAGGTAGAAGGTTGCTTGAGAGGAGTGGCTATGAAGGAGGACCTAGAAGATGTCACGTCCTTCGAGTTTTTGGAGGAAAATGTGGTGCCAGCGCCTGGAGAGCTGGTCACAAAGGCTCAGCTTTGGGCAAGAGGTTCAGACGAGAGTGCAGAGAGGATCTTGTTCTACTCTGCAGACGAGGTCCCAGTCACTCCTTTGGCACCTTCTGCAAAGAAGTCAACAAGAAGGTGCACTCCCGGTGGGGGTACCGCTTCAGGCGAACCTGGAGCCATGCCGAAGAGGAAAGTCACCATGGCCCAGTTGGCAGAGAGTTTGGAGTCTCTGACAGGTGCGCTCCCTCACATCACTGCGAAGCTCCAAGATCTTTCAGAGAGAACAGCCGCAATCGAAGCAGGAGGGGCCCCAGAGGGGTAGGAGGAAGGCCATCAGCATTGAGAGGGCCCATTGGCACCTCAACTACTCTTGGATCCGGGAGCTCCTTGACCCCGGCCCAACTGGTCAAAGAGATGCCACCACCCAAAAGTATGGCCTCCCCACAGAAGACCCCCAAGGTTACCTTTGCGGATGGCGATGCGGAAGAGATAGCGGCGGAGTTCCCTTCAGAGACGGGCAGCTTCGCACAAGCCATGCTGGAGCAGTCAAAAGCTTTGACCATGTTGGTCTCACAGCTTGCGGCCAACTCGACAGACCCCCTGACGGACATGTCAGGCACCTTGGGGACGCTTTCATCCAAGGGTGCAGCGGGTCGCGCCAGGCTTCAAGCAGAGTTGGCCTCTCACAAGGGCACATTCTTTTTGAGTGTGATGCAATCAATGGCAAGGAGGATGCAGCCTGGTCGACTTGCAGAGACAGACATGGCAGATTTGAGGAGCAGAGGTGTCACAGCCACACAGTACCTGGAACGTTTTGGAGGTTTTGGGAGGACCAGGGACTTAGGCTTCATCATATGGCAAGTGGCCCTTTGCATGAACTACATGCAGGAAGAGAATTTTCCTGCTGCAAAAGACGTGATGAGCCTCCTCTTTGTGTGTCTGGAGCAGTCAGCGATGGACAATGGCAACATGCAGGTGGGCTTGCTCCTGTCACTGACCGAGGATCCTCCCCACTCTCTCTTCAGCCAGCGGTCAGTGGCAACGATGACTCACCCACGCCCTTTTGCGCCAACAGCCAACCAGAGGTGGGTTACCACAGCCCTGGCTTACCTCAAAGAGATGGACTTGATCTCAACACGTCGCTCGGAGATCTCAAATGCCAGGGGCTCCAGCGACCAGCCAGCGCAGAGCTCAACCACCAGCCAGAATGCAGCAGCAGCTTCAAAGAAGAAGCCAAAAGGAAAAGGAGGAAAGGGAAAGCAGAACCCCCAGACCGAGGAGGAGAACTAGAAAGGCCTGACGAGTCTCGCCTCGAAGAGACAATCTCCTCCGGGAGGCTTCTTGCTGCTTTACCTCGATGGATTTTGCGTTCCAAGACGAAGTTTTCGTCTTTCCTGGTCAGAACCTTCCACATCTCCAGGAGTGGCCACTGCCCTCCCTCCGCTGTCTTTCCCATCCCCGCACCTCGACTTGGACTTTTCACGGTGCAGGATGTCCCCAAGCTCAATGCCAAGAAGTGGAAGAGGCTTTGCTTCAACCGTTCCATCCACATCTTGGTCATGGCACTCAACTACATCCATTGTGGCTTGACTTTCATCCCCATGGATTTGCTTGGGAGGAGCCCCAACCAGACTCATCTGACCATCTATCGTCGGTTGAGAGCTCTTTTGACAGCGTGTGATCGCCCTGACAGCCATTTGATGCCGCCAGGGAGGTCTGGTCCAGAATTCATTGCCCGTCTCACCGAGCTTGCGCACTTTGCCGGCTCACACAGTGCCTTCAATCCCGACCAATACGTTGGATCAGCCAATGAAGGCCCAAAGACATTACGGAGAGTTGGAGAGATTGAGGCGCAGCATCGTTTTGAGGTGACTGAGGAGTTTTCCCCCATACAGCCTTACAGAAGTTTGCAAGCATCAAGGCTGAAGCTCACAGGCAG